AACAGCGCAAGAAGAAACAGCGCAAGAAGAAACAGCGCAAGAAGAAACAGCGCAAGAAGAAACAGCGCAAGAAGAAACAGCGCAAGAAGAAACAGTGGGTGAAGGACCTTCTGGTTCCCAAAAGAAGCGCAAAACTGTGTCTGATCAACTCGCCTCACAGTCAACACGCCCTGCTAAGATGTCTCGCACTGAAATACCCGAGTCTACGCAAAATACCCAAGCTGAGGATGCTGGCAAGGCTCCTGGGACGAATATTGGAGGTTCTTCAGGAGAGGGAAAGCTAGTCCTCTAAACAGGGTGAGACGATGACGGCAAGGCCGTTGGTAGACGGAAACATGTAGTTATTTGTCTGGTTTTGTATTTCTTTTTACTGTTTTATGATTGATACTTTTGGCTTATGTTTTGATTTTCTGTCTTGCTCAATTCGCGTTATATTGTATGCTTTACTGATACGGGTTTACAATAATTATAGATAGTTTTCATGTAGCAAATGCCATGGTTTCTGCTCAAGGCCCTGAATATATGTGCTGGAACAGATTCAACTCCAAAATAAATAGAATATATCTTTTAAATTCCATTATATGCATACAGACACGCAACAACCAAACGAGAATAGTAAAATACAGATATTCCGAACAAAGACCCGAAGTCCATCGTTTATAGCACAGCATAATGGACAATGTTCGGTGTCATGAAGAGGTTATAGAGCGACATGGTTCAAATGAAACCGGAGAAAGCGACAGAAGGAAAAACACCATAATCTAGGCAGTAACTCTTAGTCGTCTTGCCAGCTTTTCAAGCTCGCCGATGACGCCGCCACCAGCCAAGCTCCACTTCTCACCAACCCACTCGTCGTTGACGTTTTCCCGCAGAAGACCACTGTGTGCAAAGTACTCCATGAAGCCTCGGGCTTCATCCCGGGTCAGACCAGTGAGAGTCTGAATTTCCAGCGCGGTGTCTTTAGCAGACTGGGACTCAGGAGCGCTGAAAGCCTCAATAACCCGCTGGTCAGCATAGCTGTATGGGTCTTCCCGAGGGTAATTTGGGTCAGAAGGCTTAACACCAGCCTTGCGAGCTTCCAGCTGCTTCAGTGCGACCTCAAGAGCGTAGACGGTCGGGGTGTTGGAAGCAGAGGTGGCATAAAGGAGAAGGCCACCGTTGGGCAGAGTGGGCTTGGCGGCATTCGGCTTCAACAGCGAAAGGAAGTGCTTCACGAAAACAAGGTCATGAGCGTGGATGGGCTCGAATTCAGTGTTGCGGTACTCGGAGTTCTTCATCCAGTGCGCCAGACCATCTAGGGTGACCAGCATAGGAGGACGAGGTGTGAAGTCTTTGGTCATGCTGGTTGCCGGGGCGGTTGCAGTGAGCTCAGTCCACAGAGCCTGGAAAACAGCCCAAGCAACAGCAGGGTCCTGAATACCGATTCTGGTAAGTGCGTCCAGAGTCATACCAGGCTTAACGACGGACTTGAGAGCGGGATGTTCCTGGGACACCTTCAGACCCTTGAGAACTTCCTCATTGGCGATGGCCGTGCGGGACAGCAAAGCAGCTGTCGCCGCATTCTGGACGTACAGTGATGGGTTGGCGTCGTCAAGTGGTGCGTAACCAGTATGCGCGTCGACCAATTCCTGTGCTGAATATATCGTCAATAGTTGTAAACAATTGTAAACAATGGTGCACTTTGGGAAGACCTACGCTCAGGCACACTGAAAACAACCCATTTCTTGGTAAAGGCCATTGCCGTGGCTTGGAGAAGATGCACTGTTTTTCCTGATCCTCTCACACCAGTGATAATTTTTCTGAACATCTTGCCCTCTTCCTGACCACCAGTAGAAATGTTGTTGATCAGTCTTCCCATATCCAAAGTCTCCCGTCTCACGACAGTTCCTGGCCGGCGGAATATCGACCAGCCTTGGCTAGGCTTGAAGGCTTGAACCGCTCTCAATTGATCAATCATGGGCACAGGAAGGGCAAGCACGGATCCCCGAAGACGTGCATCCACCATAGTCTGCTCTGAAAGCTCCTCCATGCCCGCAACCTCGAGAGCATTGGGGTTGCTGAGAACGATGCGTTTCCGGAGGGCCTTGCGTTCTCCGACTGCCGGGGGACGCGCTCTGTCCACTTGCTTCTTCTTCTTCATCTTAGCAGACTTTGCCTGACGGTACTTGGCAGGCCCCTCCATGCTGTTCTTCTTCTTCGCGGGCTGTGCATATCGCATCGAGGTCGTGTGGAATGATGCCGCAATTCCGGGCGCTGCAGCCGGCGGAGGTAGGAGAGCTCGAGGCGTCGGACGAAGCCGCGACAGGCAGCTCCAGCAGAAGGAAGACACCATTGTGCTGTATCACGCCGGCACGGGGCCCAGTGCCGGACGGTCAATGGGACTGCTGTGTAGCGGAAGGGGGTTGGGAGATGTGTCTTTGGCAACGTTCGTCGGGGTGGAAAGCGATGGGGATTCGGAGCACAATTTGGCACTTCAAGATTCCTCTTGCTGCCAGAACGGGACTAGCGCACTTGCCGCCCTTAGCGCGGGTACGGAGCCCAGTTAAAGCGGCAACCTGAAATTTACCTACTTTTTTTTTTTTTTTTTTTTGGTCTCCGCCCAGATCGTTTTATCCATCGGCGAGATTCTTTCTTTTCTCTTGCCCTCCATTCTTTTGTAACCAGCTCATTATCGCGAGCCGTTATTATGACAGAAGTCGAAATGTCAAACACTGCCACCGATGCAGGAAAGGCAAAGCCCGAGAGACTGTAAGCTATACAATCTTTTTTCCCCCGGTCCAACTACCTATGCATGCGATCTATAGGTATAGCAAATATTAACTTCTTCAATCTTCTCAGGCCTGTGACAGTCTCCAAACCTACCCCTTACACCTTCGACCTGGGCCATCTCCTCGTTAACGACCCCAATCCCCTCGAGCTGCCCCGTTCCGAATCCCTCAATGAATCGCTCAAGGCCACCGCTCGCGATGGCACCCAGTGCCTTCTGAACCAACTCCTCACAACCTGCCCCATCACTTCTTCCACACAACAGGGTGTCCTCCTTACTCTTCCTCCCCCGTCTACCGATCTCCCCCGACACAAGCCCCTGCCTACTCCCAAGGCTCCGACGAAATGGGAGCTGTTCGCCCGCAAGAAGGGGATTGGCAAGTACAGCACGAAGGCTGGTGGTGCGTTGGCGGACAAGGAGCGTCGCAAGAAGCTGGTCTACGATGAAGAGAAGGGTGACTGGGTGCCTCGCTGGGGTTACAAGGGTAACAACAAGAATGATGACGACTGGTTAGTCGAGGTGAACGAAAAGGACTGGAAGAAGGAAGAGGACGCCGCCGCCAAGGGAAGCTCGATTCGCGGCATGTCACGAGCGGAGCGCAAGGACAGGATAAAGCGAAACGAGAGGAAAATGAGGAACAACGACCGGAAGTCGAGAAAGACGGGCGGTGGTTGAACCGTGACTGAGATAATAAGATAAGTATGTTGATGGTTGAGGCTTCCTCGCTAGGCCTTAGGTGTCATTTTTTGTCCCATTATACCTATGCTTCGTTTCGTTGTCTGGAATGCTGGGTTTCTTCAGGCGTTAGGATTGGAGTCGCCGGTGCCTTCTTTTGATGTCAAAGATATTTTATCCCATCATTAAAACTACGTACATTATGACGCGGATCAAAAAGCAATGTCGGATTTTTCAATAACCCATCATCTACCATACCAGTATCTTATTGGACTCCATGGCTACGATACGAAGCGAGAATTATGATAAAATTATTTACCGTTTTCATTGACAATTTGACCGGTTTGATGCATGGTTATCAACTTATCTATCTTACAATGATGTACCAGCAGAGCACCAAAAAACGAATAGAAAAGAAAATCGCAAGGGCGTTGTGACAAAAGGCGCCAGAACAAAGCTCCAGTTAGGGGAATCAATGAAAATGTAAAAAAAGAAAAACAGAAAAACAGAAATTCATGTATGTGGCCATGGTGAACTTGAGCGCCAAATATCGCCAAGCAAGACGAAACAAATATAGACGAAAGGAGGATAAAAATGTACAAGAGCTGAAAGGATAGAAAAACCAACTCCGAAGGCGCCCAACATGCATTCTAAGCGAAAACAGAGCCTGCGGGATCGTAAGAGCAAAAAAGAAATAGAAGAACAGGGACAAAAGGAGCTCAGAAGAGAGTGATAACAGAAGACAGCATTCAGGACCCAAAGAAAACGTGAATATTCTTGTATGCGCACACAATGAGATCGAGGGCTGTAATAGAGGAGAAATTGATAAATAGATCAGAAAGTTATTCGAGTAGCGTACTGCCTCAGCGATTTAAGGCCTGGAATCGGTACACTGATCCAATGTCTAACTTCTGATTCATCGCGATTGAAAGGAAAACGGATCATGAAGAAAAGATAGGCCAGCCTGACTGAAGATTCAAAGTAACCAGAGTAATACTGATGTTGTACACCCGGTTCAGAAGCGGAAATAGAAGTCATAACACAAAGAGAAGTATATCAAACTTCGGAAATCAGAGAAGTCGAAGCGATGCTGAAGTCAGGCTCTGGGCCGTTCTTGACTTAGATTTGGATTGGGGAAAGAGGAGGACCCAATTCGGGAAGCTGAGAGATACTCCTCGTATGGGCGGTTTCAATTTTCTTGGGTTTGGGCTTACGGCCCTTGGATGTTTCGGGACGAGGCAGCTCTTCTTCGGGCGCATGTTGGCTGCTACCAGAAGAAGAGATGGCTCTCTCGTCGATGGCTGAATGCTGTTGGGATTCAGAGTCGGAGTCATCCTTTGACTGTGCTGCCGCTTCCTTTTCATCCATTTCTTTCTCCGCTTGAGCGAACTCTTTCTCTGTCCAGCAGCCCTGCCAGCAATTCTTCCAGTCACAGACAAGAAAATGGAAACAGAAAGCGTCGATTTTCATACAGGGTTGGAAGCATATGCAAAGGTTGCGATAGTCCATCTTGTTTTGGTCGACATAGGAATGCAGGAGATTTAGGTGGCAGGTAATGGCGAAGAGAAGGTAGTAGTTGTACGGTGGCAGCTTCGAGAGCTCATCCTTCAGCATTTGCGGAGCGGTGGTGGCTCCCTCGCATTTTTCAGCGATCATAGCTTGCGTGTCTTTGGGGAAAAGCTCATCGGGCAATTCGCGCAGCCAGGCCTTAAACATAGATCCAATAGTGTTGATGTCATACAGGTCAGGCTCGTCGAAGAGATCAATGTCGAGTTCTGAGAAACTTTGTAAGCAAGGGACATAGTAATTTTCAACGCTTCCACTTACCGGTATCGAACCGTTTTTGCCAGTGTTTTACTTCTTTTCCACTACCAGGGACACGGTACAGCCCCTCCTCCTCGCAACCCTTGAAGTTGAGATAACTGAGACAAAGTTAGTAATTGATACTTTATTGGGGCAATGCGAACTTACTCAATGCAACGATACGGCAAAGCTGGCATCCAAAACTCCGTCTTGTCACGGCAATCCTCGAGCCGCTTTGCGATGCGAGTTCGTCGCGCTTGTTCAATGAGGGGTAAGTTGATGACAGAGCATATATAGTTGTCGTCAGTGATCAGCTCCCGCTCATTTGTGCTGCCACTCCGAGTAATCTTGCCAAAGAATCCTTTTCCTGCCTTGCCAAGACGGTCTGCGGCGCCGGTCGAAGACTGCTTGATGTTGTTGAATAGCGCCGCGGAAGCACCCGACACCTGACTTAAGGAGCCCGATGGGACCATCGATCCATGGCTTCTCTCTTTCCTGATGGAACCACTGCCGATTTCTGCTGAGCGGTCGACGGAATAGTTGCGAACCGCAGAATTTCCTGTTGCCCTAACCGGGCGTTCATAGCGCGACGTTGAGGCCTTGGTGGGTTCCTGTGCCTCCCGCGAGATGCTTTCCTCAAGCTTCATCAGGCCGGTTGATGGGCGTCTAACTATCCTGTTCGCCGAGGAATCGTCCAGTCTGATTGAGCGAGATCGCGAAAGAAGGTTGGCAAAGCGCGGTTGCTTCTTTCTGAGGGTGGATCCAGCCTCAATGTCTGTGCCTACTTTCTTGAGTGTCGACGTCTGGGGACCTTTGTCTGCAGAAGATTCACCGTCTGCAGGTTGCTTAGTAGGGGACTTCTTCAAACGAAAGCAGGCCATTGTACTCACTGTTCTCTTGCTCTGCTGCTTGGATCAGCCCAGGGAGATCCGGCGTTGATTCGTATTGCTTGGATGATATTTGTGTTTTGCGGTCCCTCGAGCTACCACGGCTCTTGGAGTTGTCCCCTGAGTTTCCGGAACCGTCCGACCTTTGCGTCCTATGAGAAGACTTGGGTGCTTTGAGGTTCGCGAAAAAGGACCGTGAAGTATCACGGGTATGTTTAGGAGAGCCTCTAGGGGAGGGGGGGTATTGAGGAATCGCAGTGACGCCGGGGGTGATGGGTTCAGGTGCACACGAAAAGGCAGGCGACCCTGGAAAGGTTGGGCTGTTTGACTTGCAATTGGATTCTTGGGTGACAGGTCGAATCGTGGTCCCCTTGAAGAAGGGTGAACTAGATGCAGACTTAGGAGAACGGGGTGTCAGGGGACTCGGCCCATCGGAGCTTTGGGCACCGGGTGTCAGTGGAGACGAGATCTTCGCATTGGTCTGCAGGGTGAAAGAGCTTAGATCTAAATTGGGAACAGTGGACTGTCTCAAGGGCATTTTTCGATGGAATCGTGGGTCACACAGTGGCCCTGAAATGCGTAGTAACGTTCGGTATCGACAGGGGCTAACGTGATATATCAAGTGCCGTTCGAAGATTAATTGATTGAATGAGAATAATCAACCTATTTTTTTTAAAAAAATATATTCTAGTCAGCAAATGAGTCAGACATAATCAAGGACGCAATTCGTGGTATTTGAGGGGCCAAATTCCTCATGGAGTGAATTCACAGCCCCAGTTGAGATCTTTACCTTTGCAATGCCTAAAGCATGGATATTCCAGCGATGATCCTTGTTCAAAAAGCCGACCAGCTCGAGATTGTATAAACACAGCTGTTCGCGTTGTTCGCGTCTTTCCGCTTGGTCGGGGTGAAACGATTGGAGGGAAACCAGCCTTGCCAATCTTTCAAAGGTATTGATATCGTTGTTCGGTGACGGCTGTCAGAGTGAACTGCAATATTTCTGGGGCAAAGAGAAAATTCCAGAGAGATCGGATCTAAGAGAAAGAGACATGGCCATTAGTGAGACAATTCGAGACGAAGGCGGGTTTGCTTTTGGATGAGTAAAAAAGCAAAGGTGCGCGATAGAGAAAGGTACGGGCACCGCAAGGAGAATGGACAAATGTAGGGATTCAATGGTTCGATGACGCTATTAATAAAGCTGACATTGTCACCCACCACCCCTTTGTGTGCATAATCAATTCACATGGAGTGATAGCACTCCTTGCTGTGAATCAATCGTTTCAGAGAACAATGGAAGACTTGGTATGAATGCATCGAAACCCGCCACCAGAAAGTAGAGACAGGAGACATTATTGTGACCTACCAGATCGCACCCCTCATGATATTGAATACTGCTTCTCTTCACTCCACACCAGTGTTCGATCCGAATCCGCAATCGATATGATCCCTCGTTTCCAAACTCGCCGATTCAACGGTTGCACAGATGATAAGTCGACCGATCGGACTGCGACCTATTTTCCTTTTTCTATTTCTTCCAGCTTCTTTTCTTTCCTTCTTTCTTTATTCCTTCTGTTCTTTGAGAATAGCGGTATCGGGAGGGGCGACAAGGGAAGGGTACTCGGCGTAGAATATCAAAGACAATCAATCGATCGATGGAGCTAAAAGGCCCAAGGAACCTGAGGAACCGAGAAAAAAGAAAAGAAAAAAAGGAACAAAAAAGACAAAGATCGATATTGGATTTCCGAATGAGGAGTGGTTTAGGAGGGGAGGGACACGAGAGAAAAGTTCCCGCACGGTGCTGAAGGTGCTCAGATTCAACTAGACTAGTAGGTTGTACTGTCGCAGCGACGACACATTCCCTCTTTGACAGCGTTATGCAAGCGCGGCTGCGTATCAGGCTAAGAAAGGCACCGTCTCTCTTTTTGCTTTTCCTTTTCTTGTTTTTTTAAGGGGTGGGAGAAGCAGAAGCCCGAATAGTGGAGAAGGGCGTTAGTTATTAGTTAGTTATTGGGGGTGGAAAAAGCGAAGGACAACAGCGTGGCTCGAGAAGAGACACTATGGCCGGCGCCTATTGAGTTAGTAGGGGATTAGTCTAATAATGCCCAGGCTGGATGGAATGGGCAAATGCTGCTGCTTTTCTATGAATAGTCTAACCAGGCGGAGAGAGGAAGACAAAACAGAGACGGCGCCGTCAAAACCCAAGGATCGTCGAGTCAGGAACAATCACCCAGAGGGATCCCAGCGGTGTTACAGCCTCTAAATGACGTCTGCTTTTTGAGTTTCCAAGGTTCCTGATCTTATTGATGAGGAAAAGGATCACGTCTAAGCGGTCGATCGTAGAATTCAAACCACAGAAATTATTATTATTACTGTGCCATCACCTACCTCTCCTGTTTACGGCACAGGCACAAAGCACCGCACACCGAAAGATCAGGAGTGGCCCCGCAGGAAGCGGTGAACCTCAGTGGCCAACGAGAATGGGTCTGGCAGCTGGAGCCTTGGGCGGGATGATGTACGTCCCAGTCAAGACGGCCGGGGATTGGTCCACCGCGAGTCACCCGGGTGGAGCTGTCTGGGATGGCCCGGCGAATCAGGCACCGCCAATCCTGACACGAGAAGCGACGACTCCGTTCCTGGGGACGCTCTAACGCTACAGTGCATTGGATATGTACCTTTTTTTTTTTTTTTTATGGTGGTGGTGGTTGATCTACACTTGGGATAAATGGCGTCGCATTTATTGACCATTAAACTTTGAGTACTGACTCTCCCTCAGCAAGACCCCTGGTACAGACAACAGTTTACTAGTGTGAATAATTCCATGCTGGTCATCCCGCCCATTATAAAGATCTTCTGGTGAAGCTTCCCTCAAGTCCTCGACCATGGTTCCATCTTGCCTTTCGATACAACGAGTGGGGCCCGCAAAATAAGGGGAATATTGTTGTTCACTTGTTCCAAAGGTTCTCACGTTGCCTACCCCGCAGGCTTCTTTTTTTATCTTTTTTTCTTCTTACTATGTCGATGGATTTCTATTATTCTATTATTCAGTCCTACCTTACCATTGTTCTATGCAGCAATACCCTGCAGTCATCTGATAATTATTAATATCTGACATTAGCTCGGCAGGAACCTGAAGAAAAGTGGCATACGTAGTATATACGTAGTCTCTCCCGTAGTCTGTACAGACAAGGGAAAAGTGGGGAAGATAACGCTCGCTACTACTGTATGCTGCTACGAGGGCAATATAGAATAAATTGCCGGCCAAGTCAACTTACATATTAGATTTTACGGCGTACATAATTTAAGTGGTACTGGAATGAACACGATTGGTCACGTTTTCTGCTCCATTTCCAATGGCCTTCCATCTAATCCCGGATCCAGCGTTGTAAAGGCTGATTTGAGTTGCTCACAAGATAGCAGCGTAAATCACCGCTAGGCCACAATCAGGTCGGCTGCCCGAGCTCCGACCATCTTAGCAGATAGCATTTCTGTCATCTTCAAATCAATACTTCATCGTCAAGCAGAGACAATGCCCACCAGTCATCTCATCTCGCAAAGACACGCAGATGCGATGCTGATAAACAACTCTGATCACAAAAACGGTCGAACCAAATAATGCATACCGGGTAAGTCGGATGCATTGGACCTGCTCTTGTGGCAAAGCAAGAACCTCCTCGATCGTGTCAACGCTGACCTTCAGACCAGAAATGGGTCTTGAATAATAGAATTGGAACCCATTTATGTCAATCGAAAGAAGATTAAGTTCCATAGACCCTTTGACACATTTTGAATTCTCGATCGTCTGCCACTTGCGCAGAATAACAGTCATGACGCACCATTTCCGCCGATGAGGCATAGATTCATGTCATCACTGAGCCAGATTCATCAAAGGCAAAGATTGTTGCGACGTATCAAGGACATGCTCTTTCTCGACGACAGTCGTTAAGCTCTACTCAACCAATCCTTGATGGTGTTCTGAGTTGACAATCGCTTCGAGTACGTGCGAATAGGAATCCGGCTCGCTTCTAAAGTCCTTTATTGGAGTGATGACTTTTGTCAAAGAGGAGTAAATTCTGTTCATTACCAGATGGAGGAATGGCTTGAGAGCTGTAACCACTACTGAGGTAAGAGATGATATTGACATCAGCCTGATTAACTGGTATCTCATAGTAGGTAGGCACTGTGCAGTGTGGCCAGTGCTTAATTAGATAGAGCTGTAAGCTGTGTATAATTACTGAGTCAATAACATACATATATATAGAGAGAGGGGTGAATAAGATAATATATAAGGACCTGAATGCGTGTTGATACTCAAGACTTTGGGCTTTCATATCGAGGCTGCTGCATAAGATATCTACATATTTCTCAACCAACTAGTGCTCTTGATCTGCCTCTCATCCTTAATAGTACTAGGTATATTTTGTTCTAATTACAAGAATAGTATTTACCTCCCATGTGATGGAGATTTATTGCTAACTACTCCGTAATTTCTTTCATATTCCCTGTAGCTCGATGGCAAAAAGTCTCGAGTTTTTATCAGTAGTATGCTGCCTCATACATCATACACTCCACTTGCAGGCGCTAAGCGGCAAAGCAATGATAAACACACTATCCCCTATATAGAGTACACGTGGGAGGCATAACAGTTGTCAACGAATATTACGGCAATTAATGAATGTAAGCAGCGATAGTCCATCCCGCCACCCAGGACCTTTGTTCCGAGAAATAATTACCATCAGCAGTAATAAAAATAAATAAATATATCCTTGGTCCAACCAGGGGGGCGTCGACAATTCAGGGGTTTCACACCACTTCTTCACACACCGCCCATGCTAGCAGGCCCTAACAGCGAGTCTGAAACAGCCGACGGCCCAGCCTGCGCTGACCCAGGCCGAGCGGCCCCGAGATCACGTGTCGCCAGCCCTCTCGTTTCGAGTTCGACGCACTTCCCCATTAATCTCTCCTGCAAAAGCTTTTCATCGCCTACTCAACACGTGCTTGGTTGGGTTTTCGTCGCCTTTCTGCACTCTTTCCACGGAACGGCATGCACTGACAGCACTGTGGCTTTTCTTTTCGAGTTTCATCTATTCTCGATGACCGCATGATCTACGCTGGCTTGCCCCTCGATGGACAGCTTTCGTAATCCATCGTTATTCGAGTTATCTTGATGACAGAACTGAACTTTGCCCACGACATCCCACTCACCCACCATCTTTGGTAGATCGTTAGCCTTTTTTTTCTCTTTGTTTTTTTTTTTTGCCACTAACCACCCTGAATCTGCCCGAGATTTCTCAGAAATTTCCCAGGACGAATCATCACATCGCAATTCGCAATGTCGTTGGTTTCGGGTCCTGGCAGGGCTGTTGGCAGCCGCTCAGAGCAAACACTGTGTATCCAAAAACACGTGGACTATATCAAGAATCTTGACACTGTGCGTGATTCTTATTGCCATAAATCTTCTCTTAATGATGGAGAATGTGGTTGACGGGTGCTGTTAGAGAAGGGATGAGTTGGAATATTGGCTCACCGAGCATCTTCGACTGAATGGAGTTTATTGGGGCTTGAATGCTCTGTATCTCCTTGGCCATCCCGAAGCATTACCCCGAAAGGAAACCATCAACTTTGTCCTATCGTGCCAAAAGGATGACGGTGGCTTTGGCGCTGCCCCTGGTCATGATGCACACATGTTGTATACAGTCTCTGCCGTACAAATCCTTGTAATGCTGGATGCGGTAGATGAACTGGAGAAACGTGGCCTGGGAGGCAAGCAGAAAGTCGGATCTTGTACGATATAATCCTTTATCCTGCCTTTTTACTGTCAATTCCCAAGGCCGTGCTAAAGGGTTACAGTCATCGCAGGATTGCAGGATAAGGAAACTGGTACATTCATGGGCGATGAATGGGGTGAGGCGGACACCAGATTCCTATATGGTGCATTCAACGCCTTGTCGTTATTAGGTCTTCTCGACCTGGTTGATGTTCCCAAAGCCGTCACCTATATCCAGAAATGCGAGAATTTGGATGGTGGCTATGGGATCAAACCCGGGGCCGAAACACACGCTGGCCAGGTCTTTACATGTGTAGGAGCTCTGGCGATTGTTGGAAGACTCGATCTGATCAACAAGGACCGCCTAGGTGGTTGGCTTAGTGAAAGACAGATGGAGAATGGCGGATTCAATGGTCGCCCTGAAAAACTGGAAGATTCATGTTATAGCTGGTGGGTTGGTGCCAGCATAGCCATGATCGACAAAATTCACTGGATAGATGGTAGCAAACTTGCTAGCTTTATCTTGAAGTGCCAGGTGAGTTTGGTCATTGATTGATTGTCATTTCATTTTCACTAATGCAATTTAGGATCCGGAAGCTGGGGGATTCGGAGACCGACCTGGTAATATGGTCGATGTCTTTCATACTCACTTCGGCATCGCAGGCCTCAGTCTGTTGAAGTTCGACGGCATCAAAGAAGTAGATCCTATATAGTAAGTTTCGCTCTTTGCATTTCACTCTTGATGAACGATGCTAATGGATGGCAAACAGTTGCATGCCGAAGGAAATCATATCAAAGTGTTTGGCGAGGTAGCAGATATCTGTCTTCCTCCGATGTATATCAAAGTTCCCACCGACTTGAAAATTCGTAAGATAATGTTCACCTTTTCACCTCCTGCCATCTAATAACCCGTCTTCCGTTCCGTGGATCATGGGATACAAGGCAGGAGAAGAGCAAAGCCACCGTGACTTATTTCCGCTTCATACCATACCTACAATGGCCTGTTATAGAGCCGTTAAGACATGGTGGCACACTTTTCATGTAAAGTCAAGTTTTCAGTTTTAGTTTTTTTTTCAATGATTATTGCTAAAGCATTCACAATGGACTTATTATTTAATGACTCTTATAATATATGCCCGGTTGACTTCTCGCTCCAAGATACACAAGGCTCGTCTTCGTGATTCGTAGTGGTGGGTAGGGTTGGTAGTTCCTTCTCCAAGTACCACCACTTACTTCTTTGGGATACCTGACTTCCTTCCTACCTTCCACTCCGTCGCCCTCTCGTTCGCCTGCCCTGGTGGCCGTGGAGTCTCCAGGGCAAGTCCTTCTTTCACGATCTCTTCCTCTTCGTCACTTCTTCAGTTCCCAGCGAGTCTTCATTTTGTCAATCCGGGCAAGTCTTTCTATCTTGGTTTCTTGTCTTTGGCTGCTTCTCATGCCAGCAACGATCCGTATCTCTTACCTGTCGTTTCCTTCAGTATTTGGTCAATTCGGCCCTCCATTCTTCATCTCATCTTTTCAAAATGGATGCAGCTGCACTATTGTGCAACATCTGCCCCAAACGACCAAACTTCAGTGATGTATCTCACCTATTGACTCACATTTCGTCCAAGGCACATCTGTCCCATTATTTCAAACTTCAAGTACGCAGCCACCAGGAGTCACAGGCAGGCGATTTACTCGATGAATACGACCAGTGGTACAAGGCCAATAATCTGGCCAAGCTACTCTCTGATCGAATGGCCTCGAAAGAAGCTCGGAAGAGGAAGTCCCAGGGCAAGAATTCTTCTCATGGTACAGCATACCCCACGAAAAAGGCTACTGGTTATAAGCCAACACCGGTTGCAACGACGTGCCCTTCCCCCGAGAACTCATTGACCGACTACCTCGACCCACGACTTTCCGATACTTACCTGAACGTTGATTCCGTCCAGACCAACCGGAATGTATCCTACTCTGCTAGCTACGTTACTCCGGCTACGTCTTCGATCACAGACCTTCGGACCCATCCTCGTCCAGATTATAGACTTCCAGTATCTCCACAGACAACGCTGTCGTACCAATGGAAACAAGAACGTGAATTGGACTCTGGAGATGAAACCAGCATGATCCTGCAGGCTACACCTATATGGTCTCGAAGAGTGAATGGAAAAATTGGCACAATCTCTCAGTTGCCTCACGGGGACCTTGGCTATGATCCTTTTGTTGATGACAACGATTCCTTTGACTCTCCGGGCACCGAAGTTGACAAAGATAGGGCTGACGAAATTGCAAGACTGAAAGGGGTATTGTGGCCGGGAATGGACATATTTGACTCCGCTACCGAGCAGATGAGACGTAAACGTAACCAGAAAAAGGATCAAAGTATCCTCGAGATGATGGAAAAGACATCCATGTGTGTTGAGCCTACGGAGCTGGTTTTCTCTCCCACGGGAATTCTACGAAAGCAACGTGTGATCTCTGGTAATGTCGAGGATAGCAGTCCTCTGAAAGGAGAGACACCAATTCCTAAACGCCGACCTGCTCGTCCGAAGCGTGTCCTTTCCCAAGTCGACTCTAACGCTCAACGTGGCCAGGATAGCAAAAGGGCCAAGAAAATGACCGGTCTAAGTCTCAGCAGGCATACAGAACCTCAACGAGGCCTGCAGCTCCCACAGAGTCCTTTGCCCCCTCTGCCACTTCGCTATGGCAATGGCTACTACCCCTCCCATGGAGATGATGTTGACGAGCTCTCTATGACCATCAAAGGTCTTGAGTCTAGGTCCCGTAGTGGGTTCACTGTGTTTCATGACGAACCGAATCAATACAAGTTGAGCTTCAAGGAAAATGATCATGACGATGGCCCACGTTTTGCAATGGGAGACCTTTCTCATACTGGCTTTTCTCGACGAGACACCTTGGCTTACAATCCATTCCAGCCTTCTACCCCCAGCACATACGCTTCAAACTTTGCTGGAATGGCAACCCGAATTCCTGCAGATAAAGAAAACATCGAGCCCCTTCTGAACGCCAATGGTAGAATTGATCCTGTCGTTGGCTGGCACTCTCCAGTGATGAAACGATGCCCCACTGCTGATACCGGGTATCCACCACAATTTTTCTTCGGAAATACCCAATGCTCGGGATTCAGTCCATTTGATGGTCCCTCCATTCCTTCTGCATATTCGTTTAATCCGTTAGCTGCTTCCTTCCCGAAGCTGCCAGTTGAAGAATACCCTATATATGACACGGAACCCACTGACGATCACAAGCCAAAGCCTGCTTCACGCGCCACCTCTGTTGATGCTACGATCTCAGAAATTGAAGAAGACGACTTCGACAGGCTTTATCTAGATGGAAGCTCTTACTAGAATCCATCCAAACTTGACTTTTGCTTGTTTATTATGTTGCTCAGCACTCCGCACAATATCCTTATCCACATCATTGTGGTTCGGAGAAATCAGTGTGCCCGTCAGCTTTAACCTTTGTGTTACAATTATAGCCCGCGTGGGACTCCTTTGCCTGCAGGTATATAGCTTTTATGTACTACTTATTATACAGCATGGATTTTGATTTCGTTTGGGGCAAGTCTACAAGATCAGTTCTCGAGGCGATGGCGATGGTTACATCCACTGTTTGAAAACATTGAGGACACAAGACCATAGAGTTAGATTACAACATTCGCTTTTAGCATGAAACCAATCGATTCTTTCCTAATATCATAGATTTGTGCTAGAAGTTGACTAACTTTTAGAATGTTGATTATATAAGCCAATTTAAGCTGTTCACGCTACGCGCGTGTGGCTCTTTACGCGTCAAGCTCCGCGGCGAATGCGAAGTCGCAAGGTTAATATCATCATTCATACTTGTGATTATTGTGCCATTGATTGTGTGTTCTGAGTCTAGTGTTTCTTTGCAGAAATCCTCTGTACTATGCAGAGAACTATCCGCTATTAAGAAATACCTCCGAGGATAGAGCTCGCATGCGATTTCCCATCGTTCTGGGGGGTTTTTTTATTAAGCATACAGTGCAGGGGGTAAAGCCTCGCGATCAACCCTTCACATCGCCACCTTTACACTTGTGATGATTGACCGTTTACCTGCTTGAGGGCTTTTAAACAGAATATTGACACTAGCACCTGTTTTTATCTCTACGTGAAACACCCGAGAAAGATCAAAATGCCTCTCCCATCATCGCAATCGTCGGCCTCGTCTTCTCCGAGCCTGAAGCGGAAACAGCCAACCATCGCGAGCTTTTTCACGAAGAAGCCATCCGGAACTCAGCAAAGGCCCCCTAGTGGAGATGATGATAAGGATGTGATAAAGAACGGGGAGCAAGAAGACACTTCCGAGAGGAAGAAGGACGAGAAGGCAAGAGATGAGAATGGGTTGACGGACGATGACGAAGATATTGTGGCACCGGTCTCGAAACGAGCCAGAACGAAGGGATCATCTTCGAAAGATACCAGTGGAAGCCCGACCATCGAGCGCTCTGCCCATTTCGAACCAGCCCCGCCATCAAGTGGCAGTCAACGAACCAAACAATTTAAATTTAACAGTTCAGCGCCTGACTCTGGGCTGCAACCGATACAGGAGCTAGACGAACGAGAGACCAAACAACGAGATAAAGAAAGAGAGAAGCTACATAAGCAGTTTGTTAAAAAGCTAGGGGGCGCAGACTGTCTTATTGGGATTGGAAGGAATACTGCCAGCGAAGCTGCTCCAGTTGGGGAGGATGGCGCAGACGACGATGAGGACGAAGACGCGGCGCCTCCCCCTCCTACGAAAGGAAAAGGCACGGCTAAGAAAGGCGGGAGCAAGCTTACTCCGATGGAAAAGCAGGTCATTGAAATTAAGAAAAAGCACATGGATACAGTTCTGGTCATCGAAGTCGGTTACAAGTTTCGATTCTTTGGTGAAGATGCGCGGGTAGCTGCCAAGGAGCTGAGTATTGTCTGCATTCCTGGCAAATTCAGATTTGACGAGCGTAAGTGCAGTGCCATGAGGAAACTACACTTGCTGCTTTATTTGGTCCCGTGCTAAATTATATTCCTCACGGCTTAGATCCCTCGGAAGCTCATCTCGATCGGTTCGCATCTGCGAGTATACCCGTACACAGGCTACATGTGCATGTCAAGCGTTTGATTACTGCCGGGCATAAAGTTGGAGTGGTTAGGCAGATTGAAACTGCTGCACTAAAAGCTGCTGGCGATAACCGCAATGCACCCTTTGTCCGCAAACTTACAAATTTGTACACGAAGGGCACATATATTGACGACGTGGAGGGACTGGAAGGGCCTGCTCCTACTGCATCTCCAGCAACAGGATATATGCTCTGCATAACTGAAGCGAATGCCAAAGGCTGGGGCAACGACGAGAAGACCCATGTGGGAATTGTTGCCGTCCAACCGGCCACTGGAGACGTAATTTATGACGACTTTGAGGATGGTTTCATGAGAAGTGAGGTTGAGACAAGGTTACTTCATATCGCACCTTGTGAGATCCTCATTGTCGGTGAATTGTCCAAAGCCACAGAGAAGCTCGTTCAACATCTTTCAGGTAGCAAGATGAATGTCTTTGGCGATGCGGTGCGAGTTGATAGGGCCCCTAAGAAAAAGACTGCAGCTGCCGAGTGTCATAGCCACGTCTCGAGCTTTTATGCCAATAAAATGAAGACTGCAAACAACACAGCCGATGTACAGGCAAGTAGTCTACTGCAGAAAGTACTCAATTTGCCCGAACAGGTCACTATCTGTCTTTCAGCTATGATTGAGCACATGACAGATTACGGGCTGGAGCATGTCTTCGAGCTTACGAAGTACTTCCAACATTTCTCTTCTCGGTCACATATGCTTCTCAACGGTAATACATTAATGAGCCTTGAGATATACCAAAACCAGACCGACTACTCCGCTAAAGGAAGTCTTTTCTGGACCTTGGATCGAACAAGGACGCGTTTTGGACAAAGAATGCTTCGAAAATGGGTTGGAAGGCCTTTGCTTGACAAGTCACGGCTGGAGGAAAGGATTAATGCAGTCGAGGAACTCCTGAATCCGGAGCGAACCGTTCAAGTGGAGAGAGTGAAAGGCTTGCTTGGTAAAGTCAAGAGTGATTTGGAAAAGAGCCTGATTCGCATTTACTATGGAAAGGTATATAGAATATATGGATACCTCGTGACTGGATTGATGCTAATAGACTGGGCAGTGCACACGACCGGAACTTCTGACTGTCCTCCAGACGATGCAGATGATTGCCCAGGAATTTGCGGATATCAAAGCTCCCGCAGATACTGGATTTACGTCGCCCGTGGTCAGTGAGGCCATTGCATCCCTACCGACAATTTTGAAGGATGTCGTGTTCTTCCTCGACAAGATAAACATGTACGCGGCGAAGAAGGATGATAAGTACGAATTTTTCAGAGAATCGGAAGAGACCGAAGACATCAGTGAACAGAAGCTTGGGATAGCTAGCGTCGAACATGAGCTCGAGGAGCATCGCTCGGCTGCTGGCGAAGCTATAGGGAAGCAGAAAGTGGTATATACCACTGTTGCGGGCATTGAGTACCTGATCGAGGTTGAGAACAGTTCGGCCACTCTCAAACGGGTGCCTGCATCGTGGGTGAAGGTCAGCGGCACAAAGAAACTTTCGCGATTCCACACACCAGAGGTTATCCAGTTACTTCGACAGCGAGATCAGCACAAAGAAGCTCTGGCTGCGGCTTGTGACAAGGCGTTCACGGCTCTTCTTGCGGAGCTAGCCACCAGCTACCAGTCTTTCCGTGACTGTGTACAATCTTTGGCGATGCTCGACTGTCTACTTTCTCTAGCTACTATAGCGAGCCAGCCCGGATATGTCAAGCCTGAGTATACGGAGCATGCATGTATCTCAGTGAATCAAGGACGCCACCCAATGGTTGAACAGCTTCTACTCGACAGCTACGTCCCTAATGATATCGATATGGATACAGATAAAACCCGTGCGCTCCTTGTCACAGGTCCAAACATGGGTGGAAAGTCCAGCTATGTGCGGCAGGTGGCCCTTATCGCTATTATGGGGCAGATCGGTTCTTATGTCCCTGCTCAATCGGCAAAGCTGGGTATGCTAGATGCAGTCTTCACTCGCATGGGGGCGTTCGACAATATGTTGGCTGGTGAATCTACTTTCATGGTCGAATTGTCCGAGACGGCCGACATACTCAAACAAGCTACGCCTCGTTCGCTTGTCATTCTCGACGAACTGGGTCGGGGCACTTCTACCCATGACGGTGTTGCCATTGCACAGGCAGTCCTGGACTATATGGTCCGGTCCATTCGAAGTCTCACACTCTTCATCACACACTACCAGCACCTCTCCAACATGGTGCACTCTTTTCGTGACAAAGAGCTCCAAAACGTGCACATGCGCTTCACAGAATCGGGCTCCGGGAAAGACGAGGATATTACTTTCTTGTATGAGGTTGGAGAAGGCGTCGCACATCGCAGTTACGGGTTGAACGTTGCACGGTTGGCGAACTTACCGGCATCCCTACTTGATCTGGCCAAGCAGAAGAGTGCGGAGTTAGAAGAGAAGATTCGTCGCCGGAGACTTGCGGGACTCGTCACGGCGGTTGGTGATATTATGGTGGATTCTCCAATGGGGAATGAGAGCTTGATTGAGCGACTCATTACTAGTGCGGAGCAGTTATAGGCACAACAAAAACATGAACTAAACTTAGACATTTCGGGTTATTTGGTACGGGTACTGGGCGGTTTAGATTGGCGTGGTATGCATGTTGGTTTGCACCTGATAGCATATATTGTATAGTAAATACCATGTAGAAAATCCCAGTCACGTCGATAGCATATTACTACTCCGTACCCCGTACTACTCCATACTTTCTCGGATCTACTACGCTCAGTCATGACGAAAGCTATCGAAGGGGCATCTGATAGCTAGCATGAAAATGAGTCCAATGGGGCAAAAGTTGGAACCAGGAGATACAGGCGGAGGATATCACATAATTAGAAGAATCCGGACCAGACTCCGTAATCGAAGCGATATGCCGGAGAAGAAAGGTTCCATTTCAATCATTATCTCTTTTTTTTTTTTCTCCATCCCGATTCCACTTTTTTGGACCCTCTATAACCCTGTGCGCCTTATGCGACTGTGAAAAAGAAACAGGGAATGAGAAAAACAACGGACCGCATCATCGATATAAAGACGTTTCAGTATCCTCTCCGATGAGAGGAAAGTTGAAGTTGCGACGTAGATAAACAGCCCGGAAAACATCATCCAATCGAATCCGTTGATTTCAAATTTTTTTCCTTTTTTTCATTTCAGGTCGATCTTTTTCTTTTCTTCTTTATTCCCTGGTAGTTCGTAACAGACAGAATAGTAAAAAGAGAGAAAAAAGAATTCACAACCGTATGTTGTCGCACCAGCCCATGCAGTGAACCAACCACGCTTTTTTGCCTTCCCAACCTCCCAGAATCATCTCCATCGCAAGCAAAACGTACATAGCCTCGAGAGGTAAAAAGAAAACTCGGAGGAAACGGAGAAATTATCTGAGACGGCGGGCCTCTCTTTCGGATTCGAGCAGGCAGAGGATGTCATCGACCTTGACTGTAGTGCGACAAAAAAAGTCCAGTTAGCCTTTGTACCTTTCTTCGATTTGGCTGGTCCCCTCAATCAACTCCGTATATTTGATCCTTCTTGTGCCTTCTGGCTTTCTTTGTTGTTTCCTTTTCTCTTTTTGATTCCATCTCTTGTTTTTCTTTCCATCTGGCTTTTTTCTTGGACCAATTCACGGGAGTTGTCGGGAATGGGTAAAAAAAAAGGGAAACTTCAATCGCAGCACAAAAGTCGCATACCTGGGCCCTTGACGTTACGGATGATGCTGCGGGAGGTGTCGTCCATGAATTCGACACGGACCTGGGTGACACCACCACGGGAGCCTGTCGAAAGCAGGACATGTTAGCGACATGGCCATCAACATAGACGTGAAAAGAATTCCATACCGGTACGGCCGAGGACACGGGTCACCTTGACGAGCTTAACGGGCTGCTTGCTGGAATCCATCTTGGAGGTAGGGCTCGACGACAGCGAGGATTGACTGGATGGAGGAAGATGGCGGAAGAGGAGGCCGTTTCGTTCGGGGTCGGTGGTGTTGGCAGCAAGGCGGTTTGGCGGTTTGGCGGTGCGATTATTTTGCGGTTGTGTGGGCTTCTGTTTTAGGAAAAAGGCGGGCAACTTTAGGCGAGGGTTCAGGGCTAATTGACACCTGAATCGTCAGGCATACATGGTGACTCAGGCATCCGCCGCCGGATCTTTCGATACGGCGCCAAATGATTCAAGACTCACATCGGATGAGCAAATAATTAGTAGTCATAGATAATATTTCGAGTAGTTTGCTATCATCCCAATCTAATGTAAAGTAGCCTCCCACGTGTCGTTGTTGCGCCGTTCTGTTGCTCCCTCTTGCTGCCCCTCCCCAAAGTCAGACTCTGCGAAAGCTCCGGTTTCGTTCCAAACTCCATCATTGTCATCGATCTCCCCTTCATCCCAACCCCTCTTACTTCTTGGATAGAGACAGATTATAAGAGTCATCTGAATTCTAGTCTATCTCCATATTTCCCTACTCCGATTTCTTGCCAATCTCTTTTTCTCTTCTAAACCCCCTCCAATTACTCCCTCCGATATCTACCCCGCGCTTGATCGTCAATCGCAATGGATCTCGTCAACCAGTGAGTCAATTGCTTTGTTGAATAGATCTCCTTGCTCAATTAATATTATTCCGTATTCATTTTGATACTAATACTTCCCCAGCCTCGAAGGAAGACTCCTCTTCGCCGTCCCAAAGAGCAAGTGCCCGCTGTGACTCATCTCCGCAAAGCATTGAAAACACTTGTTATACAAACCAAAAGAGACTTATGACATCAAGCTGACCTGCGATTCTTTGTCTGTTTAAAGAGGGTCGTCTTCAACAAGCCACCTTGGACCTCCTGGCAGGATGTGACGTCCAATTCCGCCGCGAAACCCGTCTTGACATCGCCCTGGTCAAGAACCTCCCGATCGCCCTTATCTTCCTCCCCGCCGCAGATATCCCAACCTTCATTGGTGAGGGACGAGTTGACCTTGGTATCACTGGTCGCGACCAGGTTGCCGAGCACGACGCAAACCTTCCCCAGGGCGAAGTTTCCGGAGTGGAGGAGATCCTCGACCTCGGGTTCGGTGGCTGCAAGCTGCAGGTGCAGGTCCCGGAGAAGGGTGACATTACGGAATCGAAGCAGTTGGTCGGCCGCAATGTCGTGACTAGCTTCACTGCTCTTTCTGAGGCATTTTTCGCCGGGCTTGAGGGTGCCGGAGAGCCCAAGTGCTCGCGCACCAACATCAAGTACGTTGGCGGCAGTGTCGAGGCCGCCTGTGCCCTGGGTGTCGCTGACGGCATTGTTGACTTGGTTGGTAAGTTGCGCGCGATCATCACAATTACCATGTAATTTACCAGATGGCTAATTGCATCTATACAGAGTCCGGTGAGACCATGAAGGCTGCTGGTCTCAAGGCCATTGACACCGTTGTCGAGAGCACTGCCATTCTGGTCAAGTCCAGAAACACCAAGAACCCCATCGTGGACCTCATTCTCCCCCGTATCCGCGGTGTTATCAGTATGTTCATCTGTTATTCTACTTTCTGCCTAATAAGCGTCTGACCCATTTTTTTCTCTTTACAGCCGCTCAGAAGTTTGTCCTCTGCCAGTACAACATCCCCCGCGTGGAGTTGGCTACCGCCTCGAAAATCACTCCCGGCAAGCGTGCTCCCACCATCACTGCCCTCGAGGAGGATGGCTGGGTTGCCGTCAGCTCGATGGTCGAGAAGAAGAAGATCGCCACTGTCATGGACGACCTGTCCAAGGCCGGCGCAACCGATATTCTGGTCATGAACATTGCCAACTCAAGAACGGATTAAGAATAGACCGGACTGGACTGTTGTGTTCTTAGTTGTTTTCTTAGCTTAGTTTGGCGTCGTTTCCTTATATCTTTTTGTTTCTAGAATTTTTGGCTCAATATCTTCGTCTTCGGTGTTATCTTATTTTATATTTCTTTTCTTCTTGATGTTGGAACTTGTGGAGTGCAAAACAAAAACATTTCCTACTTTCAAAATAGATTACGGTGTATGAGATGAGACCTATAAACAGAAAAAAAGAAAAGGCTTATATATGATACTAGATTTCTCTATACATGCATGCTTCTATCAGGCTTACAAATCATCAATAGTGTACATGGATGTTTATGCACAAGCAAATCTCCAACAAAAGTATATAGTATATGCCATCATTCCGCATAGCCATCACATCATATCATAATTGAGAACAAGGGGAGAAGAGTAGGGTATCGAAAATTGAACAGGTAAAGCAAAGAAGAAAAGAGCAAGGAACCAAAAAAGTAGCAACTATGCGAGAGGAGTGCTCATTCCCACCCCTTCTCGCCGGCCTCGGACAAGAGCCCGAAGACATTGCCCGACACCCTCGAGATCACCCAACAACCCCACATGACCCCGGTCACTTTTCACCAACCCATCCTTGATAATCCGGTAACCAGAAGGCAACATGGCAGCGGAAGCAAGGCAGACTCCGTCCCCAGCGGCAAATGCCAGGTCATCATAAGCATCTTGGTGCTTAATTTGCTCACGCGACCAGACTCGGGCGCCATAGACGGTAGGCACCGACTTTCCATACAGCACGGCACAGGGCGGGTAGCGGTTTTCAGACTGGTGGATAGGATTGTAGGCGAGCTCTTGTTTGAAGCGGTAGACTTCAGCGAGGGTGCGTTCGAGGTAGGCGATTGCCGCTGGGCGGGGGATGGTGGAGGTAGTTGAGGCTTTGAATGCGGGAGCGGCTTTCGGGTTGGAGGTTGGTCCCACGAGGCCGTCGATCGATGGAGCCATCGCAGAAGCCTTGTGGTGTACTTCTGAGAATGGGTTCGTGGATTTAGGGGCGTTTCGATTGTCTTGTGGCATGGTATTATGATGGTTGATATCAGGGTGGGGAAGGTCTTCTGCCTTGTGGGATGAATCGTTTGTCTCATCTGTATCTGTCAAACCACTCAGAACGGTGGACAACCGCTTTCCGAGAAGAGGTAAGTTATCCTTGAAGTTCTTGCCAGTCAAGGGTGGAAGAGCGAGGTTGATACAAGGCGACAGACGCCATTCATCCCAGGCTTTGGCGTCGAAAAAGTCCACCCGATACTCTTCTTTAGTCCGTTTGTCGATGAAGCAGTGACCGTCCTCGGGGAGAAGGGCAAAGCTGGTCCGGAAAGTGAAATTCACTTGCGCCGTGAGAACTCGGGAGCTCAGCAGGACCTCGTCACCATTTCGAAGCGGTCCCAAAATGTTGACGCAATGCTGCGGCGTGCCTGCATAGATGACACCAGCGAACAGCTCAGGTCGTTGGTTCACAGCGTGTCGCGTAATAAGACCACCCAAGCTGTGAGCAATCACATATGCTCCACGTTTCTCACGGGGCACATCAGGGGCGTTGCACGGTAGACCCTCGAGAAACTTAATCAATTTCCTAGACAGCAGATGCGGGCTCAACCGCCAGTCATATCCATAGTCCCACACTCGAAGATCCCCGTTGACAGCATTGTCGCATTTCTGCAGTCGCTTAATCAACCGGCGGCAGATATCCACTGGACCAACATGCGAGAGCACACCAGAAGGGATGATGCTTTCCTCCATCCGCTCCTCGTCTTCCGGGTTCAAGCCCACCTCGAGATCGACCTTGCGGATATTCAAACCAACTTTCATCGGAACCCACAGCTGACGCTGCGGTGGTTTGGCCGAGCGCAGGATAGATCCTCGGTATCCTCCCATAACAACGACGTCACCTGTCATTTCGGACATGGCTTCAGTTAGAATGGGGTGCAAGGTGTTGGAGTTCGACCGTGGGATACGATTCTGGGGCTCTGAAGGGTCTGGAGTAGGAATCTCAGGCGGTGGCTGAGGCTCATCCGAATAATTGTTACCCTTGCGTTGGGAGACATCGTTCATAAACGGCTTGTAGCCCCAATCACTCCGTATGTCCTGGAGATGCAGAGTGGGCATACTCAGCAGACGGCTGCTGGAATCCTGGAGACTGTCCTTGATGGCTTTGAATCGGCTATTGACCTGGGAATGAATATGTTCGTACTGGGGTCGCTGATCGAGAGAAGACGCAGTCGAAGATGCTCTCAAGTACAAGGACTGGTCGGAAGAGGATCTCCTGAGCACGGGCGGTGCTCCTCCAACGGTCGAGCTGGGTCTGCGGGTAAACGAATGCTTTGCAGCTGCTGATTCATTGAGAGGCTTGAGCTCTGAGATAGGCTCCTCAGCTCCATTGCTGTCGATTTGATTTACACTGGAAGTCGACGGGCGTTGCGGCCGGACCGGAGACTGCTCCTTTTGCTCCAAAGCCAACCTGGACGGCGAAGGCTTCACGGTCTGACTGCGAGGACGCTGCTGGTTCGAATTCGACTTGCCAAACGACAAGGATGGCCGTTTCGCCAGGGAACCCAGATCCGGAAGGAACTTCTTGAACGCGTCGCCGCCCGACCAGGCCCGCGAACGCAGCGGCAGGCCGCTTTTCAAGATCGATCGGGTGAAGCTGGACCGTTGATCCTTGGGCAATCGCTGGCTATCTGAATCTGTCGTGACCGAAGCTTCTGTCCCCGCATCCTTGCCGGGTTCCTGGGGCGTATGATCGACAGCGGGTTGTTTTCTGGGGGGCTCCGGGAGAGACTCGGGCTCGGCGGTGATCTCAGACAGATACAGACCGTCCGAGTCGACCTCGTCGGGAATGGTCTCGAAATAACCCCCATTGTGTTCCATGACACGGTTCTTTTCCTCCGCAGGTGTCTTGCGGGCCTTCATGCGACTTTGGGTGCGACTAATGCTGACACCGACCACTTGGTCAGCCTCATCTTCGTCAGCATCATTGACGGGGTGAGTGGCAGGTTCATCGCTGTCGGAGCTCGAAGTCACAGTGGGCGACAAGTTCATTGCCCCTGGATGGTTTTCCCTCAAAAGGCTTCCCTGACGATTTTGATTTACTGGTGGAATGGCTGTAACCGCCATGGTGAGATTGGACGCAATGCAAGATAAAAGATGGCGTCACAGCATGCAGGTAAGATAAAAATAAGGGAAAAAAAAGAAAGGAAAGAAAAAGGAAAAAATAGAAAAGAAGAGAAGAGAAAATAAAGACGAGGGAATAGATAAGAATAAGAATAAGAATACGGAGATTATAACCGTTCGATAAGCGTAATCACATGCAGAGGAAATCTTGCTTGGAGAGACGAGAAGATGGTGATGTTGAAGCGGAAGACGATGATGTCGATGATCTCTGGACGAAAAAACAACAGGACAACGGCGGGGATAGGACAAATGGACTGGCCATTGATAGACTGTGATTTAATGGTACATGATCTTGTATTATTTGATATTATTTATGCCTATTCCCTAGGCCGATGCACGGGTTAATAATGAAGGTTGATTATTATTATTTTCTGTCGGTGGAGGAGAGAAAAAAAAAAGCAAAGTTTGGGCTTCGGTTCCACTGGGTGCTGCACAGCCTCCGGGAGCTCCGGATGGAAATTGGGAATAAGCATTCGTATTGAGCTAATGATGATGCTGCTGATGCTTGATTATTATTATTTGTGTCCATATTAAGAGAAACTGTTTCTTTTTTTGGTCGCGATGTTTCAATTATTGGCCCTTCGTCGTATTCGTATCTGCATTCCTCTTCGACCAGATAAAAAGGCCTCGACTTCTCCATCGGGTTTGTTTGGAGCAAATGCATCTTCTAATTGCTATTTCTATCCCCTCACTGGTGATCTGATATCTCTAGATCCACTGGACTAAAGGAAGCCGTTGCGGCGATAAAATGGCTCCGTCGTCCGTACAGTCTAACGGTGCTAGCAGAATCTATTACAATAGTATCTCGATTCTCCCAGAAATAGCATCGAAACCCCCCAAATGGCCATCGTGCATTCATAAGATCATAAATCGTCGTTTCCGTCGTCAATGAACATGGTCAATTAATGAGAACCACGTGAAACATTGCCGGATCGGATCTCCTCTTCTCCTCGTCGTGCAATGCCTTGGTTCTTAGCTGCGCTCTCGTCAAATCCAAAGGCCTTGTCGACTGCAGATGTCAATGCCCCGCGGAGAGACTCCCCCGCACCCTGTCCAGTAGTAAGCATCGTGAACCCACGCGATAGCCAGGGATGAGCAGATAGAGATAGCTAAGAACATACATGAACCCCTGCCACGGTAGATTTGATTCCGCGGCCGATTTCATCCCCCTTCCGAGCCGATTTGGCCTCGGCCGGAACCTCTTCAGCGCCGTACTCCTTGTTTGTAGTACTTGGGGCATATTCAGCACGGGAATCTTGCTTATCATGGTTTTTCGAGGTATATCCCGAACCGGTCGCAGGGTTGTATTCGGTCCTGTTCGGGTCGTAGTGTGACCGAGTGTCCCGAACTCCCGGGGCTCCGGGGGCCCCTGTCGAGGAGCCATGCGCTGCCTTTGCGCCTGTTGCATCAGGGGAGTAGACAGTGGAGCTTCCAACGGTTGTGCCTGTGGGAGTGGATGAATTGGCATCCTGCTCTGGATTGCCAAAGGTGGAGGAGTAATATGGAGGTTGGGTGCTAGCCATGTTGACGGTGGTGTAGGGCTAAAGAAATGATGATATGTATCAGCTTGGAAGTTGTAGTTAAGTAGTATAGACAAGTGGATCACCTAAACTTTTGCTGGAAATGTTCTTCAGATCTTTTATATCTCAAGGTGCTCGGATCAAAGCTTCGACATCATCATCATCTTGGTAGATGACGTCAGATTGAACACAGGCTTTGCAAGATTCGAGATGCACCGGAACCACTCGATTCATGGTGATGGATTTTTTGATCTACTAGGCAGGGTTACTTGGATATACTGGTAGGCAATCAAGACGATGCAGTGGAACCTGCTTGTGCCACTTGGTTCATCGCGAAAAGTAATCCAGCCGTGCGTCATTGTCGGCATAATTCTCGAGTTATGCATGTACAAAACAGTTATGCAGCTTTAATCTGAATAAGCAGCCATCGATTTATGCAGATCGCCGGCGATCGTCGAATTCGAGGCGCTCGAGAGACAGACGCTGAACAATGCAAGATTCCAGAACAGTCACTGTTATCATTAACTTATACGACGAAGTGCTGTATAGATTCAGAGGACACAGCACTTACTGATTAGTGAACACTAAGAATGGAACTCCTGGTTAACCAAGGTAAAGAGACAAGCAAAAGAAAGTGGTTGGTCGCAGCCAGAAAGATACCGAGGCTTTTGGCTACTCTCTCGGACTAAATACCAAAGAGACTCTTCCTCCGTCCTCACCCCCGTCGTTCACGGCCATATAATCCCAATGTAATCCTTTTTTTCACTCTCCATCTATTTTTTCTCCTCATTTCATCATTTATAAAAAAAAAAAAAAATTTGGTTTCATTACAGAGCAACCACAAAATGCCAATCTCCAACCGTCAGGCTATCTACGCCAATACGCCCTCCCCGGCCATTGACCCCTCCTTGTCCACGGGCACTTTCAAGATCAACACTGTTACCATCCCAGACAACATTCCCGATGACAAGGTCCTGGCTCGCGTGCACTACCTTTCGCTCGACCCGGCTATGCGCCAATGGCTTACAGCCAAACGATCCTATATCGCCCCTGTCGAGCGAGGCAGTGTTATGCGAGGCCAGAGCATCGCACAGGTGATCGCCGTTGGGAACAACATCAAATCCAAATACCAGGTTGGTGACTGGGTCATCGCATACTCTGGGTGGCAGGAATATGCCCTGCTGAGCCCCAAGGAGGCCGAAAAAGTGGTCGTTCCTGCTGGATGCAGTCCGACCGATGCCATGTCGGTGCTGGGCATGACAGGGTTGACGGCGTACTTTGGCATGATGGAGGTTGGCCAGCCAAAGCCTGGTAATACCGTCGTGGTGTCGGGAGCCGCGGGCGCAACGGGCATGGTGGCTGGACAGATCGCGAAGATCCAAGGAGCCAAGAGAGTGGTTGGCCTGGCAGGCAGCGCTGATAAGTGTGAATTCTTGGTCAAGGAGTTGAGCTTTGATGCGGCTATCAACTACAAAGACAAGGACTGGAAGAAGCAGCTGAAGGATGCCACCCCCGAATATATTGACGTGTTCTTCGACAATGTCGGTGGTGAGATCCTCGATGCGTGCTTGTCCCGGGCTGCACGGGATGCTCGTTTCGCGATCTGCGGTGCCATCAGCCAGTATAACTCGGCCAAGCCTCAAGGGCCTGCCAGCTTTATGACTGTCATTGTGAGTACTAGCAGAACCACATACAAGAAAAATACAGTAGCTAATGGACCATTTACAGTCGCAACGGGTTACGATGAAAGGCTTCATTGTCTTCGACTTTGCTAAGAAATACCCAGCTGCATTGAAGGACCTGGCGACCTGGTTGACTCAGGGAAAGCTCAAGCGTAAGGAACATATCATCAAGGGTGGTCTTGAGGCTGCTCCGCAAGGCTTGGTGAACCTGTACCAGGGTGCAAACACTGGCAAGATGATGGTGGAGATCGCCCCAATCAGCGAGGCTTTGGGCTCTCCCAAGGCTAAGTTGTAGACAGCTGGTCTGTCTTCTGCATTTATACTAGGCGTTTTGGATCTAAATGGGTATAATGTTGAGTATTTTGAAAAATCAATGAATCTTTTGGAATATAGTACCATATTGCCCTTGTTCTCATGTAATGTTCGTTAGTATGGCAAAACACAAGTCCTCATATTTATAAACACTGCACCATGGGCACCACAACTGTCGACTTCCTCAATTATTCCTTTATATAGATATATTCCATAAGCATACTAAGTCTCATATTTGAGTAATCTCGTCATTAAGAATGAATAAAACATGGCTGGGTGGAGAGTGTTTCTGTGGGTATGTACAATGTGCTCCACTCCCATCGACGTCATACTGATGAAACAGTACGAACTTCTCCAACTTGCTTTTGCAACTTCCACCACTTCCACCACTTCCACCATCACAAAGAGTCAGACCAAGACCGAATGACGTTACAATTCTACAGCCTTCTCCGTATGCGGTGATGATCAATTTATTCTGAATTATCATTGCATCCTGAGACGGCAGACCCGAAAATGGATCCCCTTCGTCCGCGCAATGGTTATATGCCATTGGACAATCCAAGACACCAAGGCGAGCTTTAATGTCGTTTAATCTGACGATTTTATTTAGAAATCTAGTGCTCAGAAGTGGTGCTTCCATGTGATAAGTGAATTGGTCGAAGATTCTTTGACAATCTTTCTCTGTGGCAACAGGTTTATCGCGCGGGGTTTCCAAGTAGTTCCACAGTGACAATTGTCCTTAAGAGCCTGTTGCAATTGAAAAGCCATTTATTTCCTCTACTATTCTCATACTCATCATTGATTCACCATATATCTGCCTTTTCTACCACACGATACAATTGATCTCAGACACGATTAAAATGGATACACAGAGCATTCACCAGCACTTCAAATTGGAGAACATCTTCAATGTCAAAGGAAAAGGTATAGTCGTGTATCAAACATGCCACATATCCTCCTTTACTAATGCCAAATCGCACAGTGGCCCTTGTTACCGGCGGTGGTTCAGGCATTGGCCTGATGTCCACTTTGGCCCTAGCCGTCAACGGAAGCAAAGTCTACATAACTGGCCGCTCGCAAGAGAAACTAGACCGAGTTGTCAATGAATTCAGTGAGGGTATTTCGGGAGAAATCATCCCCATCACAGCAGATGTCACAAATAAGGAGTCGATCGACCGCCTGGCGAAAGAAATAGCCTCCCGCGAGCCACACCTATCGATTCTAATCAACAACGCCGGAATCAACAGCCATAAGGAGAATGTGGACCTTGAGGATGCAACAGACTTGCGAAAGAGTTTATTTGAAGACCCCGCTGCCAGCATGGAGGAATGGGAGACTGTTTTCCGGACCAATGTCGCGCACCTGTTCTTCACAACAACCGCCTTCCTGCCCCTCCTCGAGAAGGGAACCGAGCACGAACACAACTGGTCCAGCACAGTGATCAATATCTCCTCCATTTCGGGGATTGTCAAGGCTTCGCAGGCTCACTTTGCGTACAATGCTTCTAAGGCGGCTGCGATTCATCTGACTAAGATGCTGGCGCACGAGATCACCTCATCCAAGCTAAAGATCCGGGTGAACAACATTGCCCCCGGTGTTTTCCCGAGTGAGATGACGACGAGAGATAGCTCTGAGAAGACCACCGTCCCCAAGCGAAAATACGAGAATCTGCCGGCTGGCCGGCCTGGAAAAGACGAAGAAATGGCGAGTGCGCTTCTGTTTACCGCTACAAATCAGTACCTGAATGGACAGACGATTGTGGTCGATGGAGGTTATGTTTTATCGACTGGGACTATTTGAGATAGTGTTTTGGTTTGGCGTTCGCTAGGGACTGGAGATAATTTTATTCTGTAATTAATATTCATATTATACCATTATTTATCGTCGTCATTTCTTCGTCAATAGATTAGAGCACAAGGTGTACCACCAGCTTGAGGGAGTACCTTGATTATAATCCAAGCTCCCCTGCATCGCATACCACGACACCATGAACCCATTCTGATCGAAGGACGTTTGAAGCGGTAATCCGGCGATGAGGCACAGGGTGCAGCATGGCATAAACCACATTGCGACGAGACGTCTATCACCGTCAGTATAGCCAAAGAAAGATCCAAAATGACCTACCCTCCCCAAAGCTTCAATCGGAGGATATCCCTCTTCAGTCTGCCGTCCAGAAAGATACTCCCCAAACTGTGTATCCTCCTCGCTGGCTATCCCCCAGAGCAACCGACCCCATCTCATAGCCATATAAACCAACGCCGCAGTCCAAACATCTCCGGCCCTCGGATCCTCAACCTTTTCACCCTGCAACTCCTCAGGGGCAATATAAGACACCGTCCCGAATAACTTCCTCGGCGCGAGGCAATATGTAGTCATCGCTGATTGTTCAGAGCTATGGACGAGACACTCTGCACTCCCGAAATCCGCTATCTTCACCGCACCATGGGCGGAGAGAAGGATATTCTCCGTTTTGAGTTCACGGTGCGCGATGCCATTTTCATGGAGGAAGGACACGGCACGGATAATCTGTTTGAAGAAACAGTCCGCTTCGACGGTCTCGAGCTTACCAGACGTGGCGATGAAGGAGTTGAGATCACCACCGGCGCAGTAGTCCATGACTAGACAGAGCTCACCGCGATCATTGCGGAGGGCATCAGTGGCGCGACAGATGTTGGGATGAGACAGGGAGGAGGAGAGATGTTGTTCGAGACGGTAGTGAGATGTGATGGAGGGCTGGGAAGAAGGACGGAAGACTTTGACGATGTGGAGTTGTCGGCTTTTGGAGTCTCTGGATGATTTTCTGGTGTAGACGCGGACGGAGCTGTGGGTGCCGTAGTGGAGGATTTCGGTGCATGAGCCGTATTTAGACGCGAAGGAGGAAGACTGAGGTTGTGATGATGGGATTAGGGGCTCTTGGTCACTGGGAGGAGAGTGTTTTAGGGGGATCCATCGAACGAGGATGTTGGGGAGTTTGAGACCGTCGAGGAAGTGACTGGATTCGTGTGTTGGTAGGAGATGGTGATGGGTGCCGTCGTGGGAGATGTCGAGATGCTCACGTTTTCTTTTATTTCTGTGATGGTCTGCGTATGATACGGATATATTGATTGACGGCATTGAATGTGAGATGTTGAGCTTATACACAACTGATGTTACTCCGTATATCATAGAAAGCAGGTAGATACATGAAAAACATCACGACAAAAGTCAATCTGCAGCGACGAACGCAAGATATTTATCCTCGCCACAGTTGCACAGCATTTCAGACAATCCTTGGATACAACCAGGGGCAGATCAACAGTGCAAAGTGGTTGAATTTTAGTGGTACAGCAGACAAGCAACGCAGCCAAAAGTCACACACGCATGCAGACTCTGGATAGGGGCACAACAGAGATTTTTTTAAGGAATCTTTTACGTATTGGAAGACTCGACAATTCGTGGGAACAAAAGACGCAGAATTAAATGAGTTGAATCGAAGATGTAAGAGAAAATGAGGAAAAAAAAAAAGAAATCATGAGGATGGAAATTCTTGGTGGCTGAGGGATTTACGACAGCCAGACAAAACAGCAAAAACATCCACGGTTCAGCGAGATCTGATGAAGCCCTAGGACTTTTGTTTTTGTCTTTTCTCACTAAAAAAGAAATCTCCGACGCCATCATCTCGCGGGATTTGTTTTTTTGTTTTTTTTTTTTTTTTTTTTTTATCTGCAGCTCCATCGACACGGGACGGAGGTTTGTATAGCAGCTGTCTGGTTGTTGGGTGGGATTAATCCCTCAGCCTGTTGTTCTCCTGTGCCTGTCTGGCGCTTCTATACTCACGCCCACTGTCTGTTTCAATAAAAAGAATGCAGAAATTTGCGCTGAATGGGAAATATTTTGAAATGGAAAATATAAAACAAAGGCAATAATAAAACAGACAGAATGACTCAATATATAATGTCCTCGATATGTTTTGCTCGATTCTTCCTCCTCGTCTCTCTCTTTCCCCAATCGGGAAATGCACCAGGCATCGCCTCCACCCCATTTGCATCTCCCCTTTCCACCCCACCATCACCCATTTCTCTTCGCCTATCCTACCCTTTCAATCCAGGTTCTTGCCTCTTCTAACTCTGTCGGGAGTGGCCGTCATAACAATCGCTTTCTTACTTCTGCTCCGCCACCACCCATTCAACCATGTTTCTCTAATCTATCAGCTACCAGAGTTGCTGTTTTAATCACGCACTGACAACTAGATCGTTCTTTTTGAGTCCCGTGGATGGCTCTGTTTTCAGCCTAGTCTAATTGACCGCCGCAGTATAGCTACGTGCGTATATAAACCTGTCTATCCTAGTCACATCTGCCTCGTCTCTGCTCCCTTCTTCCTATCCTCTCTCCCACCTCTTTCTCTTGCTTGCTCTTCTATTCTTGACAGTGTTGAGGTCCTCCAGGATTTACTGTTTCCTGTCCAATCTTCCTCCCAACCTTTGTTTCCATGGCACAACCTCCAACCCCTCTTCGTGATCCTCTGGAACGAGATGTCGAATCAGCAAGCGACTTGAACGACGAGTCTAGTCAAGCTGGACGTCCTTCTCGTGCTATCACATTCGACAACTCAGCCACCCCTGATGGTGGCCGGTCTATCTACCAGTCCCAGCAGGTGGGACGTCCCCGTTCCATGAGCCGGGACACCGTCAGAAGCACTGCCAGTACTACTCAAACACCAGCTGGGATCCCGATTGAATTCCGAACCCTCTCAATCCACATCACTGAGTCGCAGCATGTTACCCAGGATAATCTCAAGGAGAACCAAAAGAAGGAAAAGCAACCTAACCAGGATTACTTTGAGAACCTGGACTTTCATATCCTCAGCCTTGACAAACTATCTCAACAGTTCAGGGTTGACAGTCAATCTGGTCTCAGTTCATCATCTGCTGCCTCTCGACTTTCACATGATGGCAAGAATGTCATCTTCCACCATCGGGAGAACTATCTGAAGAAGATCCTGGGATACGTTTTTGGTGGCTTCTGTTCCGTCCTGTGGGTTGCTGTCATCGTCTTTTTCATCTGTTGGAAACCTCTGAGCAATCCGCCCTCTGTCCCGAATCTTGCTATGGCTATCCTTATTATAATCGTGATTGTTCTACAAGCCGGATTCTCTGCCTTTCAAGACTGGTCCACGAAGCAAGTGATGAGCTCCATTTTGGACTTACTCCCGTCGGAGGCATTAGTTCTCCGAGACGGCAAGCAAGTCAAGATTTCGGCCACAGACCTTGTTGCCGGTGATATCGTGTATATATCCATCGGGAACAAAGTTCCAGCAGATATGCGCATCTTCCGCAGCTCAGGGGATGTCCGTTTTGATCGCGCTGTCCTCACCGGTGAGTCGGATGAAGTTGAGGGTGCAACCGATTATACAGACGAGAATTTCCTGGAGACGCGAAACATCGCCCTCATGGGAACTAGTGTCACCAATGGCAATGCCGTCGGAATCGTCGTACTCACCGGCAGCCGTTCTGTCATGGGACGCATTGCTAAGATGACTTCAAGTGTTAAGGAAAAGCCGACATTGATTCAAAAAGAGATTACTCGCTTTGTCAAAATCATCATCTGCATGACAGCTATCCTCGCCGGCGCCATTTTATTCACCTGGGTTGGCTGGCTTCGTGTGGATCACTACGACTTCATGAACGTGGTTTCCATGCTGAACAATGTGATGGGATGCGTTGTGGCCTTCATCCCGGAAGGAATGCCTGTCGGTGTCGCACTCACCTTCATGATGATTGCAAAACGCATGAAGCAGGCCAACATTCTACCCAAGGGCCTTGCGACAGTGGAAACGCTAGGCTGTGTGAACGTCATCTGTTCTGACAAAACAGGCACCTTGACTCAGAACAAGATGTCTGTCAAGTCCCTTGGCCTGGTCGATAAGGAGTACAGCGTGGATGATATTTTAATGGCCAAGGAAAAGCCTGCCAGTCTACCAGAAGCATTGGATGATCTACTCCGCGCATCGGTTTTATGCAACGATGCTTTCTTTGATCCAACGATGATGACATTGCCGATCAACGAGCGAGAGGTTAACGGCAATGCTACTGACGCCGCCGTCTTGCGTTTTGCGGAATCTGTCAAACTTGGTGCTGGAAGCCAGCTTCTACCCTACGAGAGAGTACACCAGATTCCATTTAACTCAAAGAACAAGTGGATGCTTACAATGCACCAAGACCCCAAGAACGCCGATGGGTATCTCGCATGTGTGAAAGGTGCACCTGATGTTCTCCTCCCGAAATGTTCATCATACCTGTCTGGCATTCACAACGAGGTCAGAGCCCTAGATGAACAGGCCAAGAAGTTGTTTACGGATTTTCAGATGGATCTGTCGAGGAAGGCACAGCGTGTGATTGTTCTATGCCAACGGAACTATATGCCTCGTGCTGCCCTTGGGTCTAATGACTTCAATGATGAGGTTCTGGCCGAGTGTGTCCAGGATTTGACCATCGTGGGAATATTTGGCATCATCGATCCGCCCCGTCCGGAGATATCTCAGACAGTGGCGGCTTGTCGACGTGCAGGAGTCAGATTTTTCATGGTAACTGGTGACTTTGGCTTGACAGCAGCAGCAATCGCCCAAGACATTGGAATTTTCACCGGAACCGCTGGGCCAGACACCGTGAATGACCTGGTCCATTACCCGAGTGACGAGAAAAACTTGGAGCCATTACGATCGAGACGCAGTCTCCTCATCGAGGGCAGTAATATCTCAACTCTTGACCAAGAACAGTGGGATGCCATCTGCAACTACGAGGAGGTTGTTTTTGCTCGAACGACACCGGAGCAAAAGTTTCGCATCGTTGAAGAACTGAAGGCACGAGACAACATCGTTGCGGTGACAGGCGACGGAGTCAACGATGCTCCTGCGTTGAGAACCGCTGACATTGGAATTGCTGTCGTCTCGGGGAGTGATGTGGCTATCGAGGCAGCTGATTTGGTTTTACTTGACAAGTTCGACTCGATTGTGGACGCCATTCGACTGGGTCGACTGGTCTTTCAGAATCTCCAAAAGCTCATTGCTTACTTGCTACCAGCCGGCAGTTGGTCAGAAATCTGGCCTGTCCTAATGAACGTCTTTTTCGGATTCCCATTGCCTCTGAGCTCGTTCCTCATGGTCATCATTTGCGTCTTTACGGATCTATTCCTCTCCCTCTCCCTGATCATGGAGAAGGAAGAATTCGACCTGCTGAGCCTGCCACCAAGAAAGCACAAGAAAGACCACCTGATAAATCTCAAAATTTACGGCCAGTCCTACCTCTTCATCGGTGTCATGGAAGCATTTTGTGCCCACAGCATGTTCTTCTTATACATGTACAAGGCAGCCGGCATCCCCTTCCACGCTCTCGCATTCGCCTTTGACAAGTACTCAGACGGATTTTACGGCCACTCCCAAGCCGAACTAACTCACTTCAACAACGTCGGACAATGCGTCTACTTCGTCACCCTCGTCATCCTCCAATGGGGGAACATCCTATCTGTCCGCAACAAACGCCTATCCATCCTACAGGCCGACCCCATCCGCCAAAAAAGACGCAACCCCTGGCTTCCCATGGCGATGGTGATATCCCTTGCCATTGCCATCTTCGTGACCGAGGTCCCCGGTCTGCACACCCTATTCAACACGGCCCCAGTGCCCCTCGAGTTCTGGTTTATTCCTCTAGGCTTGGCGCTGGGGATCTTGTTCATGGACGAGTTCCGGAAACTGCTTGTACGGTCGTTTCCTCGGGGCCTGGTGGCAAAGATCTCTTGGTGATCCGCACGCAGGTGTTCTGGATGGTGGATGGCAGATGGGGAACTATTGAATTTCTGAATGGACAGACATTAAGTACGGGTCTATGTCCCAGCTGGCCCAGGCCAAGTGACTGTGACTATAATTAGCATATAGTATTCTCACATGCTGACGAGATAATGAAGTATATACTTATATAGATGTATAGAAATGACAAGAGATAGGGCTATTTTTGACTCCTTCCTGAAATTTATAAAGATCTTAAAAAAAAGTCAGTTTGCACTATCTGAATCTCATACGATCCACAATCTCCATAGTTCATGGCATGCCGTATCTTCCGGAAACTCCACTATACTTAAATGACAGAACTTATAATCGGTATCAGAAGCCAAAGATAAGGAGAACAGCTACATACGGTGGTCTTGAAGTGGGACCAGAATAATAGAGTAATAGTTGCGAGGTATGGAGTATGGAATACTTATATAGTAGTGATTAGTGACTATTGAATAGTGGCAGTCACTAGAAGAAGTAAGAGTATAATAGTAAGGTACTAGTCAGACCCATCCATCCCAAAAAAAAAAGCAAACAAAAAAAATAACAAACTAATCATCATCCAGACACCATGATGTCGATCGCAAAACCGAATGATTGCAGTGACAGGAAACCGTTTTGTGGAACTGTCAGAAGAGAAAAAAGCACATGAAATAAAAATAATACACGTAGTCAATCAACGAGTGAATCAAAGGTGGTCTCGAAAAAAAAAAGCCATTATAGCCAGGTTCGGGTATTCTTCAAACCCGTCTGGTAAATATGTCCAGAGAAGAAAAAGAGTAAGGAAAGAGATCTCTCAAAAGAGTAAGATACAGGGGGGTCATCAAGACAACAGACTGACAGACAGTCGAATATATAGCGTATTTTGGAAGCTAGGACCGCACTTTGCCTGCTTCCCTGACTTCGCTCATGAAACCATCCTCGTCACCTGCAGAGGTGAGAACCCAGTAGTCACCGACGGCATTGGCGAATTGACCACCGCCAAAACCAGTTGCCGGAGCTGCAGGAGCACTGTGGCGGTCCTTAGACTTGGCTCCGAGATGGCGAGGACCCCATCCGAGAATGTTTTTGACTGTGATACGACTGTGGTCATCCGGCGTGGTAAACCCTGTAAGTTGAGACTGCAAGGAGCCCAGAATCGCGACCGCAGCACGAATCATGATCCGATCTCCCTCGAACACCCAGCAGTCCCAGACGCGGCTTATGCGCTCCAAGTCCAGACCGTTTGTGAGAAGGGAGCGGAACATAGGCTCCCAAATGTCTTCATCGGGAAGATGCAGAGTCTCGTATAGATGAGTAGCGAGGCTGGGGAACTTATAGCGTAGTGTCGCAGACGCAAGCGAATAGGTGCGACCGATGGCCCCTCGGTCCAGGGTGAGAAAGCCGACAGCAATTGGGCGATTGAGCGCGTTGGCCATGGCCAGGAAAGCAGAAGCAGGTGAAGGGAATTGAAGGACAAGGAGAGCAGCGATGGTCTAAGAGATAATTAGCTTTGGGAATCGCAGCACGAAGGCTTCAAAACTTACGTGAAGACCATAGATGTATCCCACATCACTCCGATACATAGAGTACGCTTCTAGCACATCAATCAATGTATCGCGCAACGGACCTCCTTCTTGGAACAGATTCAAATCCGGGAATGCTTTCGACGCATCGACTTGGATAGCATCAAACCAATCTCTCATTCTCTTGTTGCTTTCACCCGCATCTCCGTCAGCTGTGCGCACATCCTTGGCCCTTTGCAGTGCCTTCTTGTACGTCTCTTCGGACAGAGATAGTTCATTGCCGATGGCACGCTGCCATGTTGTTCCTCTGCTTCGAGGGGGAATACCCCGCCACCATAGTTCTCGTGTGCGGGGCTCGCTGATAACTCGATCCCAGTTGGGGTACACGTATTCGTCCCAGATATTTTGCAGCGTTTCGCGGGTGTTATCCTTCTCACATTGAGCAGAGGCGGCCTGAGCGGCTTTTCGTTTGTCTATTGTACATTCTGTCAGCGGGAAAAGTGTCACGAGTAAATACCGAGAGGAAAACAAACCAGCTTCACGCGACTGAGCCATCATTTTCTTATACTCCTTCAAATGCTTCTTCTCTTCCTTCTGGTCTTTCGGAGGAAGCCAGCTGGGCCGTGTTCTCGACAACACCTTCTCTTTCTCTTTGCTGATGGGCAACGGATCAATCATGATGTTGGATTTTTGCAGTGGGGGGAGCTCAATGGGGCCCTTTGATCCCCGCTTCGAGTCTCCATTCGAGCTCAAAGAGGACCGACCGCTCTGCAAATTCTCGCCCTTTCTGCGAACGTTCTCATCCGCATGGTGTTCCAACGCTTCGGTAATAATCTTTGCCTCTTCCGACAGATCAGACATCGCCGTATTATAGGAGTAGACCCGTGGGTTGCGGGGAGAGATCTGACCCCTTTCAGGACCTGCAGAACTCGACCGCAGCGATTGTCTTGACCGAGACGGACCGCGAGACTTGGGTGATGCCAAAGGGACACCGTTTTCTGAACCCGTGTGCGACAAGGGCAGTGGACGAGGACCGGGACTTCGGCCATCTGGACTGGTAGCGCGCGAGATAGGGCGGTCCTGCATCGGCCGGGGCGAGATCGGGACGTTCCACAGGCTGGCATCCTCAGGTAGCTCCTCATCCGAGTCATGGTATTCCTCCTCTAAATCCTTGAGAGATTTGCGGTTTGGCTGCCAGGACTGTTTCCGGTTGAGGGTTCGAGCGGGCGATGGGGACAAGCTCTGAGTAGACGGGGAGGCGGACAAGGGACGCAGCGGCGATGTCGATCGCGAACGGCGAGGTTGAGCGACCTGCAGCGGACTCGACTGGGGGGTAGCATTTGTATCCCGCCGTTTTTTCCCTGGTCTGACCTTGGGGGTTTTGAGATTCTGCTGGGACGACAGAGCCCCGTTGACCTGACCTTGCAATGGCGGAAATGGCGCCCTTTGTTTAGGGGTGGATGTGAGATCTCGGGTGGTGGTGGTCACGGCGCTCTTCCCGTGTAATCTAGCCGTGGAGGACCGTGCAATGCCACCGGCTCGACCGTATTGGGCGGCACCACCATTCATATAGGAGAGGTCGGCATCGTCCTCGAGACCAATGTCTTCAAAGTTGGAGATGTCGGTGAAGATGCCGTCGGGGCCGGAGAGTTGGGAGGAAGAATGGAAGGAGGAAGATTTGGAGGATTTGGAGCCGGACAACTCCGGCGGAGAGTTGGGCGTCGTGCAAAGAGTGGTCGTCATTTCACGTAATGGATAAATCGAAATGGGGGTGCGTATGTATGGTGTGTTCTCTGAGAATTATATGATCAATCGATTCTTGGACTGAAAGCTTGAGCCTCCACCTGTCACGAGGGACTACCGCAGTCGATCGATACCGTGAGCGATAACCGGTAAAGGAAATACAGATAAGCAAACGAATGAAGTTTCGACGAGGAGCCCGAAGGAACAGAAAGTCGAGGTATTATAAACAGGAGACCCGAAGTCTTCGAGTAGATCCAGCCAGCACAAGCGTCGAGATCGGTATTGGAATTATTATTGAAAGGGCTGGGCAGCAGCGAGAGGGAGAAGGAGGGGATTGGAAAGGGTGATCAGGAGTTAGGACCAGTCGTGACGGAGGGCGAGCATCGGGGGCCGTAAGAGACGAAACGAGAGGCAATAAAAGAGTGGAAGGAAAAGAAAAGAGAAAAAAAAAAAAAAGAGGCAGAAAAAAAGAAAGGAAAAAGAAACGACAGAGAGAGAGTGTTGGAAGGCAAAGAACTAAGACGATGATGATGGGATGGGAAAGTTGGGGATGAGAGAAAGAAAGACGACAAGCGATGAACACTGCAACCGGGGCCTCAGGCATCCAGGCACCGTGCGTACGGCCTGGTAATTTAGACCCGGTCTGGCCAATCCAGCCCGCTGCAGACGGTAAGATATACGGTTTAGTACAGACTAGCAGGGATCCAGCCGGCGATCATTGGCTGCGTTCCCAGCTTAGGACGGGCGACGATACAATCACGAACCCGCAAGCGTACGGCGATACAGAATAGATTACCTACAGTACAGACGGTGGAGCAGGGAATGTCAGGCAGTTTCGATCGCTGCAATATTCAACAGAATGACGAGGATGCATTCATGATGAGACGATGAAATGCATCAGGTTGCTTGAGATCCATTGTTGACACCCCAGATGCAAGCTGCATTTTTGCCTCCCCCTTTTCCCCTGGGCCACTCACGCCTCCTTCCACTTCCAAGGGTTCCGTGGTATGGTATGTTCGGTCGTTCCCTGGGACTATTTTGTGGCCCACGATATAGATAGATCGGTGATTTGAGATTATTGATTCAATTATTTATCCCTTTACGTCCTGTCACTTTTCCCCCCCTCCCATTCTAGCCACATGATTATAGTAATCTCTAGGTTTGAATTCTTTTCATGGTGCTCATACTCCTGTCATTGTTCCGTGCTGTCAGCCATCCATCATCCGTCGGTCGGCGGTCGGTGTTGTCGAAAACGGAAATCCTGGATGTCTTCATTACTGCCCTTTTCGGCTCCTTACTTGACTTGACTACTGTCACCAGCCAACTTGGATAAATAGCCACAGTGATCATCCCTCCATCATATGAGTTTATAAAGTTTCATCGCATACGGCAATCTTTGGTCTCTATTACAGTGCTGCATAATCAGAACCTCCATCCTCCAAAGGTCGCATTGCCACTTCGAACCACCTGAGCCATTCGTATCGCCTTTCTATCCGATTTCGGTCGTACCGCTTTGCCCAGCTGCTCCAGCCAACGCAGCACTATTGCGTACCGTGTTTGTTTGCGGTTCAACACAAACCGAAACGCTGCAGCCGCCAGATATTGCACCTGCATTTGTGATACAGAGCAGGCCACTTCGGAGTTTGAATCCGTCGCCACATCGCCCCGTTTCGAGTGTGTGAGCCGCTGCGCCAGTGAAATAATGTCCTGGATGATTCGAATCACCACATCCGGTGTTGGGTGTGCGCGTCCCTGTAGTGACTTCATGTACCGGTACATCTTCATGGCAGACGTGACCAAGTTCGCGTACAAATTCGACAGCACCCCCGTAGATGTATTGTGTTTGGTGTCGAGGTACATAGGATGCATCTGCAGCTTAAATGCAGCAAGCAGTTTCCGATGCAAGGAACGACCGGGGGCCCTTGTCAACTCCACTGTTAGTGCGTTGGAGAGAGCGGCGGCCGTTGAATCCCCTCCTTCAAGTATCCGTCCTTGATCCTTGAAGAGTCCCAGCGTAGAAGTATCGATCAGGTTTCCGCAGTAAGGGAAGAGGGAAGTTCCAACCAGTCGGGGAATATGGATCCCATCTATCGCAACTGAAAAGTTCACCAGGCTCTTCGTTGGGTTCACAGAGACGCCATACTCTGGCTGCCCCTTGATCATAACCTGCAGGAACTGCGTAGCCAAGTCTGTATTGGAAGTGATGAGCAGAAAGTCGTCAACAAGACGAAGAAGAAGCGCGTCGTCAGACTGCAAGAATCCAAGAACTTTCCGCTCTAGTTCTGCATAAAAGAAGTTGCACAGAAGACTAGACATCACCGAGCCTTGCGGGATGCCACTGCGTTGCCGGAAGTATTTCTTTCCAATCTTGACCAAGTTGTTCCGAACATGCTCATCGAGCAGGTCCAACAAATCTTCCGTGTTGTGTTCTTTATGTGCCATGGTATCAACAAAGACGGTGTTTCTTCTTCGACCGGTTGCGCCGCTAGCGATGACCTCGGGAAGATGCTGCGGCTTCATCCCAGGTGCAGCTCTGCCAACATATTTTCGCATAGCTTTGGTTTGTTTAGCTCCTTTGACGGGCCCGAAGCTGCTTAAGTCACCCTGTGGTCTGACTTCAACATGTTTCGTAATGTTATATGCCTCTTCTGAGACCAGCTCCTCGACGAGACGGACCAGTTTTCGCTGCGGGATAGTATCAAAACAAGACTGAATATCAAGCTTGACAAAGTACAGTGGAGGTAGTGACGAGCCATGCCCTTCGGTGTGTCGTTGCTCCAGACGCTCTTTGAAACATTTCAATCGAGGATAGATTTCACCAACATGGTGTAGAGCTGAGCCTAGAACATGAGGTTTCCGTGACTTTTCGTAGTTCAACATGTTGAAAATAGGGGTAATGGTTGAATTGATACTCGAACCCAAAAACCTGCCATTTTTTCCACCCCAGCTCCCCTTCACCAAGGTTCGTTTTCGGAGATTGAGAATAGGCCGGATGCCTGTAGCTTTAGGAAGAAGTCGCAAGGCGCTGTACCCTAAAGATCTCCGACCAAGCACGCGCATTGCCTTGTCGGGCTTCATTTCCTCAAACATGGACGATTTAAGTTCAGCCAGTGGCCGCTCGATCAGTCGACGCCAGACATCATGTCGAAAGTAGAAGAGACGATTTCGATGGGTTTGAGATTCGGTGACATAAAAATTTGTCCAGATAAGGGGAATTAGGATAGAGTCGAAAATGTAGTAGATGAACTCGTGTATTAGCTCCGTCCGTTTTTGTAAATCAGATAAAGAGAGCTTTCTCTCGTGGTCTTGGATCCCAGGTGGCGCAATCCATGGAATAGAAGTAATCTAGAGATGGAAGCCAATTAGATTGACTTTAAACAGCAGGTAAGGCGTGGTTCAACAAACCTTTAGTCCTTTACAAACTTGATGTAGACTCAAAGTTTCAAATCGGCGCATGCGTATGAATTGGTCGACATGTTTATGGATAATCTTTTCATTTAGTTTTCCATGTTGGCCGGTTCCATAGAAATGCGGAGGGATGAGCTTTCGTAGGACTGCTCGACAGAAAGCTGATACAGATGAAGGTGGTGTTGCATATTCTGTCAAGCTGATCTTGGGGGCAGGAACAGTTGGATTGCCTCCGGACTCGCCGTTGAGGGAAGATGGAATGGGCTGGTTTGACTGGAACCCCATTAATGCACCGCCAGGGGAAGAGTGGTGGCTAATTCGTGCTTGTGTCACCAATTGTTCAGATACAGAAGATTTTGGATCACTGCTCGGAGCCTTCGAGTCAGGCTGAGACTGCATTGAACCGAACTTCCAAGGTCCACTGGACTGTTTCAGACATTAACATTGTTTCCTTATCAGAAATCAAGGTAGAGTTTGTGGACGTACCTCGGATGGACAGTAGTATTTCAGTAATTCCACATATGAAAAGCCCTTATTCCGGCTCTGCAGCTTCTGGACCAGATTTACAGCTTCTCCCCGTAGTCTCTTGGGTATTTTGATTGGTTCTGCTCGTTGATCCTCTTCATCGGCGGGCGTGACAGACGGTTTTTGTCGTCGATGTCGCTTCAACGCCTCCGCTCGAAAAATCTCCTCTTCGCGAAAGGTGTAATCCTTGAATGGCAGGACAGTTTCACGACTATCCGTGACCGAGGTAAACACGTTATGCAACCCAAACTGTCTGGGGAAAATGTACTTCATCACATGCACAGTCTGCGACAGCGAGTCAGAGGATGAAAAACGATTGAGTACGTCTTTAGGCTTTTAGCTTGCAACGAATAATGTCCTGGAGCCAGTACATACGCATATGTTTTAATCCAAATTGCACCTCTCCTCTTGAATTGAGACTCGGACGAGCATAGAGCATGCGTCGACGGAAGAACGAAATGCTGTTAGGCTTATGGACAACCGTCTTAGGCCCGTTTTCATCCTTTTTCCTTTCCGTCTGTATTTCTCGGTCAGTCGTGGTAATGGAAACGGCTGGTTTAGAGGTTGGGTTCAGCGGATCTGCTTTTTCTAATGGCTCAAGATTTGAAAGAGGAGGCCCTAGAAACACGATTAGAGATATCATTCATTCCGTATAGTCCCAAGCAGACCCACCGCTAATTTGATAGAACATGCCCCTCTGATGGTCTATACCAGAGAAGATCCCACAGTCGAACAAAAGTCTCAGCATAATCTCCTCGCCATTGCTTCCCAAGAGGCCGAGAACATCCGTCCAAGGCGCCTGCCTCAGTGCCCGGTAGTTACCATTTGGGTACTGAACCACTATCCCAGGAATGCCACTTGCCAAAGCACCACGGTCATATTTACGAGGAGCTGCTCGTTGGAAGCCATGAGTTAAGATGTGTTGAGGTTTTTGATACGAGAAGCCAGTACGGTTGAACAAGGCTGAGATGACAAAGTCCACAATCTGCAGACGGTCAGTTTCTTACATTTGTGTTATGAGGCAATTGATATAAGTCTACATGTCTACTCGCGACAGGAGGGATGCAACGACAAGGCTCGACCAATTGATTGCAGTGAAGAATAGAGTATTGACATGCTCAATCTTACCTCTGACTGTGGACAAGCCGGCCCAGTATCTGTACTAGTGAACTGAGACTGTGACCGCGACTGAGAGAAGGAAACGTAATCTCGATGTCGTTCCTGGCTGGTTGTTGGGGAAGTCTCTTTCAAGACCCCCACCAGGGTAGTATCCAGAAGCCTGGCGATATCCTCAATCTGACCTCCAAACCGAGTGTCTTGCCCGTTTGCCTTGGGTGTAGTGTGATGGCCCTGATCGCGAGCCACCCCCAACGACTGGATGCGTCGACGACGGGACTTGGACGATGTGGGCAACTGCTGCAGGAGATACTGCCTCAATGTCACGACTTGTCTGTAGTATAGTGAGATGACAGGATGAGAATGCTGGGCTATCCTCTCGTGAGCTGAGGGGTTATTGGGGCGGGTTCTAACACAGCCTGAAGCAGGACTGGGGTATGGTTGCGAGGAATTCTCTGCTGCGCCGTCATTTTTGCCGGGCCTCTTTCTTTTCTTTCCCATGAGTGAGATTTATTTTTAATAGAGGATTAAGCTTCGTTCACATGGTATAGTGAATTCTTGTAAGTGTCAAGATTGTCCGAAGGGGTTGGAGGCTGGAGAGTGAGGCTTGACGGAGGACGCGATGGACCGACGCGACGCGACAGTTATGACACAGAACTCAATTATCAGTGACAATGAACAGTTAGGTAGGTATGTATGAGTATGAGTATGAAATATCAATATTAGTATTAATATTAGTACCAATATTAGTATCATTCTATCCATTAGAAATTAGAAATACTGTTGTGGTGAATTCCAGCCTCACGTGACATCACAATGGATCAAACTTTGAATGCATTTTTAATGGATTTGGAAGACCAAAAATGGCGGGGCCAAAAGCATCAGAAGCGATGAATGTCTCAGTTTTAGAGCAGCATTCCACACTAAAAAGTACACAATTGTAGACTGCGATGTCGATCCTCATCTACACTCCTGTTGAACATCGAGATCCATGGGACACTGGCGGTCTAGAATGCGATGACAGGAACAGGAAATGAAGTCTTGGTGTGCTGGCAATAAGCATCGCTTACATGGCACTATTGCCACTGCTCTAATGCCACGCATGTATTCTACTCTGCCCCTGTAACAGAAGTAATCAAGACATCTAAATGTTGGGCTTCATAAGTAATACATAATGAATAGACTTGTCTACCCAATACCCAGAATGCCTAACATTGCATTAGCTTTTTACGCGCGACCAGATGTTGCCTGATATCATTTGCTTATCTTGTATGACTTGTTCACTTCACTTAGGCCTCAACCCCACTCACCCCGCCTTAAGTTCTGTAGTTTTGTTCGACAGTCATTATTATCAGATTCAATATCTTCAAGATGCGTGAGATTGTATATGCCCTTGCTCTTTGAATGTGATTCAAGCTGATTATATCAGGTCCATATACAAACCGGCCAGTGTGTAAGTAGTCTGCATCGATGTAGCGATAAATGCTCATTCTCTAGGGCAACCAAATCGGGTCTGCTTTCTGGTACGTCCGCATATATGTGTTAAGATGAGAATTTATTGACAATACACAGGCAGACAATTATAGGCGAACATGGCATCGACAATGATGGCGTGTAAGTCATGTCCATTACGGATGAACTCGTTGACCAACTCTTCCAGGGCGACTGAAGCATCGGATCAACAACTCGAGCGGCTGAATGTCTACTTTAACGAGGTTAGTAACCGCATATAATTCGATTCATTCTTACATCAATCTCTAGGGAAGCACTAATACATACGTCCCCCGGGCTGTCCTGGTCGACCTGGAACCAGGCACGATGGATGCCGTCCAGTCAGGCCCAATGGGCCGTCTATTCCGCCCCGATAACTTCATCTTTGGACAAGCCGGTGCAAGCAACAACTGGGCCAAAGGCCATTACACGGAAGGTGCTGAATTAGTAGAAGAGGTTGTTGACGTTGTTCGTCGTGAGGCCGAGTTCTGCGACTGTCTGCAGGGCTTTCAAATCACGCATTCTCTCGGTGGAGGGACCGGATCGGGGATGGGCACGCTGTTGACAGCAAAGATCCGAGAGGAATTCCCAGACCGGATGATGGCGACATTTTCCGTTTTTCCATCGCCAAAGGTCTCGGATACGGTTGTTGAGCCGTATAATGCGACCTTGTCTGTTCACCAGATGGTGGAGAATAGCGACGAGACGTTCTGCATTGACAATGACGCTCTATCCAGCATTTGCATGAACACACTCAAGATTCCAGCCCCATCCTATGGCGATTTGAACCATCTTGTGTCGACGGTCATGTCGGGCATCACCACCTGCTTTCGATTCCCAGGCCAGCTCAACTCGGATCTGCGCAAACTGGCCGTAAATATGATTCCGTTTCCTCGTCTGCATTTCTTCATGGTCGGCTTTGCGCCTTTGACCAGCCGTGATTCCAGATCGTTCCGTGCGATCAATGTCCGCGAGCTTACGCAACAGCTCTACAGCCCAAACAACATGATGACAGCAGCTGATCCCCGAAGTGGTCGTTTTCTAACGTGCTCCACCATCTTGTAAGTCCATCTCTGTCTGGCTACACAAATATTCTAACCGTCCCAGTCGAGGCAAAGCATCAATCAGCGAAATCGAAGAACAAATGCGCAAAATCCAAGACCGCCACTCTGCATCATTCGTGGAATGGATCCCGAACAACGTCCAAACGGCCGTCTGCTCTGTCCCACCCCGAGGACTCAAGCTATCGTCAACGATTGTAGGAAACTCGACTGCGATTCAGGAAGTATTCAAGCGAATCAGTGATCAATTCGCAGCCATGTATCGACGAAAGGCATTCCTGCATTGGTATACAGCCGAGGGAATGGATGAGATGGAGTTTACAGAAGCCGAGTCAAACATGAATGATTTAATTGCTGAGTATCAGCAGTATCAAGAGGCGACGGCTTTTGATGAGGAGGTATATGAAGATGGGGTATATGAGGAATAAGTAAATACTGCAATACTGCAATAATGAGTCATGAATTATGAATACCAATATTCCATCAACAAAAACCGATCAACATGTCATTCACTACGCATTCAAACAGACACACTACTATACTCTCTGTTCCTCAGGCGAGGTATCCTCTCCAGACGCATCGGGATACGGTCCGAATATTGGGAAATGAATAACTTGGCGTTTGTGGAAAACTCCTGTGGGATAGTCTTAGGGTATCTGGTTCGAAGAATGAATACGAGAGTGAGAGTAAATGGACAAAAAAAGTGTGGGATTCGGATGGGAGAATCCGGTGTGGAAGAGCCCAATGATGCAATTTACGAGATTGGAGATGGACTCTTGATGATTTATAGTTTATTTAGGATCAATTAGATGAAGGTTATGGTTATTTCTGGGTCTTGGTTTACTCGATTTGGTGCCAATCTGCGTATACGAGGGTCCGCTTTTACGATGGCGTCGATATAAATATGGTCTATACGAGAGGCAATCTTATTGTCTGGGCATCAGGACTATATAAGATGAATAGAACCATATTCAAAATTCTCATCTCATCTCCATCCTCATCATCATAACTTCATCTCCTCAAAATGAAAGCCTTCCTCTGGGCCTTTGCCCTCACCTCCGCCATCTGCGCTCGCGCAAACGAATGGCACGCGTACTACCGCCTCAACCCCAACGAATACCAGACTAAATTCGACTCAATGGTCTCGCAAGGCTACCGTGTCAACTCCATCAGCGGCTACGAGCGCAACAACGAGCCAAACTACGCCGTCATCTTCGAGAAGAACCCCTGCAGTCCCGCCTGGCGCTCTCACTCCGGCCTCACCTCAGACGCATATCACGCCAAGTTTGAAGAATATCTTGACCAGGGATACCGTGTGTCGCAGGTGAATGGGTACACGGTGAACGGAAAAGACTACTATGCTGCTATTTGGGACAAGACGTCGAATAGCAGTGCTGCCTGGGTATCTCGACATGGGATGTCGACGGGTTGGATGCAGAAGTATTTCGACACGTATCTGGAGCAGGGATACACGCTTACCCATGTGAGTGGGTATGAGGTTGGAAAGGAAGCGCGGTATGCAGCTGTCTGGGAGAAGAAGAACGATGGCGCCAAGTGGGTTGCTGCTGGGAATTTGACGTCGACCGAGTATCAGGATCGGTTTGATAAATATGTCAATGAGGGTTATCGGCTGGTGGATGTGGATGGATACGAAGTGGATGGAGAGGTGTTTTATGCTGCCATCTGGGATAAATCGGCGTCAGGGCCTTGGGTGGCTAGGCATGGGATGGATTCGCCTTCGTTCCAGGCTGAGTTTGATAAATATCGGGCGGAGGGATATGTGTTGAAGACGCTGAGTGGGTATAATGTGGGTAAAAAGGATTGGTATGCTGCTATTTGGGTGAAGCCCTGATCTATTCTATCAGTCTATATATTCTAGTCAATAGTGTTATATTAATCAACATGAAGCCTTTACAGGCACCTTCAACGACAGTTGATTAGCATTCTCTCCTCTCGCCTCTACCTGGACCTGCTTTGCTGGATGAATCACAGCAACAGTCTCAAATCCACTCTTCTCGACTTCAGCAGACAGTTGCAGGTATCCATCACCACTGTATACCCGCCACTGTTGATGCTCAGGTGCTCCATTCCAGCTCATATAAACTATTGTGGAATTCATTCTATTGCACGAAAACACCGCTGGTTTCGTCTTGGGCCTGCCCATCCATGGCATTCGATATCCACGGTAGGTGCTCACTTGATTATCCCGTCCAAACTGCACCGTCATCACCCTCGATCCATCGGCGTCGTACTCGGTTATCTTGGGTTTGAGCCGTGGTCGAGGATAACATGTTGATCTGGTAAGAGCTGGTTGTTTCCATGGGAAATGCTGTATATTTCATCGCTGGGGTCGGACAACTGGCGAGATAAAGTGACCTTAGACTGCAGGCCCACGTCGAGGTAAATACCTTTTGATGGACTGTTGTGTTTCTCGATGATGGAATTGGAATTGTCATACAGGCTGATCACCATCCCGCTTGGAGTGTACGATCTGAATCGTGCGTCGTGTTGGTAGCAGAAGTTGAAATCTTCAATCTCAAAGTCTCCGCCGTGTCGTCCCTGCAGCGTCTACTCAACGCTTCCATCTTTATTCAGCCGAAGGACAGAGCAGTAGAACCGTGACGAAACCAGGTATCCGCCATCATCGAGAGGATCGACAGAGTTGATATGAAAATATCCCCATGGCTATGTTTGGTTTTGGTCCCATTCATCCAGCTCTAATAACGAGTCTGCTAGGGGAATGGCATCCACATGCCCGAGAGCACTCCATCGGTAGACAATTTCATTTGCCTTGATATCGATTTCGTAGAACAACGAACCCGCAACTTATCCAGCCTGAGATCCCCCAACCCTGGTCAAATCAGACTGCGTAACGTTGATGGCTGTCACAAGCATCCAGCATGATGGAGATATTAAAGTTTGCCTTTAGTAGTGTTGGACGAGATTTGTCGGATAACAAGGCCAAGTCTATGATATGTGAAGCTTAAGAGGACACTATTCAAATACCCTGCAATAAGCAATAATAAACCATCTACCCCTGTAGTATAGGCTAAAACAAACCGACAGCGATCGATAGAATCTCCGCCGTGGGGTCAAAGGGATCACAAGTCAACCGACATCCGAGTCCGGAACAGCGAGTCCGGCGAGGCTGGCAAAAGCAAGCATGGCTAGCAGACTGCCGATCCCTGAAGCCAAAGTGGCAATGTACTATCCATCGAGTAATAGATCGCTGGACCCTGACAGTGTTGGAAACCAATCGACTAATCGGGCAACAATGCCGGCCCCGATCTTATCTGATAATCTGATAAGCGAGAGGCGGTTTTTTCTTCTACAAGCAGTAATGACGCACCCCTCCTCCCACTCTCCGTCATGCAGACATCGCCCTCATAGGCCAGACTGCCATGCTCGAAGGATTCGACTAAGTAGGGAAGCGGTAGGGAAATGTTCCAGGCTCGGAAACTGTTATCCACGCACAGGCTGATTTGTTGGTTGTTTGCAGCAGGATCATTGGTGACCCTGGACCCCAATACCAAGACACAGCCTGACATGATTTTCATATAATAAGTGTTTTCTTTTCACCAGTCGGCAGGATGGATCACGATTCGGATTCTCGCGCTCCTCTTCTCAGCGGTAGAAGTTCCGGCGAGAGCATGCTGGGCAAGGGATTCAACGCAGCCCAGGGCGAGGCTCTGATTATGGGCACCTCGATACCGGAAATGAGCCTAACACCGGGACGAAACATACCTCTGGTGATGTGGCAGAGATTGAAGCGTTGGCCACGGTGTGGTCAACCCGGATGCTGTATACAGGATATGCGCTGTATGGATGAATCCAACTGGGACAGAAATGAGTTGAATCTAACTGTTTAGGGCGTTTTTTGATCTTCTTTGTCAATTCTTTCAAGCAGGAGACTACCGGCACGCTCTCGCCATACGTATACTCGGCTTTTGACAATCATTCCTTGATTTCCACTACCAGAGTCTTGACAAGTGTGATTGAAAGTGTCGTCAAACTGCCAATTGCTAAACTGATAGATGTCTGGGGTCGTCCGGAGGGCTTTTTGATTATGAAATTACTGTGCACTCTTGGCTAGTCGGCCTGTAGAAACGTCGAGACTTATGCTGCAGCAAAGGTAGGTCTTTTATATATGTGATATATATATATATATGTATATGTATATGTCCGTTAACCGTGCCTGCAATCCAGGTCATATATTGGGTGGGATATAATGGATGGATTACGTCCTTCACGTCTTCTTATCCGATACAACAGACCTGGTGAATCGAGCGTTTGTATATGACATTGCGGGCACCCCTTATATCGCCACGACCTTTGCCGGACGAGCTGCAGCCCAAAAACTCTACCGAGCCGGGAATTTGTGGTGGAGATTTGGAACTTTTACCATTGTCACGCCGGTTGTGGCGGCCCCGATCTTGATTCTATTCTGGGTGATTCAACAGAAAGCCTGCAAGGAGGGTCTTGTACAGAAGAGAAACAGTCGCCGGACCTGGTCCAGTCGATCAAGCATTACTTTATTGAACTTGACAGTACGTGAACTGCCGGCTGTGAGGGACTAGCGCTGACTCTACAGCCATCGGGATGATCTTGATCACTGCCGGCTTCGTTTTGGTTCTTCTGCCTTTGACACTGGCCAGTAGTCAAAACGACAATGTATTGTCGCCTGTACGCTTTTTGTCGGTTTTTAGTACCTTAGGTTTTTTCTGTCTTCCACTCATACAGTCAGTCTAACCTTGCAGCTCGTGGGATTTGTATTTCTCCTCGTATCTACAGGTGGTATTCGGAGTCAGTATGCAAGATGCAGGATATATCACCAACATATCCAGCATCGAGTCTTGCTTCTGGTCCGTTCCACTCGGACCGTACGTATATGCATTGAATACTCCGGAATAAACTCCGCACACCGAATCCAGAAAAACAAGCAACTAACAGAAACCTGATCGCAGACTCATCCGCAAAAGTCGGACGACTCAAGTGGACCGCGATGCCAGGCATGCCATTAATCCTGCTAGGCTCGGGACTGATGATCCACTTCCACTATCCACACAGCCCAATTGGATACGTGGTGATGTGCGAAATCTTCAAAGCCTTTGGCGGGGACACGCTGGTCATCTGCCACGAAATGGCGGCGATGGCAGCGGGCAGCCACGAGACGATAGCAGTCGCCTTTGTGCTGGTGGGCCTGTCGTCCAAGATCGGGGGCAGCGTGGGAACCGCCATCTCGGGAGCGATCTGGTCGAACACGGTGCCCGAGTACCTGGAGAAGTATCTCCCTGCGGACAAGAAGGGGAAGGCTATTGAGCTGTATGGGGTCCATGGCGACGGTGCTGCAGTATCCAATGGGGACGGCGGAGCGAGAGACGACGATGCATGCGTATGGGGTGGCGTAACGGCGAATGCTGATTGCCGGGGTGTCTGTGTTTGCCCATTGCAGTTTTGGGGATTACGATGTGGAAGAATATTCGGCTGAAGGGGGTGAAGCAGATTAGGGGGAATACTTTTTAGTCCGTATGCCGTATATGTCTGCCTATGTCCGAATACATAGATAGATACTCCGTATTGGATAGAGTATTGGATAGATGAGGATTCAACTATTATTTCTAATCTAAGAACAATACAATAGTCTACATCTTCTATTGTCTGTGCAAGTGCGTATAGGAAAGCGTGAGAAAGTGCGTGGCAGTAAACACGTGAGCTGCAGACGCAAAAGTACGCACACAACGCCAATCAGCAAAATCCACGCCTCGCAGCGGGAACAACCATAACCTTACAAGATGCAGAAAATCTGCAGGCGACCTGGTGACAGAGATTGATTGATTGATTGACAGACAGACAGACAGAAAAAAGACAGACATAAACGAGGAGAATGAGTTGGCAAGTCCACCGCCAATATGTGCTGTCCACTGTGATCGATTTTTTATCTGCCTTGATTCCTTGAAGGCCCGATCAAACCTTGGGCGTTTGGCTAGTTAGTAGGACTAGGATTTGAGAGTCAGACTGGTGAACTGGTCCAACCCCTAGATATCCCTTGCTCCAGTAGTTTATGATCGAGTTTTATAATATATAAATAATTATTATATATTATTATATTATATCAAATGCTAGATCGTCTTCATTTCCCAGCTGGGTAGACGAAGAGTGAAAGTGACGAAACAACCGTGTAACCTGACGAGTCTATTATTATCGGATTGTCTCAATTTGCAACCAAAACGTTCCCACTTGGAGTCTAGAATTGCTGCAGTGGGGGAAGACGAAATGGTGGAGATGACTGGTTCCAGGGAACAGCCCTCAGGTACGGAAGATTAGGAGGATTTATTCAGGAATAAATCCAGGATATCATTGATTTTTGCTTTGGCCGAGTTCTAGAAATTCCCATATTGCGGGACTTTCGGCCGCTTGTTTAGCCCAGTGGGAATCGCTGACGATCCATTTTAAATGAACTGGTCCTTTTGATTTTTGGATCCAGATTAAAGAATTCAATTTCATGCAGAAAAAATAAGAGAAAAAAAAAAAAAAAAAAAGATAGAGAGAAAAGTTGATACCTCGCTCGTTCAGACCGCTACCGTCTCATCTTCTCTTGTGATAGGTATCGCTTCTCTCGTCCTTCCATCGGCTTCGTCTATTCGTCTATCATCTTATGATCTTCCCCTGCAGCCTCTTCCAATCGATATTCGATAATCGTGATTATTATTATGATGACTATATGATCACTATTGCCTGTTCCGTGGTCTCTCCATCTTCCCCTCTCTCTGCGCCAAACAGCCTTTTCTGCTGCCCCTGTTAGACGCCGTGCAAACGTCAGTTCCGCCCTTTACCATCTTTCTTTCTCTTCTTTTCTTCTTCTCTTTCTTTCTTTCCATCTTTCTTTTTTCCCTCTTTCTCTTCCCTTTCTTTCTATCCATCTCTCCTCTTCCACCCTCACCTCCCCTCTGCACTGGCCTCCGTCTTGTGTACTCGGGGTACTCCGTACCACCTCCAATCCCCGCTCTCTGGGTCCCATCTCGTCTCAAATATGACGCTGGACTGGGGCATCTCCCGGGACGATTGCTTTGTAGCCTTAGCCGGTCCATCTGCGACCTCATCGCTTGCCGCCCTGCCGTGAACAACGCATCGCCAAAAGAACTGAACCCCAACTAGCTGCGGTGCCTCGAACAAGGAACCCTCCTCCAACCAACCATTTTTTCTTGGTCTAAAAAAAAGAAAAAAACAAACAGAAAAAAAAAAAAAAATAAATCAAACACAAAGAGGACCACAGAACAGACTTTTTTTTAAAAATAATATTTTCTTTTTCTTTCATATCGGTCAAGCATAATTCCTCCCCGTCACAAAGGATGCAAAATGTCCGGCAGCGATGTCGAACACGTTTCTTGCTTCCTTGACAGCAGCCGGCCGCACCACTTTCGGCGTCCTTCTTCCGCCAGTTCCAACCAATCTTTCTACGACGCCCCGTCGAATCTCTCTCTCGAGGCCTCTTTCGTCGCGCCCGCTTCTTCCCCTCCTCCCTCGTTTCCGACTTCGTATCGTTTGCGACCGAATTTCCTGCCTTCTCATTCTTTCGCCGTCCCCACGTCCTTGAGCGAACATCCTGATCTTCTCCAACGACAAGGCGGTCGAGCTTCTCCCGACCCCGACGATTATTATCGGCGGCATCAATCTCCATTGGCAACAGAGAATGATACTGGGGTGGGCGCAGGCAATACACTGACGGATGGGGCCAATAGCCAAGTGACCGCGGAGAAAACGTATCCTACCCAATTCCAGAGAGTGTCATCGTTGCCGGCAGACGCAGACACCTTTGAGCCTTTGCGTAGAGCCCCGGGGCAATACCGTTCGGCCTCCGACTCATCCTATAGAGGTCTTGGGCCCAAGTCCGTGAGGCCTCCCCCCGCACTAGCCTCGACCGCAAGGAATCGACAGACCTCATTTAAAGATCTAATCAACAGATTCAATCAGAACGTCGACCAGGTGCTTCCTGTTCCGCCCTCCGTCCCTTCCACACAACCGTCCCGAGCTGCGAGCCCAGTAGATAGTGTGGACGGATCGGTGCGATCTCGCACCTCTTCACGATTCAGAGACCTTCACGAAATGTCAACAAACAAAAAGCAGCCCATTGGGCGGTGGAACTCGATAGGCTCGTCGCTGCAGGAATCGCCAGAGGCTAATTTTCCGCCCCCATTGAGGGCCGCTTCTTTTGGCAGTCAAGCCCAGGTCAATCAGGACGTGTCCAACTCACCTCGACGACAGATGTTTGGCGAACTCCCCAAAGTCGACACGAACGTTAATAATTCAAACTTGGGAATTCCGTCGCATATGCGACGGCGGGGATCTGAAGGAAGTATCCCCAGTCCCAATCCAGCACTCTTAGATCAGCCCGATCAGACATTTGGTCAGACGCCCCTCACCCCCACTGCATGGTATTTGGGGCAGACTCCATTTTTAGAAGCAGTCAATACAGGTGCTGCTAGCTCGAATAATCATCGAAGGGTCCAAAGTGATTTTTCTAGAAGTTTGTCGGTCAACCACGTCGTACCAACCTCTTTGAATTCCCACATGGCGGTTCCAGCCTCCTCTCCGCCATCGGAACCGGGAACTCCTCCGCTCAGCCCGCATTCCAAGTCTCGCATTCCGATCTCCTCTCACCATACAAGCCCCGTTTCCGGGTCCGAAAAGCGTTGGCCCTCCCCTAAGGCCAGTTCGACCTTTAGCGGGCGCTCTGCCTCGCAAGTCCCCCTGCCACCCAAAGGCATTAGCCGCCTTCCCAAACCATCATCGACCTCTCCCCCTCGCATGAAAGACGATAACGAGACCACGTTCGCAACATCATCCACCGCAAGACGGGAAACCGGTCGCGGTCGAAATCGGCCCGAGAAAAACGGCCATATGCAAGCCTACATAGCGGCTCCTCCCCCCCGGAAATCACCCGCTTTGCGAAGCTCCCGACCTCGTCAACCTGTGACCAAATCTGGCCCTACCACGTCGCGGTCTAGAGTGGTTGAAACGGTATCAAATTTTCAGAACCAAGCCAACCGTGGAGACCCGCGAAATTCCAGGACGCGCGAACGAAGATTACCAGAGCTGGGTAATGTTGACTTTGCGACTAGACGGCAGAGAATTCAGCAAGCGTTCAACCGAACCGTTCAGGAGAATGAGAGAAAACAGGAAGAAGCTGAAGAACAACGTCGTGTCCAAGCAGAAGAAGAGCAGCAGGCTGACGCTCAGCCTCTCTCACCTGATCAGCCACAACACGAAAGTATCCCAACAGATATTCCGTCGCACGCTGAAGATACAGCTACCGTGATCGAGGAAATAGTTCAGACTTGTGATGAGGAGAAAAAGCCGGCGCCAGAAACAGGGGACTCCAGAGCACTCCCCCAGCTCCACATCAACACGCATGTGCAGAGGATGAGAGTAAATGCGGATTTCCATCCGATGACGGCGATGGATTCTCCCACACTGGGCATTCCTATGATGGGCAACAGGGGCCCGGAAAACAACAAATCTTCCAATTTGGCGCCTGTTTCTGCCGTTACAGCGGCGTCCAGCGATACCCATGTCACTACCTTTGACCCAGAGCCTCAAGTTGAGGTTCCTCAGCAGGACTTGAATACATCGCACCGTACTCTCTTGAGTCAAATTATGCAGATCCGCGAGGACAGCCCTAGCAGCTCGTCATGCGATGAGCCGGATTATAGCTTCTCGGATAATGACGAAAGAGAGTCTATTCCTATTATGCTGCGAAATACCGCCTATTTTGGCGACTCGGTGAACGGCAGCGAAAACCATGGTCATCGCAATTATTATATACAGCCGGAACCGCCTGGTCGTCCAATGTCGAATAGGTGGAGCATGAGCTCCTGGTCGTCCTCCCTTCGCAATCAGCACTCCACGGATGATCATTGTGAAGGCAGCGGGGATGAACTCTCGCAGGTTCCCCCATCCGTGGATGACGGTGGAATGACTACACAGTCTTGCTCTGTCGCCTCGAGTACCCCTCCATCCGTCAGCATCCACCACTTTCCTGGGTTGCTGCCTCCAACTGAGCTTGAGCAAAAGAGCGAGAATTCGTCAGGTCGGAATACCATGCTTTCTGATGGACCAAGTCTTGTAAGACAAGGCGGATGGAATTCTACGCGTGTAACACAGCTCTACTTGGAGGAACTTGCTCGTGGCAGGGGAAATAGCCTTTCGTTGCCAGGAGTGACTTCCTCCCCGGAGCCTCGCCGTTCGAACACCGAAATGAGAACAGAAGAAAAGAGAATGGAGGAAAGGAGAACGGAGGAAAAGAAAGCAGAGGAAAAGCCAAACAGTCTTACTGATGACCCTGTCATGGTGCCGAGCTTCGAGGACATTGCTCCAGATCAGATACGCCATTCGGCAACTCTTTCATTCCGAGATGACTGGGTGCATGCTTCTCCGTCCATTGCCGATTGGATGCAGGTCGCTGCTGATGATGAATGCTCGCCAGTAGAGCAAAGGAAAACTGCTACTAGTCCTTTGAATGATGGTGTACCGACACCACGTTTAATCACATCATCTAATCCACAAGCATCGAACGATGAGGAAGTCGACGAAGGACTGGGCCTGGCCATTCATGTTCAATCGCCTCAAGAGCTCGAATCCACAGAAGCTTTTCCACCAATGCCATACTACCCCCCTCCCCATTTTGAAACGCAGGAGACCAGTTCCAAGCAGGCACCCCCGCAGCTCAGCTCAACCATCGATCCCTCCCAACAGCAATACAATGGGTTGCCTCCTGTTGTTTTCGCCCCGCTGGGACTTGTTCACAGCACGGGAAGCAGCGACAACTTTTCACTCCGTCGACTTGAACCAACCCCGTCTCCGCACGCCGTGGACTCGTCGGCCACCTCCTTGGTTCCGTCGACCTCAGACTATGCCAGCATCGAGAATCAAAAGGCCTCCCCATCGCCCGAGCAGCGGCGTCTCAAGAAACGCCGACATGTCATCAAGGAACTGGTGGATACTGAGTACAACTTTGGCAGAGATATGAAAGTCGTTGATGATATTTACAAGGGCACCTCGAGCTCCTGCTTGGACCTTTCGACTGATGATGTGAAGATTCTCTTTGCGAACTCTGATCTAGTTGTGCAGTTTTCCATGGGATTCCAGGATGCTCTCAAAACAGCAGCAAAAAGCGTTTACGTGATGCCCAAGTCGCAGCGGTGGGCTAGTAAACGCAGCGCGCGCAATAGCCACTTGAACCCCAAAAACGACCCGGCGTCTGCGACGGAGCCGGAGATGTCAGATCTGGAGAAGGATCGATCGACCTTCATCGGACAGGCTTTCGTAACGCACATGTCACAGATGGAGAAGGTATATTCGGATTACCTGAAGAATCACGATGCTGCCAATAAGAAACTTCAGGCCCTGCAGCGGAACCCGAAGGTTGCTATCTGGCTTAAGGAGTGCCGTGATTGGGCGTCAGACTTGACAACTGCTTGGGACTTGGACTCGTTGCTTGTCAAGCCTGTGCAACGTATCTTGAAATACCCACTCCTTTTGACCGAGCTTCTGGATTCAACGCCTAGCGACCACCCAGATCGTGCTTCTCTCCTTACTGCGCTCGAAGAAGTCACTAGTATTTCGGTTCGCATAAACGAGCAGAAGAAGCGAGCCGACCTTGTTGGCCAGGTTGTCGGTCGAAAGCGAAAGGAGTCGGATGTCAGAGCAGGTCTATCGAAAGCATTTGGCCGTCGTACTGAGAAGCTGAGGCAGCAAGTTGGCTTGTCTGACATCTTTGAAGACAAGGAGTACGATTCTCTCTCTCAGAGACTCGGCGATGGTTTCTTCCAATTGCAAGTCGTGATGCGTGATGTGGAGATGTACACACGAGAGGCCCAAGGCTCTATGGAACGGTTTGAAGAGTTTGTCGACGCAATCGATGGATTCTTGGATGTAGCGCAATCGAATTATGCGGATCTGGAGGGCAAGTGGCGGCACTTGAAGCTGCTTGTCCGGGACATTATGGTAACAGCATTGCCTGATCATGTAAGTGTCCAGTTGTTGTTTATTTGCACGAGGATTGGAATAGCAGTACTAATTCTCATCTTCACAGCTCGGCGTTGTTCGAAAGAGTGTCATTGATCCCATGATTACGTTGCTCAAGCTGTACGAAGGACCCCAGAGGGTCATGCGAAAACGCGATAAGCGCCTTATGGACTATGCCCGATTTAAGGCTATCAAGGACCGCGGTGACAAGCCCGACAAAAAGACTACTGAGCAAGGCGAACAGTTCGTGGCATTGAACGAAACTCTCAAGGACGAACTTCCTAAGCTCTTTGGTCTTACTGCCAAAATGATGGAAGCTTGCTTGACCAAGTTCGTCCAAATCCAAACCACTTGGTTTAGCGTGCTACAAAAGAAGCTTTCGCCCGCGATCGACGCATTCCCGGATGATCTGCAGAGGATCATCAACGACTGGGCCGGAGATTTCACTTTCTCGGAGGCCCAAGTGCTATCTCTTGGCATTTGCAACGGCTCCTTGCTGGCTGACACGATTAATCTGGTGAACTTCAACACTCCCTCCACGGGAGCAAACATCGGCTCACCCCGACGGCCATCTACTACTAGTACCCGTGTTGGGTCTACTGTGGACGAATCGCCTAAGGTATCCCATGATTTCAGTGTTGGCAGCCGCGTTTTCCAGTCTCCCAGCATTGATAGCCAATCTCAAGTATCGACCGGTCGACATCGTGCTGATTCCACCATTTCCGGACGTACTTCTGAAGCACCCGAAATGCCACGAAGCCACCTTCTGCAGCAGATCACTAGTGCTCCAGCATCGTCGGGGCCCATGCCTCAACAACCGATCAACCAGGAGCCGTTCCCCAGCCTCCCTAGATTGAGTCTAGATACACCTTTCCTCGACGATGTCGCCAACGTGATTGGCCCCTCCACCTCGGCGAGCGAAAACCCACCAACATCACCTGGTGGTCGCTATTCCGGTTTCTTTTCATCCGCGATGCCCATGTCTGATGCACCAGAGGAGCCTGCGCCAGCAGCAGCGCCTGTTGAGAATGAGCCTCCCAAAGAACCCAATGTGCTGTTTCTCGCTGCTAGCATCTACGAGTTCAACATCGACCGTGCTCGTCGTGAAGCTGGGTATCCTTACCTGACCTATGTTGCAGGAGAGATCTTTGATGTCATCGCAGAGAAAGGGGAGTTGTGGCTGGCTAAAAATCAGGATGACAATACTCGCCAAGTTGGGTGGATCTGGAACAAGCACTTTGCGAAACTTTCAGGATGAAATGTATAGCCCTCCATTCTGCAATGCTTTATTTTTCGTTTCGTTTTCCTATCTTCCGTTCGAGCGTTGATTGCTTTCTCAAAAAGCTCGATACCCTCCTGCTCACTTTACATTTTGACTTGATTTTCCCCCTCCGTTTTCTTAGCCATCTATGAGGCGTTTGTTCATTTTGTCTTTCTTCTTTGGTCCAAAGGACAGTTTACGATTTGCTGGAAGTGTTCTGGTATCTTGTTTGGTTGATATGTTTTTTTCTGATATGACTGGAGAAATTGCTTTGATTTATACTTCGTCTCCTTGGTCCTTTTGAGCTTTTCGAAAAAAGACCTTGGCCTGTACATTTAGATACCCCTTATTGAACTGTGAATTGATGATTGGTAGATTAATCTTACATATCTTGTTCTTTTGCCTCTAACCATGATTATTATTCTTGATCGACTGTACATTGCAAGCTCATCTAGAGAACGTCACGTGCGTTAGCCACCACTGCCACAGGTGACGTTTTCCGCCGCATCACCGTTGATCGCCGCGACTCCCCTTGGACGAGGGGGGCAAACTCCATCACACCTCAATTCTTGTGATTCTTCGTCTATATCTATTTGTGCAGACCCCCCCTCCTTCACCCTCTCCCATCCTATCCTTCCCCCCGTGGTACCACCGTCTGTCCTCCCCCGCCCATAACCACCATTCGTTCCGTTACCTCCGACCGACCGTCCGATCACCCCCGTCGTCCCTCGCGTTAGAGACCCTAGGAATTTACTTCCCTCCCTTAGACCCCCTCCATTTCGACGTGGAAAAAAGAGAGAACTATTCTACAGTCCTCGCCAATTATTCCTCCCACAAAGCGGGAGATGAGATAGATATCGTGTCTCGTTTTTCCTTTTCTTGTGGTTTCCTGTCGCCGCCCCGCCGCTCGCTAGACTCCAGTTCAACGTAACGCAACACGCAGACCCTCGGAATTCACTTCGCCTTGCCGATCATAACCGGTTTCGGATAGCTGTCATTGGGAAAGGTGGTTGATTTGTTCCACGCGCGCGAAAAAAGAAAAAAAAGAAAAAAAGAGACGGTGTACGGAGGAACGTATTTCTGCGCTGCCTGTTGTTCTGGGTTTGGGTGACCTTTTTGGTTGTGATTGAGAGTTTCATCCTTTCCCGTGTGTGAGTGAGAGGTGCAAGCAAGCAAGCAAACATGCGAGACGGTGGATTGGGAAAGTTGCAGAAGAGGATGAGGGGACGGTTTGGGGATACGGTATGGGTTATTCTGGTAGTGTTCTGGTGGCATGCTAATGGGTTGGTTGTAGTTGAATCCGGATGATGCGTATTTGAGCTGTGAGTTTGGCTGTCTTTTCTTTGGTTGTTCAATGGTTTGGATCAGGTTGCTAACATGGATTTGGGTTCTAGATTATGATATTCGGTGTATGTCGCGGAATTTGAAGACCTGGGTTGACAAGTGACTGACTTGTTGCAGTGACGAGAGAGGATATGCAGACATTGAAGAATGACTGGCTCACAGATAATGTGGGTGCGATGGTACTAATGATGGATGCACTGTAGCTAACATGTCACAGATCATCTCATTCTGGGAGGAGTAAGTCGACTGGGTTTGTTCTACAGCGGCAGCGATAACTGATGGGTCTCAGATACCTAGAACAAGAGGTCCTCTCACAGCATAGCTCATCCAACATTGTCCTCCTTCGACCGAGCATGTCGTTCATGATCCTCCAAACGCCCAACCCTCATACCCTGCGCGAAGCCCTACCTAACTTTAGCCGAACCACCCATGTCTTCCTCCCAATTAACGACTGTCGCAATGTAACCGAGGCTGAAGGGGGTACTCACTGGTCGCTTCTTCTCATATCCATCTTGGACGGGATCGCATTCCACTATGACTCGCTTCCCCCCGGAAATGTATGGGAAGCACGAGAGGTGACGATGAAATTCGGCGCTTTGCTCAACCGCCCGATTCGGTTTGTACATTTGAACGACTCGCCTGTCCAGGAAAATGGCAGTGACTGCGGTGTTTTCGTCTGTCTTAGCATGCGGCATCTTCTAGTGAAAAGGCTGCTGATGACCGACGGTAACCAGAAGGTTAGCATGAGCCTGGGCGGGAAAAAGGTGGACGCACGTGCGGGGCGGAAGGAAATCGCCAAAATCATCGAGGGATTCCGAAAGGAAGGCGAGAGACGCAGATCGTATGTTCCTTCTTTGCCCTCATTCCTATGACGTCGCAATTCGCTGCACAGGGTTGTGTACTGACTGACAACAGAGCTAGCTTAAGCCCAGGTCCCTTTGGGAAGAAATCCGTCAGCCCGGGTCCTCCACGGATTGATTGATTGATTGATGTATTTGAAATGAAAAAGGGATATGAGTCCTCCATACCGAGTTTTATGATCGAGTTGTCAAGGCGCACAAGGGATTGGCGCAGGCGCAGGCGCAGGGAAAGCTGGGATCGAGCCGAGTCATGCATGCTCACGATTGATTATGAATTTGCGAATTAGCTTGATGCTCTTGGTGACTTCTATTATCACCTTTTCTGTGTACTGGTTTTAATGTCCTTTTCCTTTTCTTTCATTCTTCGTTTCTGTCTGTCCGTATTTGATGGACGGCTGTGGGATATATAGCATTGGTCTATAGCATGTCAACTGCATACTATTTGAAAGCATTTTTCAACCACCATTTATTGAAGCTTATTGGTACGTAGTCTTAATAGCAGTAAATTTTGAATATTCGCTATTCACTTCTATATCTCTTTGTCCACGGCCAAATGGATATTGCCGATGATCGGACAGCCGAGGTCCGTTAAAGGAACAGATCGGGTGGATCAGCCCTATAACGATCGCCATTCCATCATGAATGCAATGCCAACGTCCATCCTCCAGCATTCGTAGTTGCCATGTAGCCAGCAGTATTCCCGGGCGATAAACCAGCAATATCCCATCACTGAAGTAGCTGGCGATTCAAAATGACCATCTCCAAACGTTTATTTTCCACCACACGACACCTGGGTAAACAAAAGAGCATTCCAGCCGCGTATTACCGCGGCGGAACCTCTCGTGCCCTGATATTCCACGAAAAAGACCTCCCATCCAATCGCGATGATTGGAAACCACTCTTCCGTGGTGTTATTGGCTCCCCGGACCATAATGGTCGACAGCTCGATGGCATGGGCGGAGGAATATCGAGTCTCTCGAAGATTTGCGTGGTCAGACGATCGGAGAGGAAAGATGCGGAGGTTGATTTCACGTTTGTGCAGGTGGGGGTTAAAGACGACAAGGTCGATTATGCTGGGAATTGTGGGAATATGACGAGTGCAATCGGCCCGTTTGCTGTTGATACCGGGCTCATAAATGTGGAAGCTTGTCTGCGTTCTGGGCTAGATGTGAAAGAGATAGTATCGTCGGATGGGGCTGAGGTTGAAACGGGTCTGGTCACAGTGAAGCTATACAATACCAACACGGACAAATATATCCACGCCACGTTTCCCGTTGAAGATGGAGAGGCAGCTTCATCGGGATCGTTTGCGATTGATGGAGTCTCGGGCACTGCAGCTAAAATTCAGCTTGATTTTATGGATCCCTCGGGCTCGAAGACGGGTGCTTTGCTCCCGACGGGCAAGACGGTGGATGTCTTCGATGGTGTGCGAGTCAGCTGTATTGACGCTGGAAATCCCTGTGTTTTTGTGAAACCTGAGGATATTGGGATCGAGAATCTCTCTCATATCTTACCAGATGAGATTGAAACACGGCATCCCCAGCTCCTGGGGAGGCTCGAGTCGATCCGCAGACAGGCCACCGTGAAGATGGGCATGGCTAGCAGACTTGATCAAGTCCCTCCATCTATTCCCAAGGTCTGTATAGTGTCTCAACCGTCGTCTTCGTATCGTCTTTTGTCTGGGGAGGTGGTGGAGGCCGACAAGGAGGAGACGGACGTTGTCGTACGTGCCATCTCAACAGGACAACCGCACAAGGCTCTTCCCATCACAGCCGGGCTAGCTTTGTCTGCTGCTGCTAGATTAGAAGGATCAGTGGTTTCTGAATGTCTTGATGGAGAACAGGGAGGTGAGGAGATCAGGATCGGTCATCCCAGTGGGAAGCTGGTCGTGGGAGCGAGATACAGCGAGACTGGGGAGTTGGAGCGAGTGACTGTGTACCGGACGGCGAGGAGGCTGATGGAAGGAAAGGTCTTTTGGAAGTGATTCTGTTCTGTTCTGTTCTGTTAAATATTGTCTGTCCTGTTTTCCTCTTCTGTTTTCCTCTTCTGTTTGCCCATCTTCTGGCCGTCTACGGGGGCGATTCAGCGCAACACTCCACGCTAAGCATGCTATCTTCAGTTCTACCATCCCAGCTTCTCTATATACGCAAGGAATACCATCTACAACACTTTCTGCCCTTTTCCTATCCTCAAACAGCTCTCTATCCCATCATCTCGTCCCCGTCAGCCTCTCTACCTGAATCCTCAGGCCTCGATATGGCATCCATTTCCCTCGAGCTCTTTCCCAACTCTCTCAAAATGCCCTCAGTCCTACCTGTTCCGGCAGTCTTCTGCCGTCATCCTGACCATTTTCTCGTTCTGCTGCTGCCCGTTCCGGTAATTCGAGGCTATTCCCAGCGCCTTCCTCGACTCTTTTCCTGCTCCGGCCATAATAATTTCTCTCGCTCGCCATTCTTCCTCTTGTTTTTCTTTCCTTCTCCAACACCTTATGGTCGTTTGACATTAGTACGTGACTTCACGCTACGCCTTCTCAAGCCCCTATCGTGTTTTAGCTTCTGCTATCCCCTGCTGCTTCTGCTGCTCTTTATCTTGACCCCCCATACCTTCTCCCCGCATTCCCCCTTTTCTTCTTTTCTCTTTTCCAATATCAGTTGGCTATAGTCGAGATGTCTCGTCCTATGGTTGCTGGTATTTCCCCTTCTCGGAACCCGGTTAGTCGACTTCACCTACAGCCTCGCGTGTTAGTCACTCCTTCGACCTCCGTCCGCGCCGCCTGTACCGACAACCGACCTACGTTCCGCCGCTCTTTTTACTCTCGTGTCGTTCAACGACACCGAGAGAGCCGCTCTTTTGCTGAGATGCAACAAGGTTCGCGTCTCCCCGTTCGTTCACCTTCTCCTTCCCCTCCTGCCTCTGTTTCTTCCCCTTCCACTCCTTCACTTCCTCGTCCTTGGAAGATCATCACTCGTTGTATCCCTCCTCCGCCCACTTCCACTCGTTCTTCTGTTGGGCCTACCCCCAGAGGGGGTAGGAGTTCGCTAACAGCCTACCCTTCTCGCTTGGCGGAGAGGAAGGCGTCTCGGCAGGCCCGGACTCGGCCCTGGGTTCAACCCACGGAGTCGAGTGCCAAACCTTCTCTGCGGGGAACCCTGCGGAGCCGGTATTGCAAGCTCCTGCCTAACTCAGGTAAGCCCGTCTCCCATGTTGAGCCCGCTAAGCCAGCTCTCAAATCGGCCCTCTCCAAAGGTAAGTATTCGGGTAAGTCGAAGCGGGTTCGCTTCGTTGGAGAGGAGCCCGAGAAACCAGTCCTGACGCCCGCCATGAAGCCGGGCCTCAAATCTGCTCTCTCCAAAGGTAAGTATTCGGGTAAGTTGAAGCAGGTTCGCTTCATTGGAGATGAGCCGAGGCCCGCATTGAAGCCTGCACTCTCCAAAGGTAAGTATAGAGGTGAGTCGGGTAAGTCGAAGCAGGTCCGCTTCGGGGGAGTGCAGGTCGAGACTGTGTCTCGGTACATCAAGAAGTTTCGGTGGGCAAAGACTAGAGAGGTGCGTGTCTACCCCCGTTGGATTAGGCCTTCGGAGCACGTTTACCGCACGCCATCGAGGGTTCTTGGGAACTTCCAGGGGTAGAGAGTGGAGCCGTTGGAGGAGGAGGATGAGGATGGGGAGAAGGAGAAGTACATTACGTACTGGGGGAATCAGCGGTCGTCGATGATTGAGTTCATTCATTCGGAGGGACCGTGCGGGCGTCAGGACTGCGCCTGGAACAGCTTGGCTCGTATCCAGGCGATGCGGCCAATGTGGGATACCAAGACGGTATTCTGGTGTTGGAATAGGAAGAGGGAGATCGTCCGGGAAAATGGGGGCTTTGCTCTGTGAGTATCCCTATTGACCCATGTCTTTCACTAATGCATCTTCTTTGCCCTATGTTCACTCGTTTGTCTTTCCTGCTTTTTGTCAGGTGTCCATTCTTTTTGCCTTTTTCGAGGCGTCCATTCGTTTTTCACTTATTTACCCCCTCTATTCTGCTGGCGCTGGTCTTCATATGGGAGGCCATCCAGTGACTGCTGATGTGTTTATAGGGCTGGCGAATGTCCTGGAGAAGTATTGGTGGCGCAGCTGCATTCACCGATCGGTAAGTCTGATCTGTTCTTGGCCATGTTGGATTGTATACTGATTATTGTGACGACTGTTAGACGACGAGAGGACTTTCTTGTCAGGGGGTTCCATTCTCATGGGTAATGACGCACCCGCGTAAAGTAAGTCGTAGTCCCTCAAGACAAGGACGCCAGCAGGAACGATGACGACGCGGCAACCGAGTGCGGCCCTCCGGGGGGCGATGGTGGTGGATGGTGGTTTGATTTTTTTTTCTTTTTGCTTGTAAGTATCCTGCTTTCGATATGACGGTTGATGCTGATGTTTGTCGAGTCTTATATTTCTTATTTATGATACCCCTTTTGTATTTTCGTTCTTGTTGCTGTTTTTGCTTTCTTGCTTCTGTGTTCTGTCTTTCGTTCTGTCTTTCATTGTTGCTTGTTCTTCATGGGGTCATTCGCATCTATTTGTTATATTTTGCCATTTCATCATGACTCTCGCTGTGAGGGGTATGGAGAAGTGCAGTTGTCATGTATTCTTGTTTTGTCTTTCTTGTTCTGCTTCGTTCCCCTTCATGTCCGTTTTCTTTTCTATCGTTTCTGTCTCTTCTTTCAGGCGTACTGTTTTGGCGTTTGGCGTTTGGGCGTTTTGTTTCTTTTGTCCAGTCGTACGGGCCTTGTGTACGGCACTCAAGCAAGACTTGCACCTCTACGTGGTGCTTGAGACTAGTAGCCAAAAGGTGAAGCAAAGCAAGTCAATTCAATCGTTGTTATCTTGCCAGCAGAGAATTCAGCGGATTTTGTAATTGCAATTTGCACGCCATGACGTGCTAACAAACAGTTATCGTATCATGACAGTAAGTCGGTATCTTCAAGATCACACTACACGAAACTAAGATTGACCGCAGCATCTTATCGACGGCGAAAATCGGGGTTGGCCTGGCGAAATTGTTCGCTGGCTCGAGGACGGATAAATGAGTGTTGTTGTTTCGAGAGTCGAGACGGGCGAGTTGGACCGTGCACACAAGGGCGACTTAGTAAGTATACATTCATGCTCCAGGGTGGACTTCATGCTGACATTTCTTTGTTCTCTCTAAGCCTGTGGTAGCAAATGCACAATAAAAACGGGTTGTTTCTTGGTGGGCTGCCTTTGAATGTGTGGGTTGCTCGGTTCTGACTGACCATCCGATGTATTTATACATATCGAGACTTCGATTTGCGATGGAACATCGTATAATGATAGTCTCGTATTTTGGTATTTGGGCGGTAGGTAGGGCTTTTCATTCTGGTGGAGGTTCATTCATACTAACAGAGATGTGGCTGATGATTGGGAGACGAGAACGAATGTCCTTTGTCTTGTTGTTTTGGCTACGCTTAAACCGGGAAAATCGATCATGGGAGAGTGTATGAGCCAACGGAATACGTCATGAAAACGAGTCAATCATTAAGTATTATTATAGTAAAATAAGTTATCCTCCGTTACCCATACGCCATTTGCCCTTAATATTCCATGAATACACAATCAAAACTCATACAAGATTTGACGAGATCAGTCATGAGAGAGTTCCAAAGGTTAGATAGATCCTCTCCAGTCAAGTCACTGTTGGAGACCTCGGTGGTGGAAGCGTAGCACTGGTCAATTGTGGCTTGGGGCGCGTTGCAAAGGCTGATAAGGCGGTTACAGATGAAGTCGGTCAGAGTATCAATGGTAGTAGAGGAGCCATGGGGGAAGTCATCCTGGTTGTTGTCATACCACGAGTACTCTGTTCGGCAATCGAGGGCGTACTCCCATCTAATCGGAGGGCCAGAGCAAGTACCATAGTCGGACCCACCGGAGCCTCCAGTGTTGTCACAGTTATCGGCAGTGGTGGTTGTGGTCACGGTTTCGGTTTCAGTGGCGGTGATTGTTGTGGTGTTGATGCTGGTTTGGATATCAGTGACTGTAAGGGCATCAGTCAAGGTTGTCGCGTCTGTGATAGTCGTGGTATCACTGATAGTCGTGGTATCACTGATAGTCGTGGTATCACTGATAGTCGTGGTATCACTGATGGTCAAGGTATCGATGATTGTTTCGGTGTCTATCTCAGTCTCGGTGGTTGTTACGCCTGGGAGAGTGACCGTATCTGCTCCGGTGGTCGTGGTCAGGGTGCTTGTGATAGTCGGACCTGGAGTGGTCACAACCTCAGTGGTCGTTGGGGCCTTCGTCGGTAACCGTGCTGGTGACTGTGTCCGTGACTGCAGGGCCTGGGGTGAGGATGGTCTCGGTGAGGGTCGTGGTCTCTGCGACATCCTCGGTGATAGCCAGAGTGTTTGTAGGACCAGAGGTCGTGATAGTAATGATCGTGGCTAGTTCATCCACTTCCTCGGTGATGGTGGAAATGATGGTGATGGTGCTCGTGACACTTATATTTGGATTAGTATTGATGGTATGGCTTCCGGATGAGATACCTACTCAGGTTGTCCAGTGTTTATCGTAATGGTCTCTGTGGGACAGCTTCTGTCACCATCACCATCACCATCGAGGCCATCATTGCCATCACTATCATCATCTCCACCTGGCCGTCCACCATCTTTGCCCGGCCGGCTACCATCCTTACCAGGCCGACCGCCATCTTTTCCAGGATGACTATCCTTGTCAGGCCGATCGCCATCCGTTCCAACTTCACCGTCGGTGTATGGGGAGATTTTGTACCCCTGTGCCCCTGGAGCAGGCCGCGCCGCAATCAGCGGTAGGGCCTGCAGAAGTAGGGCTGAAACAATCCATGATCTCCGCACGATGATGAAAATGAAAAACTATCAAACCTTCATCTATAAGATTCGGGGGCGTTTAATATATAGGGATGGGATGGTAGCCGACAAGCAATGTTGATACTCCATGCTCCATACCATAAGGAACAGCTTTTGTTTAATTTGCTTGTAGAATAGTTTGTTTTCCCCGAATTGCATAGGGATGAGGACGATCTATCACTAACCAGCAATGCCGGCGAAATGCACGAGGTGACACAGTAACCGGGCATAAGATTTCTCCGGTTAGAAGCTGCATGTATCTCCACAACATAACTGCATTGCATCTGGAATCTTGCGGCGGGGATATGATGTGATCGGCCTTAAAAAGAGGATCCGCATTCTGGTCGATTTTCGGGATACTCTCCTTGTGCCTTGACCAACCTCGCGTTTGAAAATACTTTAGCGGAGATAAACTCTGAAGATTGATTTTTTGAAGATCCATAGATGGAAGCCAGCTCCAGGGATATATTGCCACTCTTCGAATTCACGTTGTGTTCACTCATTCTCGTAGAAATTATCTGGCCTTTGCGTGGGGTTATTGCAAAAGCGCAGAATAAACCAAACATGGCTGTCTCTGTGGCGCTGTTACCATAGGAATTGCTCCCAGGGGCTATAAAAGCCAACCAAATAGGGACCGCCTGGCTGTATACTCCTTCGGTTATGAGAAAAGATAAAGAGGCCTTCATGTTGACATGTCCTCGAGGGAAGGACGTTCTTGAAGAAATCGCACTGAGGCTTCCTCCACTGCCAGCAAATATTCAAGCTCGACAACGTAACGGCGGTTTCCACAACCTGTAAAGCCTACAAGGCACTACATATCGCTGATTTAGCACTGGCATGTTTTGTTGGTCATTGGAAGCAAAAAGAGGAGCTTGTTCCAAACCTTTGTCACTCTTCTTATACCGCCAAACTTCGAATCAAGCCAATGGATTTAGTACTGCATACACAGTTCATATGTTTTGTTTTGAAGTTGTGCCGTTGTGGAAAAAAAAAAAAAAACCTGAGCATTGCGAGTACCGCACGAGTTTGTAGTTGTGCCTGCCCCATAAAATGGAAAGTGCACGACCCTGGATGAAGTAGGGATACACAGACGGAAACTTGAGTGTAGCGCGGTCACTACCACCCAATTTTAAGAACTATAGGGCCTCACGGGAACAAGAAAATGAGGAATCAAGTCTTGGCTCAAAAAAGAATAAACGGTATAGCCGGAAATATAATAAATCTGAAAAAGCGCTGGTGAAGACAAGACAGTCCAAACGACGAAAATACAAAGAATCTCGCAACCAGATTGTCCACGGATGAAAAGGATTCAGAATGCATGACAACGCCTGCAACACCGACCAATGTTGAAGTAGAATGATATAGAGGCAATGGACCAATTGTATACTTGGTAAATGGGCGAGGTGCGGAGAGAAGATCAGAAAAATAATGCGGGCAACAACCGCTTGAAAGCAGAAAACAAGACCGATATGCTGGCAACCAAAGTCTATAGGCGAAATAAGAAGCTTGCGAAGAGAGACTGAGAAAACAAAAGGTGGTGCAAAGAGGGTATGTGACGCCAATTGTAGACAGAAATAATAATGGGTCATTGATACATATTTGGGCATGTGAAAGGAAAATGTAATCATGCCCACCTTACCGAGAAAAGACGACGTATTAACCATACACTCATGAAGACGGGGAAAAGTAAAGACCCCACATCGCCAACTGGCCAGAAAAGTATCAACTATGGCGGCGTAGGAGTCTGGCGAATTTCGTCATGGTCATTCTGGGGCTTATCATGGGGGCGCATGTATACGCCGTCCATTTGGGATCCGGGAGGCGTGGTGTGAATCGCCCTGGGAATTGATGTATGTTGTAACTGCTGTTGTTGTTGAGCAACAACCTCCCGGGCATAAAATTCTACCAGCATCGTTCCATAGGCCTCGAGCTCTTCGACAGTGATTGATAGACGAAAATCGTTCAGCAGTAAAAATTGAAGTTCAAGGTGATTGAGTTCGACCAGCGGAAGTCCCCCAACCTTAGGAAAAAGTCATGTTAGCGAAGATCCCAGATAAATGCCAGATTCGGAAAGGAGACGAAGTACGTACCTTTGCGTATCGGGAATTTGTATAGAACACATCGGAAAAGAATTTACTGGCACAGGTCACGCCAGCGATGACCAGCCGGTGAATGTTAAAACTATCAACAACGAAGAAGCGGGAAAGAGCGTCGTCCTCATCCTGAGGGTATAAAGAAGGTGATATAGACGAAGCCGAATTTGGGTCCTGTGCCCGCATATTTGCGGAGGAAGGCGGGGTTACTAAGGGTGAGGCCTGTGCCTGCCGGGCTGTTGATGATTCAAACGACCCAGACCCAGGAGGAATATTAACCTGGACAGTGGAAGGTTGATCCCAGCGGGGTCGCAGGCTGTCCAGTTGACCTTTGTTGACCATTTCGGTCATACGATCGAAATAAACCAACAGGCTGAGAAAGACTTCGTAAGTGGTGGGGCAGTACTTGTGTATACGGGTCAAGTAGCTCAAAATGGTAATACTAGGCACATTTTTGCCATGGAATGCAAGGACGCTCGTGGCTTGCGGACTAAGACTGACCGAGCCATCGGGTGGGGGAATGTGTCGATGAACCTGTTCATGGTGTACATCATTGGTGGCGGTGATTTTAGTCAGGAGCCCAGCAACCATCTCGATAATGTCCGTGACCGGCATGGAACTGATCTCGAATTGGCGCTCCTGAGGCAATTGGCCTGGAGCCTGGGCTCTTTGTGACTGAGCGAGCAGCTCCTCGCTGGCAATGCTTTGGATATGGGACAGATCACGGACTTTGATCCGACTGGGCGAAGAGGCCTCGGATCCTCCTAGAGAGTGCATGGAGCGGAAGGTAGGGTGCAGGCGGGGCGACGCAGGCGAGGACTGGCTCCTCGCCTGCGGATTGTAGGCCATCGGCTCTGTTGTTGTTTGGCTGACATCCCGGGACTCCTGGGAAGGATGAGTGGCGGGGTGAAAGGAATGGTTCGAGAGAGGGGCATGGGCAGAGGCAGAAGAGGTCATTGAAGCGGCGGGGGTATGCGCGTACGTAGATGCCGGAGTGGCCGAAGATGCCCGGGTGGAAGGCTGGGATGTGGTTTGGGATTGACGGTTGATATAGGCAGGAATATCATGCGGCGGGTGGGCAGGAGGACGAGTAGAACCTACGGTGGACGTGGATGGCGGGGCTGTGGACGAGGTGGGGGTGGTGTTGGACGACGTCGATCTGGAGCTGACAGGCTCCAGGTGCTGCGAAGGATGCGACGTCTGGCGAGATGAAGGTCGATGGACAGATTCCGAAGGATTGATGGTGCCCCCAAGCATCGTGTAGGAGCTATCGACTTGATCCGACCGCGGGTGGTTGAGAACGACTGATCCCATGTCCAGCCAATGCGAGCGAACGACAGAAACGCGCGAGTATTATTTCTAAGACACTGTGGCCAGGAAGGTCAGCAACGCCGTCAAGGGCATTGGAGTGGAGAGAGGAAAACAGGAAACAAAAGAGGGGAGAGGGAGAGAACTTTGACAGAGACAAGAGAGGGGTTCGATAGACAGGATGACGAACAAGAAAGAGCCTGGACCTGGAAGAAGATCGCAGGTTGAAGGGCCAGAGCACCGGTACGCAATGAACCCGACCCAGGCTGAGGCGGGATGGGAATCACAAGCAACGGCTGGCAATGGTGAGGCCCATTGCGATCTGAGATGGCGGAAACGAGAAGGAAGAGCAGGAAATCGAGGAGGATGGGATGGATGTAGATGGCAACAGCTGAAGGGGAGAGGAGAAAGCAAACGAGGCTGTGGCGGCGGTGGATAATGATGGTTTGAAGAGAAGTGGAGGACGGAGCTCTGGAGTTGGATCCGTAGTTGGAACTCACTTGAGACGAAAAGGAAAACACCACAGACCCGACGAGAATGATGAGGAGATTGCCGGCAGAACAGGACAGATGACAGCTATGATGGAGGTGATGATGGAGATGGCAACAATGATATTAATCTGAGCAAGGAGATTTGCCTCTCTCGGTCTGGGGATGAAGCTCCCTGTCAGTCTGCGTAGTCTTGCGGGATGACGGCAAAACCAGTCAACACGGGAGAACCCAAACAAGAAAGAAGAGGGATAATAACGATAATACTAATAGCTGGTAATTATGATGATGATGATGTTGATGAAGATGAAGATGAAGATAATAACCCCTAATCTTGAATCTACTAAACATCCATTTATCCCCAACCAGGTCAAGTAGTCCCGAGTAGCAGCATCACAACGGGTTTGGGGCGACTGGCCATGGACGAATGACAGGCCGCTGCCCGTGCAGGTGCTCAAGAGCCGGTCGGAGGTATAAATATCGTCTAACCATCGCCTGATAGATCGATTCTCTTCTTCTTCTTTGCTTCTTTCTGTTTTACTATTGTGTTGACCCTCATTTGATGATTGTAGATGTCTTCAGAATGGCCATAAGGACTGGTTCTGGGTAAAACGCCTCTAGTGCTTGTATGCTGTATAGACTATAGCCAATGGTCGAAATCTCAATATTGCGTTCATATTCATGCTCCATATTCAAAACATGGCAATCCGAATATGCACTCCATATGTGGTGTGGATTCACCTTCGACCAGGCACTTGCCCAGCTGCTAACCACCATCCGCGGTGCGGAGCGGTGACGGCTCTTTACTCCAGGATCCATGACCGCTGTGCATTAGTGACCGTCTTCCCTGTCAAGAGGATTCAAACTCGAGCACACTACGGGGCTTTACGGGGTCTTATCATCGTATGCTATAGGCAACTCTTCTGTCTGCGTTCCTAGAGGCCCGCCACTCTCGGTGAGAAGAATAGACAAAAAGGAACCATGCTTCTCGGGTGAATACGTCCAGTGCAAAGCCAGAGTTTCGCTTGGATGAAAAGGATCTAGTTTCCGATGCAAACTGAGCTGAAACGAACATGAACAAATCGCCTTGCCGGGAGGGAGGGGATGCCCGAAGATAGCTTCATTCAATCGAAGAGAAAAGAAAGGTCATTCAATATTAATACACTCATGACTTGTTGGTCACACCGGGTCCAGTGTAACCTGTATCGGGCAGGTAGAGATGTCTTTCGGCTCCCTTGGATGTCAGGACCACCAAACGGATGACACCACCCGAACTGCCATCCCACTTGATCGCTTCCTGCAGTGCGCCCCTGACGAACTGGATACCTTCTTCCTCGGACATGTTCTCCTTCCAGTTAGCATCACAGTAACCGTAGATATAGGTCGATCCAGATCCTCCGATCGAGAAGGGCTGCTTGTGTAGGGATCCTCCCAAAGGTATCGAGTACACCTGACCTCCGTGTCGCGGATCGTACCCAGCGATAATGATACCGGCGCTGAAAGCGAAGACTGTCAGCGATGACCACAGAGATATCAAGTCAGCCCGATGGAAGACCTACCTCAACATATCCTTGTTCTCATAGCACAGCTCCTGGAACAGAGCGGCGGCAACTTGGGTAGAAGGAGGCTCATTGTTGGCAATGCCGTACATGTTGAGATGGTAGGAGACGATGTCTGCAACGGCCTGAGTGTCTGCAGCCGAGCCGGACCGGCAGCACCAGATGGTATCGTGGACCTGTGTCAGTTTATCGGTGACTCGGTTGGCAATGTATGCTCCGGTGGTTGTTCGACTGTCGGCACCCAAAATGACGCCATCCTTGAAGTTGATCGCCATGCTGTTTCGAATTAATCCTTCTGACATTTTTCATCTCCGGATATGAAACAAATCGAATCTCACTCACATCGAAGTTCCTAGGCTGTACGAAAAAAGGGCAGTTAGCAGCAGTCACAAAGGGCTAGATCGAAACCACAACAACGTACTTGACCTCTCCCGTCTTCAAGTGGTTCATGTCAACATGAATTCCATCTGCAATATTTGTTAGCCGAGCCTGTAACTCATGGATCTTGAATGAGAGCTTCTCTGACCTTCCCCAAGCACTCCCGTCAAGCCGTGACCGACCATGATGTCTGTATGTGGAGTTAAATAAAAAGAGATAGAAAAAAGATTGCGTGGAAATGGAAAATTGCCAAGACCCCAAAGGACAGTCTGTGATGAATCCCACGGGCACGAAGCTGGGTCGATAAAGGTGGGCTGGAGATGATGTGGTTGAAGAGGAGGATGATGCTATTCCAGAGCTCTGACTGCCTGACGGACGGAGCTTCAGGCGAGCGCGTTGGTTACGTTGGCGGTTGGCTGATTCCACCGGGCGGTGAGAGCTTTTGGCATTACAATTGGCCAAGTTCTTCCTGCCTCAGGTGCCCCCCGCAAGCCTCCTGAACCCCCAGCCTTTCGTTTGACGAATGTATCATCTGCCTATTTAGGGAGTGAGGGAGGCTTCATCCCCCGTGTCTGCCGATTCCAACAACTCTCAAACGCCTTATGAGTATCTGAGTGCATTTGCAATCCGTACGTTGTGGCCCGTCTGCGCAAGAAGAAGAACACCACCCTTCCATCTCCTCCGTCCTCCTTTCAACCATCCCCGTCCGCCGCCATGTCCGAATCGCCTCCCCCACCGTCTTGGAGTGTCGGCGCTATGGCGACCAATGCTGCCCAGTTCCTTCGATTGCCAGTTTTGGCATCCTCGGGTCTCGCAGTGGTTGCCAGCGGCCTCCTGTATTTCAAGCAAAAGTGAGATCCCGCTGTCCTTCATGCATATGACATGTTTTTTGGATACTGACCACGTGCAGTGAACTAATCTACCCTCGCAATATTCCTGTCGATGCGCGCACCAAAGTCCCCGTGCCCAGTCAATTTGGTGTTTCGGACTTTGAGGAACTTCAGATACCCACCCCAGACGGAGAGTCGTTACATGCCTACTTTCTTCGTCCGTCGAACAAGCGCCTGGCCGGAGATGTGACTGTATTGATGTTCCACGGAAATGCAGGAAACATCGGTCACCGTATTCCCATTGCCAAGATCCTACAAGAGACTCTGGGGTGCAATGTGTTGATGCTTGAGTACCGCGGGTACGGATACTCCACCGGGGTTCCAGACGAGAACGGGTTAAAGATCGACGCCCAAACCGGTCTGGACTATATTCACAACCGCGCAGAGACAAAAGATACCAAGATCGTTGTTTATGGACAAAGTATAGGTGGTGCAGTAGCTATCAACCTGGTTGCCGACAACCAAGATACCGGTGCTATTGGTGGTTTGATTTTAGAAAATACATTTCTCAGTATCCGGAAACTGATACCAACGTATGCCCCCTACTTCTCTGGGTCGAAAGTTTCCGTATATGCTTCTTGCGGGATTCTAACATCCATCTAGGGTCTTCCCTCCTGCTCGATACCTTGCGCGTTTCTGTCACCAATACTGGACAAGTGAAGATGTACTGCCCAAAATCAACAACGTACCAATTCTATTCCTGAGTGGATTGAAGGATGAAATGGTCCCGTATGTTACCTCTGAATTTGAAACTTGGTGTACTGATCAAGACTAATATAATGCCCCGCAGTCCGTCGAATATGACACAGCTCTTTGCTCTCTGCAACTCTAGTCGCAAAGTCTGGCGCACTCTCCCGAATGGTGGCCACAATGACACTGTTGCTGAGCCGGGCTATTTCGAGCACATTCACTCTTTCGTTACAGAAGAGGTCCTTTGAGGTGCCCAATAGACATTCTGATGATAAGAATTTCTCCGGCAACATTCTACCTACCGATAAACGGACTCGGTGTTCTTGGAGACTGTCGTCTTAACATACAATTATTCGTGATACCCGATTTCTGCCGAGGCTTGAGCCTGTTTTACGTCTTGCTTATCCTAGCTCTTGCCTTTTTCTTTTCCCTTCTGCGTTGCTCCACACTCATACACCGATCTTAAATGTGATCTTTCGATTTATCGCTATTTTCCCATGGCTTCTTCAGCTTCGGGACTGTGGATATCGGTTCTTATCTTATGAGATCTACACGCGATTTTTGATCTCAAATGACTGTTAATGTTAATATCTCTTTTTCAATGCCGCTCCTTGCTCTCCCGACCTTGGAAATTAAAAGGAATCTAAAACGGGACGTTCGAATTTTGCTTTCTGTATCCATATTTATCCATTTCCGATTATATTTCGTTTGTTTCCATGATATGGATTTGATGTTGGCGTTTGCTTATCTTTGGACTGGGCTAGAATGGTGTATGACATTGTGTTCAGTTGGATTACTTATGATATTATGCTAGGGAGTTAAATTCCTTTGATTCGTCTATTGATTCTACGAATGGTTGATATACCAGAGTAAACCCCTGTCCATATCGGTGCGCATAGTGTTGAATACATTATAGCAAAAATTGGCTAGAGTCTAGACCAGATTCAAGACAAGTTCCCTAGAGAGTGGAAATCATTATTCATCTATCAGACTATCAGATATAAAAGCATACTATATATAGTATGTCCGTGCAGTGTATGCCAAATATATCAAGTTATCCTTACAATATCGACCCCGAATCTATCTATGGTACATAAATAACATAAAACGTCTTTTACATCTTCTCCGCCTCTTCCAAAAGCTCTTCAACCTTGAAGTTTTGCACATCACCCTGTGTAAACATGCGGAGCAGCTCACCCTTCCGTCCATGTGCCTGACCACCGAAATCATAGAATCGCTGCACACAACTAACCAGCCAGCTGGCTTCGGAAGTAGACACGCCAGTATCCGGCATCACTTGACCATGCATAAGAACCAGGCCCTTGTCATCAGCCAGGTCCAGATGGTGGGTGATGGTGGTGTGGGGCTGCGCGAAGGAGCCGTGCAGCTTGTAAGCTTCAAGGTTGGTGAAGATGATGGTGGAGGTGTGGTCGTTGGCCGGGTTCGTCGAGGGGACCGTAGACGAGGACGCCGAAGCCGGTGGGTGGAAGCCCCATTGAAGGAAGTGAATGTCCGCGCCGGCGGTGGTGATGGTTTTGGCCTCGCCATCAGGACTCTCTTCTGCCGGCTGTTGTGCGGTCTTGGTGCGTGGCAGGGGAAGGATGAACTGAGGGTTTTGGCGAGCGGCGGAGAGAATGCGATGGTATGTGTCTATGGGGATAACGGCGCAGATGGAGTTGGACTGATTGACATTGCGGAGACGCCAGAGGGCTTCGATTTCCTTGGGAGGAAGTTCACGAATCTTCTCCACGTCGAGGTAGGTGTCAAGCGGCTTGATACCGCTTTTTGTAGCCGAAGCAGCCGCTTGGAGTTCAGGAGCCAGCGGCTTCGGGGGCGGAGGGGGAACGGCTGATGGTGTTCCAGGAGAAGACGGATCGGGCTCGGGGGTTAAAGGTGTTTCTGCTTTGCGACGGAGATCGTGGATCTTGTCCTTGTAGGCGTCCTTTAGAGAGTCGACAGAATCATGTCCCTCTCTATAATACAAATGTCAGTACATGGGATCATGGTCATACAAACACAGTTGACAGAGACTTACTCCTTAGCTCTTTGGTCGAGCTTGGCCCGGTACTTGTCGAGCACATGCTTAGGATCGTGATGCGTAGCGAGAAAGCGGACGTCGTGTACTTGAGCCCATCGTCGTTGCTGGCAACGCAGCAATGGGGATCTTACCCGGATCAGGGACTGGAAGGCGGAGGATCTCAAAGACGCCATTTTTCGCAGCTGGAGATGGGATGCGGAGAAGATTGTCGTGATGATGGAGAAACAATTAGAAAGTCGGCGGCGATTTAGAGATAGGTTACCTAAGCATTATTACGAGACGATACGGTAATATATACACTCATCAGCTGGGCTGTTGTGCCCTAAGACATCTCATCCCATCTCAATTTTCCTATTTGTAAAAGATGTTGATAAGCTTCGAATGGCTTCAACATTGCTGACGAATGAGCTAGTACATCATTAAATGATCGTACTCTCTGGTGGTCCCAGATAGCTCTCCCTCACTCCTCCCAGATCGATAACAATCTTTTGGAAGACCACACCCGGCTCAATAGCCCAAAGTTTCAAAGTATTGCTCTTGCCACCTCCATAAATTGCATGGCGAGTAGTATTAGTCCAAACAGAGTTACTGACGGTCTCTTCCCAGTTGGATGGCAAAGACCCTAAGGGCGTTGAGGGGACAAACTGCACCACTTCATGTGCCGCGTTATTAAAGCCAATTGCATACTTCAAAGGGCGCGAGGGGTCTGTGTTGAGAGATGGACCTAGGTAGACTGTCACATTGGCCGTTGATACATTGGAGAAAAGGTACATGTCGTATTCAAGTCGAGGAGATGAGGGAGGCTGCTGTGTGTCCGCCAGGACTGGCAAGAGAGTCACACCCGAAAGACTACGACCATAGCCTGGAATCACAGCGTATGATGCATTCCTCGTTGAGGTGTTTCTTGATGCATGCTCGACTTCAATGCTGACAGTACTGTCGGATTCGACGAAGCCGTGGAAGGATTCAGGGGCTGAGGTTTTATTCACAGGAAGCTCAACAGACGGCATCTCGAAATTGCCATAGTCCCTGGATGACACTGTCACATTGACGAAAGAGATACTTGATCCCAGTGGGGCGTTTTCCCAGTCAACCGAAAGTTGGACTCGTGCATCTGTCGCATTCCCAGATGATGATATCTTGCCAGTTGATGGAGACGCCAAGATCCAGGAGTCGTATGGGGTTACCGTAAAGGTAAAGTCACTGGTACCACGAGAATAAATGTCTATCCAGCGGCTCTTTGGCCCATATGGATCAATCGGTGGAAGAACGAGCATGTTGCTGGATAGGGTATGCCACTCGTCATCTCCCGGGACAGAAGCATTGCTCCCTTCAACAGACACCCCCATGCTCCCTGCAAGGCTTTCTTCTATTACCTGTGTATAAGAAATTGGTGGGAGCGTGTTTCTCATCGGTTGCTGCCTATAAAGTGGTTAGCGTCCTGCGACATTCTGATTTCGTTATAACAAACCAGTAACTATATCCCAAGTGGGTCTGATCCATGATATGATTCCATTTACCATTCAAGAGCTTGTGGTATCTCTGGGTTAAAGCATTATCATCCTCAAAAAGCCTCAGCGCTTGCTCTGCCAAGATATTTGAGCTACTTCGTCTTTGGCTTGCGTAGAGGTTATTTTTCGCTGCCGTTATATGGATGTTGGTGACGATATACCCTGCCGTACAAGGGTGCAACACTAATTCGAAAAATGCAGGACGCACTGCTGGTTGCAAACTGTTATAAATCTTCTGAGCGTCTTTAGCCAGCGTTTCCCAGCCACTCAAGACTTCATCCGCTTCGTTGTAATTGATCAAACTGAAAGTCTGCGGATTCAAGAGCTCATATTTTCGTCGCGCGGCGTACATCCCATACCGATTCATAACATTCGCAATATCTTTGGAGGCAGCCACTCCAAACTCGCGAGAGGCCCAGTTATTTAGCCACGTTGCAGTGCTATCCGGGGAAGACCACACAGGCATATCGTAGGCTAAATCGAAAAAGTGACTTAAAGGCAATTCCTGCGAACCGTGTCAGTTGACGATTTTCTCGGTTCCAAGGGCTTTTCCTACCAGTCCCTTCAGATCACCAATGTTCACTATCCAGATTTGTCTGGCTTGACGTTCATATGCCAAGTGCATTTGTTCCCATGTCCTTTGAAGAGAGATGGTGTTGATCCATTTGTAATCGCGCGGGTCTCCAACGTAGTCAAAATGGTAGTATACACCAGCACCAGCTTCTCGACTTGACTCATTATCGACAGGTAGTCGTTGTATATTACCCCAGTTGTCATCAGCCCACAAAAGGGTAACGTCATCCGGAACACGCAGGCCTTGCTGGAAGTATCGCGCTACTTCCTTATAAAGACACCACATCTGCGGGATAGAGGACACATTGGTCGTATTGAATACCTCCGAGAGAACCTGCTGCTGCGCGGAGACGATTTCTTTTAATGAATCCGCTGTGATTGTCGGGGAGGCAGTATCTCCCACTCCGCGCATACCTAAAGTATATAGGCTTTCATATGGTTTCGACCTCTGAGCCCCCTCCCGAAAGAATTCCGTAATGTTCTTTTCATTGATGTCCCAATTCCATTCTCCGCCCACAAAGAGAGATTGCTCCATTGTCCATCGCATCATTGGCTCTGTATGGCTGGTCCCCATGACAATCCCGTACTCATCTGCGGTTGGTGAATTGCGCGGGTCATCAAGATCGAATATGCTCGCCCATTCTGCGGGCCATATGTAATTGGCTCGAAGTCTGAGAAGGAGCTCGAATACTCGAGAGTAGAAATCAGCATTGTAACCAGCGCCGTATTTCGCGGGTCGGTAATTGGCATTGATCCAATTAGTCAAGGCTGGCTGCTCATCGTTGATAAAGATACCCCGATACTTGACTGATGGGGGACCTTGTATCTTTCGCTTGTTCAAAGCATATACCTCGGCGTGTCGTGCCGCTGGGACATCAGCGAACCAATACCATGGTGAGACGCCTATCTGCTCAGATATATCGTAGAGTCCATATATTACACCACGCTTGTCACTTCCGGAGATGACGAGAGCATTTGAAATTCCTTCGATAGGATCCTGGACTATCTCTGTCTGGAATGCCTCCCACTTCCCTTTCGTAGCGTTGACGTCTATTTTCCCGGTTCGAATTAGAGAGTCAATGAGGACAGAACTCCCGATTGTGCCAGCAATGATAACGCCTCTATTGCTGGAATTGTCTGGGAGATTTCCAGAATCCGTGTTATTGAAGAGTTTCCTCGTGAAGTTCGACCCGGTGACCCGTCCAAAATCCACAGCAAGATCTCCTGCAGCTCGCAGAACCCCTGGCCAGTCGTTGTTGTCAAGTAAGATAACCCCCGGCGAGGTGTCATTTCCTGCTAGTTTAAAGCTTCCTGGCTCATGGTTATAGGTAATAATAGACTCTTGCCCTAGAGCATGAACAGCTCTGACGGCACAGACGACAGCAACCAAGACAGAAAACAACATGGTGACAGGCAGCTAGTTGCTGTGGAGCTCGACACACTGAAAGCCATGTTACCCCACGGCTTCAAGCATGTTTAAATATCCAAGAAGCATCCTGTGATGTAATTTGGGCATCGAGCCGTAATATTATCCTCAAGTGGTCGTCGGTACATTGCGCCTTCTTCCTTCAAACGGCTAAGAGGCCTGCAAGAACCCCCACGGAAAATAGCCTATTGCGAGTATTTCCATGCAAAGAACCCCTCCGAGTACCAAGATCTTCATGTCGTCCTCGTTGTTGTTGTCAATTGAAGCAGAGATTTAGGCTAAAAGTGAAGGTTTAGCACCTAGGCCAAGGCTTTCGATCTAGGCAAAATTGAGGAGAATCCATCAAACAAAGGGTTGGAACCATGAAGGACGTGGATTTCTAGATATTGTTAGCGCGAGTTGACCCGAATTCCCGAATTTAAACCATGAGGCACACGTACCTTGAGGGGTTGAAGATTGGGGAATCGGAGAGATTGTTGTGGAGAAGATGGAGATGTCACAGCGGATGGGATTTCCCCGCATTCCTTCATTCGCTGACAGCTGTATTCTCCAGGAATTTAAAAGAGCATTTCATATTACCTGAAATCCCCATCTTAATGTACATTGAGTAGAATCGTCATATAATGAATAGGTGACATCTGAACTGCGATATTCTTGCGTTTGTTTTGCTCGGGGTACTTTCCGGCTGTGCATAAGATATGGTATGACTAAGGATTGTGCTACTTATGCTATCCACGTGGACGATAAGAAAGGGAGTCGAAATGAGATCAATCCGGTGTTTGCCTTGGGACGAATCTCCCTATGCCTCTCCGTCGCCATATTACCTAATTTTCTCAGCCGTACAGTTAATTCATTCTTTACATATTTCTTTATTATTTCCTTTGTCTTGATCCGGTCACAAGACGCTGACACCGGGCAACAATTCCACACTCGATAACCACGAAGTGGCATCACCAGCATACGAACTTCCCCCCCCCCCCGGCCCCAACATGGCGAGTCGCCAGATTACACGACGCATTTTTATCAGTGCAGCCATAGCAATCACCCTCACATTCTTCTTGTTTATCCAGCCTCAAGGCCCTCCGAGCCCCGCAATCCGAGCCCCCGGGCACATCGATAAATCGGCCCCGAATGTGTTGATAAAGGATGATATGCTGAAAGGCGAGGTGGTGATGTCGCGATTGGGAAATGAAACCGCAAAGTAGGCCAGACGATTTAAATCGCATACACAGTTATACTGATCGCGTGGGAATATTTAGAGCGGAGTTGGGTCGTGCGACATGGAAATACTTCCACACGATAATGGCCCGTTATCCAGAGGACCCCACGGAGGAACAACAGGAGACATTGCGCTCTTTCATTTACCTGTTTTCTCGACTCTATCCATGGTACCTAGTCCCATTTGCTTCTTTATAGAAACGAATACTGACCTTGAACCAGCGGGGAATGCGCATCCCACTTCCAACAGCATCTCAAGAAATATCCGCCACAGGTTTCCTCTCGCAATGCGGCAGCAGGTTGGGGTTGTTTCATCCACAATGAGGTCAATACGATGCTCGAAAAACCGCAATTTGACTGTACTAAAATTGGGGACTTTTACGACTGTGGATGCGGTGACGACGAAGAATCAGACACCGGGGAAGGAGGGCTCCAAAGTAAGAGCCAGGCAGCGCAAAACAAAGGAGAGAACCATGATAGTGATTTGATTCCGCCCGTTGAGATCTCCAAGGAGGCGTGAGTCTTTCCGCTTTCCTCCCTTGCGTACACCACGAGAAACTGACCAGCTGATCCAGAACTACGCGGGGTTGATTTGAAAACCCATGGCTCCGGATCGTCGCCCATGTCGTCCACTAGCAGTTTTTGATTTACTGCTACTTCATCGCCGATACCCTACTTTCTTTCTATATTATACTGACGCTGGGTCGTTGGATTATTTGCACAAGCCGGTCTCATTTTGTACTATACACTACACCATCTACCGGGATTCATAATAGCTCTACCCTAGTATTCTTCTAATGCAATACGTCTTGCTTGATGCCATAGATATTTGCTAACAAAATATACATGATTTCATTGTGCTTAAATGTTTGGAGGCAACCACAAACCGCTCGTTCAAATGCAAGACACATGCATAGTACTTTTGCATAGGCAAAGCTTCTGATAAACCAGATAATAACCCAACAAATAAGATTGCAGATACTGGACGTCTTGATGGATGGATGGCGACACAAGCCCTACACCAACCGGCCTCGTGATGACCGCCTGACCGAGTCTCTGACTAGTGCATCTGACCAACAATCGGGTTGATCTATTGATCTTCACCCTACTTTCGTTATGGATGTTGTTTGCGTTTGCCGCTCCCTAGGATCAGCCAGACTGATCAACAACGATAATAAACAAACAGTAAAGTTAGTACAATAGCTTTTGGCTTCCAAGAATACGAACGTCGGGCATGCGATTCGATCTAATAATAAACCTCAAAACAATATCCCGACTCGTGTTCGCTAATAATCCATGTAATGTTTGAAACTAATAGTATCCGTATTCGAGTGTCTAATCATGATAAAGGATGATGTCTTGCATTCAGATTTCAAATCACTGAGTAAACAAACCTCAAAATCCCGTTCAGATGGCGCCGGATGTCGTGCTTTTGTATCGCGCTCACTGTGTAATAATCATATTCATCTCACTCATTCATGACAAGAGCATCGCACAGCCCCTCCCCCGCGCGACATTTAAGATGCAGATTAGCGGTGGGGGAATCGCATTTTCTCTCATGGAATGAGTCTTCTGACAGCCTGAGATGACTGATTTTGTGTATTCGCCCACACCCACTAGGGCTCTGATCAACAGATCAACCACCCTCTCATGCAGGATAATCCTGGGTATCCTGACCGCAATGTAGGAATAGCTGCGTTCAGGCGAAGCCAACCAGGATATGCGACGGTCACCACGGGATAATAATCGAGTACTCCTGAGGGAGTGAGGAGGGGACTAACTGCATCGATACCAGATGCTACTTCTGATTATAATAATGTGGCTTATCTCTTTTATTTTGGTCCAGTTGGATTGTTTTTGGTGTTGCACTGCTGCCTGCCTGATCTGTAAGGCAGAAAGAAACCCATATCAACCCAAACAGGACTAGCGCATTACGCTTTTGCTTTTCGACGCGCGAAAAGAAAAAAAAAAAGAAAAGAAGAAAAATAGCATCAGAAGCTGAGAAAAACCCAGGGAAACTTTTCTGGAGACGCGGTGTCTCTGAGGCTGCGCTTATTGTTTTTATATTCCAAATAGTGATATTTATTCTCCTATTTGTTCCCATCTATTCTTCCTCTACAGTTGTTGTTTTGGTGGATTTTTTTCTCCGACAAAGGGATTCTCCATCTTTTTAACTCGGCTGCTCTGCGCGACAGAATTCTCCCTGCATTGGCCACAGCGTACAAAGAATAATTCATCTCTTTGTCGCAAATAGCTCAGATCGCGTCGCTGGATCCAGGTACCCGATAGTTTAATCGCAGGACCCATCCAGTAGTCGTTCCTGTGGCTCTTCGATAGCCCAACAACAGCCTGCGCAACGTCTAATACGTGGGTTATAGCGGGGTCAAAATGGTGTCGTTTTCATGCGAGGTGAGTTGGACGGGTCTCTATGGAACAACCACTTGTTGAATCATCGATCATGACTGACGATCATCATCTTTTGCTTTCACTAGGCGTGCGGCGACGTCCTTACCAAGAAGAAGCTTGATCCTCACCGCAACCAATGTCGAGGCGCATCCTTCACCTGCATCGATTGTATGGTGCATTTCTGGGGCACTGAATACAGGGCTCATACGGTATGTCTACCTCTCGCTTTTCGTTTATCTGTCCTCGTATATCATGTTATCCTTGCTGCTGTTGCTGTCCATCCGATGGAAAATGCGATCCATCCTGGTCAGAGTCAGCAGTGGAGAAAAAAAAAACCATGCAACCAGTCTTATCTTTCCAAAAGAGATTGTTTCCAACCAAATTATTTATCGATTTATTGACGCTGACCCTTGAGTTTCATCCGTACAGTCATGCATGTCCGAGGCGCAAAAGTACGAAGGCGCGCTCTACAAAGAGAAGCCCGCAAAGAACCAGCGCAAAGGGAAGAACGATCCCAAACAGAACCAGAAGCCAGCCCCAAACCATCGTGCACCTTATGTCGAGGACGCCACCGATGTCGATAACCCTCAGGCTCAAGCCGCCCCTCCGACTGCTCCCACTCCTCCAGCCTCGGGTGCTACAAAGACTTCGGCCCCCACCGACAAACAGGTGAATGTATTCGACTTCCTCGTCACCGATCAAACCCCCAACGCTTCAAAGGTCTCGTTGGCCGAATCCAAGGAGCAGATGTGCATGGTCGCTCATGCTCCTTCGGTCTTCGAGCCCAGCAAGTCACTTACCCTGGCCGAGCAGGGTGAGGATGATAACAAGGCTTATGATGTAGCCTACGAAGAGAATGGGTTTTCGTATGGCGCAGGTCCTATTCCGTCGCCCTACCAGAACGAGGTCTCCGCCATCTCGACCGAATTTATGACACCGGCACCTAAAAAGAAGAAGGATCGCAAAGACAAGAGCCAGGCTAGTGCCGCTACCAGCGATAAGAAGCGGAAGCGTGGTCATGCCGAAAAGCTTGAGTCTGAGGTGGATACCCCCATGATGGATGCCCCATCCAGTGTTCAGAATCATCCGGGAACGCCCATGCTTAGACACTCTGGACTCACTGGTGGATTGAATAGGATGCTTCGATCACCCTCTGTCGAAGGTGAAGATGAACATGACCACCCGCGCCGGCGATACCAGGATCCCTCATCTCCCATTAAACGTACTCGTCGAAGCGAAAAGGAGACCAACGGCAGCGATGCCGGAAGCAATTCGATCAAGAACCGTGCGGGGCGGATTGTATCCTCCATGTTTGGCGGCTCTGTCGTCTCGACGGCTAGTGGTGGCAGCAACGAGCCTGCCCCTAAAGCGGTTGCCCGCTCTCGTCGCCGCAGCTCTTCGGACGCCGAGGAACCTCAGATTGAAGTTCGTCGGCCCAAGAAGTCCTCCAGCGAAGCTCATAAAACCAAACGCAAGAGCAGTGCTCAAACAGAAGGTGACCGGCCGTCGCGACGTCTCAAGCAAATCGAGCATGAGCGTGACCAGGGCCGCGCGTATTCCCCACGGGCTGATGGTGAAATGATGGTTTACCGGGAGCCCAATGTCCCGGATGCATTGCAGCGCGAGATGGCCTACCATTTCCTGTCATTGGTGAACAAGGGACCCGAAAGCACTCGTGGATTGTCTGTTAACAAGACACTGAAACGCTTCCACAAAGACTTTACAGATGAATATGACGGTGACCGTGGTCGGGACCATGGTCGAAGCCGCGCAGATCGCGAGCGCCGGGTTGATGATGAAAAAGAACTTTGGCGGACGCTGAGACTCAGACGTAATGACAGGGGAGAGGTTGTTGTATTCTTTTAAACACCTTGGAAGATTGACGACTGGCTGAAGGAAGGATCTTCTATCGATGTTTGAACACGGTTAATGTCTTTTCTGTTAGATGCATAGCGATATTTTTGACTTGCATTGTATGAATCAAGTATTTTTAATTGTACTTTCAATTGCTCGGATTGGACCATGGCCTTCTTAATCAATTAGTAGACTTGAAGTGAGAGCAGTGGATTGTATACCAAGGTCGCACTCAGCTGAGGCAAAAGTACGACTCCACGCTCCACTATGATTCGATATGACTCACTATTATCCTTCATTTCTTCAACAGACTGGCCTATGAGACAACATTAATAAAAACTAGTCCATGATCCTAATGACGATCCAGAACTCTGAGACTTGATCTAGGAACACATCTCCACTGCCTGAGTCACTTGAAACTTCGTCTCCAACTTGGGCGGAGCCGCAAATCCCGCCACTTCGAATCTCCATCTTAGATAAACCTCTTTTTCGATGTCGATCCCTTCTTTTCCACCACCTTCTCCAAGTTTTTTTCACGGCCACCTTTCATTCTTTGCCTCCCGGGTTGATTGTGCTTTCTGTGCGACGGATTGTTTTCTCTCGTCGCTAGCCTATATTTTTTTCTCCTTGTGACTTTTTCTTGCGTACAATCGGAAACGAAACTTCCCCTCACCCGGTTCTGTTCACGCATCTCTGCACGAATTCATCTCGTCTGATCCATTGGTCAACTACCTCTCTATTGCATGATCCTACGAGAAACAACGGATCATCCTTCTCGGGTCGTCGAGACCATGTCAGGACCTCCTGCGGCCGCCACAGCTGACAACAGCACCAACACCCCGCGCCCCAAACCATCCCGCCGCGGAGGCAGGGGACGTGGCAATCGTGGCTCCCATCGCCAGACCCAGGCACAGTCGTCTTCAGATGCACAACCACAGACACAACAAATTCCATCCGCACAGCCTACCGATGCCCCGACTTCTAATACACCTAGTGACGCCTCGCGATCGCGAAGAGGGCCGAGAAGAGGGAGAGGTGGGGGAGGTGGCCAGGATAGCGGTCGACGGGGAGGACGTGGAGGAAATGCACGAGGTGGCGACCGGGGGCCCCGACATGCTGGTGGACGCGCATTCCAGGGACAATTGACGCGGACGGATCAGGGTTCAGAGGATAGTGTCCAAGATAATGCGGGGGATGCGAATGACCCGGGATTGAGGGCTGATGCGCCTGTGTTTGTGCCGGGTACTCAGCCGAATGGGGCACCTCCGAGTGAAGCATCCAAGGCCACGCCACCTACGAATCTTAAAGGGAAGTCCAAGGCGAAAAATACTCAGCCTCGACCTCCGAAAGTCACCACGAAATCGGTAGCACCGGACATCGCCACCCGTATACACGAAGACATCGGCCACAATCTCTACGAGTGCCCTATTTGCACGAGCGAGCTTGGTCGCAGATCGCGCGTTTGGAATTGCAGTCTCTGCTGGACGGTATTTCACCTGAGCTGTGTTAAGAAGTGGTCGAAAAACGAAGGAGCAGCTGCTCAGGATCCTGCCCGCCGGCAACAGGAGAGTGGAGAATCCAGCGCTCCCCGCGCCTGGCGCTGTCCAGGCTGCAATCTTCCTCAGGAAGTCTTTCCTTCAAGCTATTCTTGTTGGTGCGAAAAGGAGGTCGATCCACGTCCGCTGCCTGGTCTCCCTCCCCATTCCTGTGGTCAAACTTGTTCGCGACCTCGCAAGGGCTGCCCCCACCCATGCGATTCGACCTGTCACGCCGGTCCCTGTGCTCCTTGCACAGCTATGGGGCCGACACAGGACTGCTTCTGCGGAAGTAATTCATCCACCAAGCGATGTCAAGACACTGACTACGAGAAAGGATGGAGTTGCGGTCAGACTTGTGGTGATCTTCTGCCTTGCGGCGAGCACACTTGTTCTAGGCCGTGCCACGAGGGCCTTTGCGGCGCTTGCGAGGAAAAAATAGAAGCACGCTGCTACTGTGGAAAGGTTGAAACGCAGATGCTGTGCAGCTCAAAGGACGAGGAGCTGGAGAGTGAGTTGTTGCACGGTGCACAGTCGGATCAAGATAGTACGATTGAGAAATGGACTGGTTGTTTCAACTGCGGGGATCAGTGCAATCGCCCTTTCGACTGCGGAGTGCACTTCTGCCAGAAAAGCTGCCATCCTCAAGATGCCAGCCCTGCCCATTGCCCTAGATCACCCGATGTAGTGCTTCACTGCCCTTGCGGAAAGACGCCATTGACGAAAATCTCGGAATCTCCCCGCACCTCCTGCGAGGACTCTATTCCCAACTGCTCGGAACCATGTGGTAAGATTCTGCCATGTGGACATCCGTGTGAAAAGATTTGCCACGTCGGTTCATGTGGGCCTTGTCGGCAGAAGGTTCTAATTAACTGTCGTTGTGGCCGCACCACTTCCACGAGTCTGTGTCATCAAGGTAATATCGAGCCTCCTCAGTGTTTCCGTGTGTGCAAGGCAGGCTTGCATTGTGGCCGCCATGCATGCGCTGAACGATGCTGCCCAGGGGAACAAAAAGCGGTTGAGCGTCAGGCTATGCGGCGGAAACTCAAAGCTCACCTCCGTCCAAGTGATGAGGACGTGGAGGCTGAACATATTTGCACCCGGGTCTGTGGCCGGACGCTGAAATGCGGAAGGCATACATGCCCAGAGATTTGCCACAAGGGACCCTGCAACACTTGCAGGGAGGCGGTTTTCGAGGAGATCTCGTGTAACTGCGGTCGATCTATCTTACACCCGCCTTTGCCCTGTGGGACGCAACCACCGCCGTGCTCGCAACCGTGCGAACGCCCCAAAGATTGTGGACATCCGCAAACCTCCCACAACTGTCACACTGACGAGGAGAGATGTCCCAAATGTCCATTTTTAACACAGAAGGCTTGCCTGTGCGGGAAGCAGGTACTGAAGAATCAGCCTTGCTGGCTAGCCGATGCACGATGTGGTAAGATTTGCGGCGCACTGCTCAAGTGCGGTTCCCACACGTGTCAGAAGAATTGCCATCGCCCAGGAGATTGCGAGGATGCATCAAAGCCTTGTCAGCAAGCGTGTAGGAAGAGCAAGTCCTTGTGCGGACATCCTTGTACCGATCCTTGTCATGCTCCCTACCCATGCCCCGAGAAGACGCCGTGCTCGTCCATGATCGCTGTAACATGTGGTTGTGGACGACTCCGTCAGGAGCGACGCTGCAATGCAGCCAAGGCCGTGACATCCAAGGGACAAGTGCAGCAGCCGCAAAGGTTGCCCGTCTTGACCCCGCTGACCTGTGATGATGAATGTGGTCGCTTGGAGCGAAATCGCTCTCTGGCGTCGGCTCTGGGTGTTGATATCAACCAGTCGACCACAGTCGCCCAGAACCTAACATCTACAAACCTTCCGTACTCCTCGGAGACTCTGGACATGTACGTTAGGCTCTCCTCTTCATCTCCTTTGTCCACCCTTCAGACCTACGAAGCCACCCTACAGTCTCTTGCAACAAGTACGACCCAGCGATCAATTCGGTTCCAGCCCGCCAAAACCCCTTTGCGAGCCTTTTCCCATTCTCTTGCAGCAGACTGGGGCTTCGCCACTGAGAGCTTCGACCCCGAACCTCACCGTCACGTGTTTGTTCTCAAGCCCACATCGTGGACCCCACCGCTATTTGGTTTGGGCAGCGGAACAGCCATGGGAATTGGCGGCATGAGCGTTGGAGAATGTGTCAAGCTTCGCGAGCGATATAGAACAAAGGAGCGTGAGGCCCAGCGAGTCGCCGCCATCGAGGCCAAAGCATCGAGAGACGCCAGCAAAGCTGAGATAATTGGTGGCGAAGGTGGCTGGGCCCAAGTTGCCGCCTCTCGACGGGCTAACAATTCGAGAAGCGCGACTCCCGCGCAAAGCCAGAGTCCTTTATCTGGATCGATGTATGCTGCTCTTTCTGGCGATGAAGGAAGCTGGGGAGCTAAGAAGGAACGTCTTGTTCTTCGGTCTGGTGTAGGTGTCGGTAAACAGTTGCGGAGCCAACCTCCCCCGACTGAAGTTGCCGATAGCTGGGAAGAGGAAGAAGAGAAAGAAGAACAACAAGAGGAACTAGAGAAGGAAGCTGTTGTTGATAATAAAGAAGCTGTTCAAGACGACGAGAAAAAAGAAGAACAGAAGGAGGACATCATACCCGACCATAATGAGGCAGCCCCTCAGATCGAAACAAACGCAGAGCCGACTGCCACAGCGACCGAGTAAGCTCATCCAGAATCTGGAATTTGATATAGCGATTTTATGATGTTGTCTGCTCTTTTTGTATTATTATTTTCCGGGGTTATTTGCTTTTGTGCGTGATTCCTGGATTCCATGTTTGACTTAGCGAGTTGCATGGCATAGCATAGCATACATGGCTGGAATCAGTTTTACCAAAAAAAAGTTATAGATACGGGTTAAGGATTAAATTACACTACGCTATTAATGGCATTAAATGCTTTATAACTCACCGTATCGTTCACGGTTTCAATTTTGGGTAGTATATTCATTATTTTCAGCAGTCGTTAGTATATGTAAATAGCCAACTTTTTGTATGTAATCCTTGTATATGCAAATCCTGCGCCGAGTTCAAACTAGAATTCAACACGGAACATCTTACTATTCCTAATCCGCTCCCCATAGATATAAAAAATCACTGGCAGCGGACTAAGGCCAAGAGCTATGAACCCAAGAAGCGAATTGCCCCAGCCCAGACCGAGAGTGGCGTACATTGGTTGTCCGCATAAAGGAAGCAAGGCTCCGGCCAATGATCGAAATACGGTGTTGGCTGCCATTGCTGAGGCAGCGTATATAGTGTATGCGTCTACTAGATATGTGCTGACGGTCATCTGGGATGAGTTGTATTAGTCGCTAATCCGGATGATCAAAAGGTATGCAGGTAATAATTAGTCGACTTACGAAAGAGATCAGCATCCCGACACCTAGGAAAGAAGTCCCAATGATAGGAACAATCCAGTGATCCTTTTTCTCAGCAGTCCAGCCGTACATGAATAGCGCTAGTGGGACGAAGAAGGTACCAGGGATCATGGGCGGGAGACGATATTCGGGCTTTTTTACCCCGTTTTTGGCAGATAGATAGCGAAGCAAACGGTCTGATGTGGCTCCTAGGGCAGCGAGTCCTAGGACTGAACCCACTCCGATACCGAGGTATGCCAGGCCGACTGTACCCTGGGAGAAACCATATTGTGTCTGGAAAACGGAAGTCATGGTGGTGAACAGCAGGTAGAGGTAGCCGTAGATAATCGCAACATAGAGGGAAAGGATGAATACGATCGGTGAAAGGAAGAGCATTTTTGTCGGGCGAACGATGGAGAAAAGAAATAGTTGTCCGGCTGTACGACCAGTATCCAAGGCTGACCGAAGGTTTGGGTTTCCGGTTTCTTTCTGTAGGCGTTTTGTCTTGCGTTTGAGAAGCGTAGGCGCATACGATTCACGGATGAAGAAGAAAGAAACAATTCCAATTGCACCTCCCTGTTACGTGAGTTATTTGTATGTTTGACAGGATTCCTTGGTACTTACTGCTATGGTTAGAATCCAGAATGTCCATCTCCAGCCTTTGGCTTGGGTGAGAAAACCTCCAGCTGTCGCTTCATTAGCTACTATCAAACTAGGTAGATCCAAGAAACTTACCAACTGGGCCAGCGATGGGTCCTAAAAGAGGTCCAATAGACCAAGCCGCCATTGCAGCGCCTCTTTTCTCTTGGGCGAACATATCCGCAATGGAACCAGCGCCGATTGTCAAGGGACAGCTCCCCGCAGTACCTGCGAAGAATCGGAAGACAATGAGACTGCTCATACTGGGCGCAACCGCACAGGCAACCGAAAACACCACGTAGAGAAGATTACAGCAATTGTAGACTACGACCCGACCATATATCTCAGAAATCGGTGCAATAACCAAGGGCCCGAAGCAGTATCCGAGCAGGTAAACCGATACGACGAACGAGGAGATTTCCAGATTGGTGGAGTTGAACTCCGTCATCACCTGCCCGACGCCAGGGGCGAACATTGATGAACCCAAGGGTCTTCAAAAGTCAGTTAATGCCCGAAAATTTCGTTGGTAGATTTACATACGTGAGAAAGGTAATCAGAGATATGGTGGCCGTCGCAGTCAATTTCTGAGTTGCAGTCCAATTTAACGGGTTTTCTGGGTCGTTGGGGCCATCCCAATCGACGATGTTCGGATCTTGGGCATTTCGGATGGATGGCTCGATTGTTTTCTCGAGCTCCGTGGCACCTTTTTCAATATCCACGGGCTTCTGCTCAGAAAGGCCCTTTCCCCCGTCGATGGTATGAAACTCTGTTGTACTCCGGCGAGGGGTCGATTCTGTAGAGGTATCTATGATGTCGTCGGTCAGTAAAAGTAGTCTACCAAGAATCCTTGGGGGTACAGAATCAAGCAGAAAATGTAAGAAGGAATAAAAGCATTTCTTACTGTTGTCCATTCCCAAAATTTGCAACCGTCACCACTGTCCTTGGGACCCGCTATATCCGTTATCCCAAGTATACACCCAAGCAGTACTGTATTTGGAAAGGAATGGATATTCTCATGTGGATAAGATAATAATGAGACTGTGTACCATTATGAAGACTTTGTCGTCTGTGGGGACATGAGGGTAGTTTAATACCCCAGGTCACTAGCAACATGGAGAGGTGGATTTATTCTCCAAGCTCTGACGGTGTGCCATGCCGGCATCTCATGCCGAAAGCACAGGGAATATGTGTGCATAAATTCATCTTATACCCATAAAGAACGTTATTCTAGAGCATGCCAAGGCGAACCTGCCGGTGCAGTTGGGCGTCAGCTCGCTGTAGGCCAGTAAGCAGAGCTCTTTGCTCCGACTCGAATTTGGGATCAGCTGGCCTTTGGGGTGTTGATTGGATGAGGGGAATACGGGCCCTGTACGCAGGATCGGAGATAAAATAACCGCGAGAGCGAGGAAAGAAGTGATGATCGTTGACGGTGTGAAAGAGAGCAGGCAAGGGAAGGAGAGGAGAGAAAACGGGCTTCCCCACAGGAAATGCGGAGTTGTGGGCCTCAGGCTATCAGTGGTCCAGAATAGTTAGGATTTGAAGATTTGAGGACTGATGATTGTTGTTCGTCGTGTTGAACATTCTTGATCATGTTTATGAATGGCCGTAGGATTGATTCCATCACACTCGATCTATCTTGTATTCGAGATTGACTAGTTGCTGTCTTCAGCATTACTGCAAGTAACCTTGCCAGTCACCAGGCCATAAAGTGACATGTAATGGCAGGAAATTCTTATTTTTGCATCAATAATTTGTATTTAGAGCTGCAGTACCTAGCAGATAGCCAGTAGTGGATGTAAATCTACGTTTATCGACAAATCAGATATTGAAGCAAATATATATCTCGATCATCGAAGATCATTTCTCTGCAAGCCTATAGTAAATTAAAGAACACTATAGATGATAAGACACTGTAGCTAGCTTGAGCGGACAAATTTCTCATAATATTTATAGCAGACAGAGATAAAATATGATATCGGGTGCCACTGTCGCTCTGTTGCCTGTGTAACCACACTTGCACAAGTCGCATGGGATGTCGTGTCATAGAATGGCATATGACTACGAGTATGTTATATCATTTGAATTAACATATAGGAGAGTTGTTGATTTTGCTTGGGAAAAATATTAGGATGGTGTGATTCACAATAACAGAGATAGACAGATCCTCAACTTCCATGAGAACAACACAATATGACGAACATCACGACCACCCAACAAGCCATAAGAAATAGCAAAAAAATTAATATAAAAGACAAAAAGCTCACCCAACCAGCATTCTATGGAAGACTGGAATCAGGACTACGAAACCCTCCGAGGAGGGTTTGCGACGAATTCCAGCAAGGAGGTGGTTCAGATAAATAGGACCAGGGCTCAACTGGGATTCGAACCCAGGACTTCGTGGTTACTCCAAGTGGGCAAGCCCCTGCGCTTTTGGCGAGAAAAGCGCAGCTCCTTGACCACTCGGCCAGTCACACTGAGTTTGTTTTGGGGGGGGGGGGGGGGATTCCTGGAAGTGAATTATATGGGTTGCTTGGTTACCGGATCGGGAAAGGGCATGGGTGTCACGTGACAATCAACGACAGCCGACGGTCAGTATCACGATTAGGATTTCTGATAGAAATAATTATCTTTGCTACTAAAATACTTGATTAGAAACTCGTAGTATCTAAATGAAGAGAGCCTAGAGTGATATCATATGACCGTTTTATGAGAAACACAATGTTTTGTCGAATCTTATACTGGGATTCTCGAGTCATTGAAACAATGATCGAGACGCAGCGTATTGCTATGCGTTCTTCATCATTATATTTACATCCAATATTACTATAGACATCTTTGAAAGGTGTATCTAATGTCCAATTGTCTATAATGATCCTTGTGGGTAGAAAGGCTCAGTAGATAATGATATTCAAGATATGCTTGCGGCCTGTGACATCTCAGTGACATACAGTTGCACTGAAAAGAAGGTGGTCTGCTGTCATATAAAATGGGAAATGCCAATAAGACATCAATGGGATGTTGAGATGATTATTATGCTGCATATGATATGAAGGTTAACTCGTCTTGCACACATCTGGGGAGAACGAGCCAACACGAATGAGAGATAGACGAAGAACTAAGCCATAGAAATCGAAATATAACTGCTTCCTATACTGCTGCTTCTTACTTATATTGCATCCCATACTTGATGGATATGCTCTGGGTATAAATAGATACTAGAATGGCTTTACTGCAGTATATGGGTTGATATGTCCGGTACAGATATCTCTGCACAGAAGGATGAGAGTAGATGCATCATGTTCCTCAATCCATCTGCTGCTCTAGACCAGAGCCCAGCCCAGCCATACTTCAGGCAGCCACTGACTAAGCCCAGCAAACAGATAACCCATCACAACCAACCCCCCTCACCAAACCCTTGGTGACCGTGGTCGAGTGGTTAGTCTCTAACTCTCACTCTCGGAAGTCCTGGGTACGAGTCTCGGTTCGAGCACAATCCTGGTCAATGAGCATTCTTTCCCGGAGGGGCGGGGTCATACCTTGAGCGTGATGCCCATTGCGAGGCACTCCTACTGATTCTCGTTGCAAACAAACCTGACCCTCGGCCGACTCCTTGGGGTAAAAATGATGGTGCGTTTCGTAGCCCCGGGGAAGACCGGCGAGAGCTGCCCATGACTGGCGGGGGTGAGCTTTTTGTTGGTGTGGGATGTTTTTGTGTGGTGTATGTAGGATTTCCTTTTTGGGAAGTGCGAGGGAGGTTGCCTTGTTGCCTCATTTCGCTTCGTTTAGATTGATGCATCGTTGTTACAGACAAAAGCTAGGTTTTATATATACCCATTTCGAATAAATCTTTAATATAATATAATCTATTCAATATTGCTCCGTAGATGGGTGTGACGGTGGTTGTGATGTCATGTATATTGATTGATATCAAAGGACGACGAGTCAAACACGACACCTAAAACAAACCGTCCTCTTATTGAGGACCTGCCAAGAAGTATCTAATAGTTTAATATGAAGATTATTTGATATTTATATTAAAAAAGTAGTGGTTTGTAGATTATAGACCTGGAGAGGAAGGGCATGGATGACTCGACACATCGCCAACAGCCTGGAAAACCTGTTCAAACTAGCCCCCGGAATAAGCTGTATTACCTATAGTTCTATTGCTAGCACTGCCAGCTATAAGAGAACACCAGAGCTTATGGCAATAGAGCGCAGGGTGTAACCGTAGGTTAGGTCAAGACTTGAGCTTCAGGTGGAATTGTACTGTTACTGTTACTTTATCGCACAGTTAAATCAACCCGAAAACAACTAAAAGGCTGTTCATGGGATAGTAGGTGAGATTTATTTATTCCCAGCAAGATATCAAAGATATTCAGGTGTACAGATAGCCCCTTTACCTACGTAGTGTGCGCAGATGAATAGCAACAGCACAATTAATAATAATACTAATAATAACATGAGCAATTCATAAAGCACAACATACCACATCCCACAAAAGTGAATCAGGGGATTAAACGATTGACAAGTCTAAACATAGGAGTGTTCATCTCGGCGGCGATGACCCGAACACAGCCCCTATCCCCAAAGACTCGAGCATCGATCGCAGAAAGGAGAGAGTTGGTAATCCAAGAATCAGTAATTGGCGACTGCAACGAAATGAGATATGAAAATCAATGAGCTTGGTATCGGTCAAGCTTTTTGTTTTCATTTTTATTTCGCATCGAAGTGAGGTTGTTGTGATCGACAGGAACTGCTGGGATGGGATCTGCGAGATGATGTTTTTTTTTTTTTTTTTTTTTTTTTTTTTCGACCTAGTCGCGTAGCGCGGGAGTTGGGATGGACTTGTTTCATCTCATCTCATCTCATCTTATTCTAGCTTCAGTTTCGATTGACCTGGTCATTGCTGGGTTGGTGGCTAATGGGATGTGGTCTATTGTGTATGACTCGATGTTGCTTGCATTCGTAATCCGTTCAGCCTTGATGTTTGCTTTTTTTAATATTTGTTTTGCCACAAGGACTAATTACCATACTGGGTACGATACATGATCCTGTCATAATTATTAGGTAATGATGAGAGGCAAAATCCTGTTCCTGACTTTGTATACTAACAGAAATTGATGCTAAATAGCCAAGCAGGATCATGATGACAGGTCAGGCGATAGTGTGTAATGGTCAACTAATAACATAGCAAGTATAATCCGATCGATATTATCTGATTCATATATATCTGGAACAGCAACCGTCGGTTGGAGGCGATAGTCGCGGAGGATGGACTGATTGTTGCTTAGTCCTGCTAGCCACTAAGCATGGTTCGTGTCGCTTGTGGTGGATTGCACCGAAGCTAAGTTGACACAGGTTTCAGACACGATCTCCGATGCTGTGAGTGGGTGAAACATGTCGCTAGTACGCAGTAGGGCCGGGCGAAACTTGGCCGTGTGACAGTCCTGGATGTTATTATTCTTATTATGATCAGCCGTTATGCAGCAGCGGGTTGGGGGATCAGTCGTATCAGATTGGGGGTGATTGATATGCTGTCGTCTTCATAGGTGTGATTTTTCCTTTTTCTTGCTTGCTTTCTCTTTGCTTCTTTTCTTCTTCCCCTTTCTTTTGCCTCAGGTCAACAAAAAAGAAAGTATGATAAATTAAATGATGTCGAGGAAATTCCAATCTCCACAGAAATTGAATAATTTTGATCGGGAGAAAACGGTCAAACAAAAGGCAAAAAACAAACGACAACAGAAACGCTAAAATGCCTGAGCACCAAAGCAAAAAGAGTGGAATGAGGAGATTATGAGGCCGACTATCGGACTATCGGAGCGCACGCGTGCTTTTTCCCATCAGAATCTGCATCAGATTAGATTAGATCGATTTGATCAGTTTGGGAGATGGATCTTATCAACCATGGTCGAGCAGTAGTGCGACAGTCGAGAAATCATCAAGGAAAATCCCTGTAGTTTTTTTGTTTTTGTTTTTTTAGTTCTGCCTCATGTGTGTCTTTCATTTTCACTGGATCAAATGATAAGACGGAGTATCCGATGTCACGAGTGGAGGATGACAGCCGAAAACAGCCAGATGCCCAGGAGGGGATCCACACGATGCGATCAGGACTCCAGGCCGAGACTGCTCTGCCGCAGAACGGACGGAGAAAAACGTAGAAAAAAAAGAAAAGACGGGATGAAAAAGGAAAGAAAACTTTGATTCACTTGCTTTGTCTGAGGCATTAACAGCGAATACTGTATGCCGCCTGATGAGGATGTACAGAATACCCAGCTGCTCAAGGATTTGGACTCTGCTCAGGCCACTTCTTGACTGCCGTCCAAGCAATCAGAACAAGCATGCTTTCTCCCCACCTAACCGGAGTCGTGGTGTCACCGCGTTCCCACCCCGGCCTGTTAGGGAATTTTCTCGCCCTCCCCAACCTGTCGGCTTTTCCGCCAATTTCCTTCTACGGCCGGTTATCGCTCCTTGGCATCGCGTGGGATCCCTTCATATTGAGACCACTAGATGATTAGATACCTTAGCTTATTTGTGTCGGTGACTTGGGCTTGTGGATGTGTAACGTATGACGAACCGTGAGGCCTGACTCGACCGATACCCGGTGTAGCCGTAGTTCAGGGTAAACCCAAGATTGAACGGATCACTATCAATCTCTGTGGCAAGAGAGGAGAGAAAATTACCCGACCGCGACCGAAATCCATCAAATTAATCAAATCAATCAATAATGCATGATGACACGGTGGATTACCCTGCGAGCAATTGGAGCTGCCTATTGGCTGGGATTAGCATCGGACCGGCCGGTGCTGGGGCCATTTCCCTGCATTCAGCCAATCGAGCCTGGCAGCCACCGATCAGGCACTGATCTGGGTCCGCTCTGGCCAAACGCCCCCCTTCTGATTGGCCTATTGCCCCAAGTTATCTGATCCCGTCGTTATCTGATCCGCTAACTGGCTGCTGATGACTCCACTCCCCTTCCAAGGTTGCATCTGCTGATTGGCCCGCTGGGATTGCCGACGGAAAAAAAACTCACACCACCAGGACCCATCCGGCGAAAGGCGCGTCTTGCGGGAGCGAAAATTTGTTAGCAACTTCGCAACTCCCCATTTGATTAATTAGTCCTCTTTTTTTTAATTACCCACTTAGGCCATGGCCATATGCCGTTGAGTTATCCCACTCGACGACCGGGCCATACGGGCATACATATATAGAAAACTAATCTGTCCTGTTTTTCTCAATTTCCCTCCCTTTCTTCCTCCTCCATTCCAACTCCCCCTCCCTTGCTTACCCGCCCCTTGCTTATTGGAGGAAGACAAGATCGATACCTGGTCATCATGGGTGTCCTTGATATGGTCAGGAATCGCAAGGATTCCGAGATTGTTTCCGACCTCACGGCCACCGAGAACCATCAGCCCAAGCAGACCTCGCCGGAAGACCCCCCTGCATACTCTGGTAGTGAATCGGAGGACCGTCGACTGAGCTTGGAGGCACGCAATGAGAAGGCTATCGAGCAGGAACCCGATCAAGTCACCAAGAGTGCCCATCTAGGTGTGCAAAAAGCCGAAGCTGCCGCGTTGGTATGGAGCAAGAAGGCTGTCTACATCACCTATGCCTGGTGGGTTTATCCTGTATAACAATTCTGCCGATGATGCATGATCTAATTATAAATGTCGTTCAATATAGGGTCTGGGTGTGTTTCTTCTTGCTGGCCTTGCAGATGGCCATTGGCACCTACGCCCAAGCCAAGGCCTATGCCGACTTTCAAACCGCCCCGGCCATCAGTACCGCTAGTATCTTGGCCAGCATCATCGGCGGTGTGATGAAGCTGCCTGTCGCCAAGATCCTCAACATCTGGGGTCGTTGTGAAGGTCTCCTCATCTTCACCGCAATCTACATTCTCGGAATCGTCATCCTGGCCTCGTGCAACGGTCCCAGCAGCTATGCCGCTGGTTACGTCATCTACTACGTCGGCTACGATGCTCTCTACATCAGTTTGGATATCTTCGTCGCTGATACCTCTGGTATGAGGAACCGAGCCTTCGCCATCGCCTTTGTCAGCACTCCCTTCATTTGCACCGCCTTCACTGCTTCGCTGGCTGCCGACAGCTTCATCTACCACACCGGTGGATGGCGTTGGGCCTACGGTGCTTTCACCATCATCATGACCGCTGTTCTGGTGCCCATGGCTCTGGTCTTCAAGTTCTATCAGAAGAAGGCCGAGAAGCTTGGTCTGTACAAGCACGAGCCCAGTGGCCGTACTTTTATGCAGTCCACCGTCCATTACATCCAGGAATTCGATAGTATGTTCTTCCTTTGTGGTCTACAATAATAACCCCCGCTAACCATGCCCAGTCGTGGGTGCCGTGCTCCTGATGGCCGGTTGGATTCTCCTCCTCTTGCCTTTCAGTTTGCAAACCGCCGGACGTGCCCAGTACAAGAGTGCCAGCTTCATCGCTGAGATCGTCGTCGGAGTCGTCGTGTTGGGTATCTTTGCTGTCTGGGAGAAGTTCTTTGCCCGCGCGCATTTCGTCAGCTATGAATTGCTCAAGAAGCGCACTGTCCTGGGTGCCTGCTTCTGCTCCGCCCTGATCAACTTCAGCTTCTACTGCTGGGATCTCTACTTCTTGTACTTCTGCTACGTCGTCTACGACCTCGACACCGCCATGGCTGGTTACATGACCCAGATCTACAACGTCGGATCTTGCTTCTGGGGTGTGGTCTTTGGTATCTGGATTCGCTACGTCAAGAGCTTCAAGTGGTCCTGCTTCTGCTTCGGTCTTCCGCTCCTCATGTTGGGCGCTGGTTTGATGATTCACTTCCGTGGTGATGGCGAAACCAACCAACTCCCTTACACCGTCATGTGCCAGATCTTCATCGCTTTCGGTGGTGGTACCTTGGTTATCGGTAACCAGATGGCCGTCATGGCCTCTTCTGACCGTGAGAACGTTCCCCTCATGCTTGCCCTCATCGGTCTCTTCGCCAGTCTGGGTGGTGCTATCGGAAACGCTGTCTCTGCCGCCATCTACAGCAATACCTTCGTCGACGCGCTGACCTCTGCCCTTCCCGACGACCTCAAGGGCAACGCCACGCAAATCTCCAACGGCGGTTGGGCCCTTCAGCAGACCTACCCCCTGGGCTCTCCAAGCCGTAACGCTGCCAACTATGCCTGGGGTTACAGCCAGAAGTGCGGTGCCATTGCTGCCACTGCCATTCTGGTGCTTGCCTTCCCTTGCATCGCCATCTGGAAGAACTACAAGGTCGACAAGAGGCAGAACAAGGGTGTTATGCTTTAAAGGCTTTCCTTTATTGTCGTTATGGAGTACCATGTGAGAGATACCCATGTTTATACATATAGAGTGGAATGAGTGGATAGGGGTGAAGGAATTGGGGAAACATGCATTTTTGTCCTTGAGCAACAGGCATGCACCAGGACTCAAAAAAGTACATACTTAATAATTGTTGTCCGTATAATAGTTTTTTCTCGATGCAAATAATATCAATGGCATTTTTCTCCCTTCTTTCAACCCCGCAGCACGTGTTCCCTATCCCTGCTTTCTCCAACTTCAAAAGTAACCATCACATTAATCTAGTCCATCCATCTATCCACCTTGGATAGTCAATAATGGGAGTCCTCCAGAAATATCTAGCCCTACTCCCCCTTCACTGGCCGGGACTCGGACTGGCAACTTCCTCAACCAACACCACCGACATCCTCGACCTCATCAACCCCCTCATCGGATCCAACAACGGAGGCAACGTTTTCGCTGGCGCCAGTCTTCCATACGGCCTTGCCAAACCCGTCGCTGACGTCGACGGACAAAACACCGCCGGCTTCTCTACAGACGGCAGCAATGTAACCGGCTTCTCGTCTCTCCACGACGCAGGCAGCGGCGGGAATCCTTCCCTAGGCAACTTTCCAATTTTCCCGCAGTATTGCCCAGAAAATGAGATCGACAATTGTCATTTTTCGAAAGATGCGCGTAAAGTGCACTATGCGAATGACTCGGTCGTCGCACGACCGGGATATTTTGCCCTGTCCTTGGAGACTGGGATTCGGGCGGAGATGACGGCGACCGAGCATGCTGCTCTGTATCGGTTTACGTTTCCGACTGCCACGAGTTCGAATGGATCTGAGCTGGACCCGGTGATGTTGATTGATTTAACCGATTTGTGGGATAGTCGACAGAATGCTTCAATTAGTATCGATGCCGACACTGGGCGAGTCAAGGCAAATGGGACCTTTTTACCCAGTTTCGGGGCGGGCTCTTATATGTCGTATTTCTGTGCTGACTTTGAGGGCGCTTCCATCCGTGATAGTGGAATTTGGGTGAATGATAGAGCTGGCAACGAGCGCAATGACCTCTTTGTCACGCGCGGCTTCAATCTGTTTTATATTCAAGCGGGTGGTTTTGTGCGGTTTCAGCGACCGGAGAATGGCACGGTGAATGTCAGGGTTGGTGTCAGTTTCCTCAATGGGGATAAAGCATGCGAAAATGCCAAAAGGGAAATTCCTGGACCAGTGTATGACTTTGATGGGATTCGGACACGCGCAGAGGATGGATGGAGGGAGAAACTGAAACCTGTATCCGTGCAGACTGGGGGCGTGGATAAGGACCTGCAGACGAGCTTCTGGAGTGGAATCTACCGGACGATGCTTTCGCCGCAGGATTTGACCGGCGAGAATCCTCTCTGGGAGAGCGATGAGCCGTACTTTGATTCTTTCTACTGGTATGTATACTCGCTGTATCGCACATGACCAATGGACTGATGATTTTAGTATCTGGGACTCTTTCCGAGTACAACATCCTTTCTTAACGATAGTCGACCCTCAGACGCAATCGAGAATGGTGCGAAGTCTTCTGGACACATACAAACACGAGGGATGGCTACCAGATTGTCGCATGAGTCTATGTAAAGGCTGGACGCAAGGCGGATCGAATGCAGATGTCGTCCTGGCCGATGCATACGTCAAGAACCTAACAGGTATTGACTGGGATCTAGCATACGAAGCCATGGTAAACGATGCCGAGAATGAGCCTCTGGAGTGGTCATACCAAGGTCGCGGTGGTCTCCAGAGCTGGAAGAATCATCATTACATCCCCTACCTGGACTTTGACTATCTGGGATTTGGGTCCAATACTCGAAGTATATCCCGCACCTTGGAATATTCCTACAATGACTACAGTTTATCGATCGTGGGAAAGGGACTCGGGAAGGAAGATTATACCAAATATCTAGCCCGGGCTAGTAACTGGCGGAATCTGTACAAACCGGATCAGACGTCCTTTGTTACGGGGAATGACACCGGGTTTGTGGGTTTCTTTCAGCCAAAGTATCTTAACGGGACGTGGGGATATCAGGATCCAATTGCCTGCAGTGAATTATCAGGTTCCTGGTGTTCTCTCACATCCAATCCCTCTGAGACTTTCGAGTCCAGCGTATGGGAATATCAATTGTACTTCTATCTCTTCCTAATTGTCAAAGAAGTCCGCTAATTATCAACAGCTTCGTTCCCCACGACATGGCCTCACTTATACAGCTACTTGGTGGCCCAGAGAATTTCGTATCTCGCCTTGACTTCTTCCATACCTCCGGCCTGGCCGATATAGGCAACGAGCCTGTCTTCCTGACCGTATTCCAATACCATTATGCCGGTCGACCTGCGCTATCATCTCGTAGCGCTCACAGTTATATCCCCTCATCCTTTAACGATACCACATCCGGACTCCCCGGAAATGACGATTCAGGTGCCATGGGTGGATTCACCGTATTCTCCATGATGGGCCTTTTCCCTAACCCAGGTCAGAATGTTTACCTTATTACAGCCCCATTCTTCGAAGCAATCAGTATAACGAACCCTGTGACGAATAAAACGGCTACAATCCGCAATGTCAATTTCAACAAGGATTATAAGAGAGTGTTTATCCAGAGTGCGAAATTGAATGGCCGGGATTATAAAAGGAATTGGATCGGACATGAGTTTTTCACGGAGGGAATGACGCTTGAGTTGACATTAGGGGATGAGGAGAGTGACTGGGGGATGGGAGAGGACGCTTTGCCACCGAGTTTGGGCGGTAGTACTGGCTCTGATACTGATTAGATAAATAGATCAAGCCAATATAATGTGTACTGGAATTGAAGATTTGGTATGTGCATGCGACGGGATTCGGATGTGGCATTCCTAGGACAGCGAAGGGTCTGGTGCGGAGAATTTTGTGTACGCTGTTGAAAGGAGGATGTAACATGGGGTCCAGAAGAGATTTGGTGTTCACCATTTTGGATTATCTTGAGAAGAATGTGATATCAGATGAGGGCGTACAGAGGAATTGCAGCCCCACGAAGAGGGGAAGCGGGGATACATATTGCACGGATGTAGTGTATTTTTCATCTATCTACTATCCTATAGACTATTTATGATAGAGATGATGTTTTTTTTTTTTTTTTTTTTTTCCAAGCTCCGAAGTATCAGGAGGTAGTTTGACTGGTTCAATGTTCCCGTTTAGGTGTTGTTGACGCTATACAACTTCCACGCATGTGGATCAGATTCAGCCACAACAATTTCTATATTCGATTAAATATTGTATCAACTCTTTACTTTTATCCTCCTCTTGTTAAATAATATGCATGTCCCATGACTGTTTGATCCTGATACAACTCTGTTGAGCCAATCAGACAACCCACCTGGATTACTCATTCACCCCACTGCCTCGGTTTCTCCACATCAAAAAAAAAGGAGCTCCAAATCTCCAACTTTCAACGGTCTAAAGCAGCCAAGCGAAGCGAAGCAGATCATCGACGCCCTTTTTCTCGTATTCCTTTACGCATCCTTTATCCATACAGGCGACCACATATCATCATTATTCCTGTTTGCTATCCAACCAGCCAGTCTCTGGTTGGTTCGTTCTTCCCCATCTTTTCTCGGAATCTTCTTCCGTTTAAATTGCAGAGAAATCAATATTTCCTATGCCGTCGCGTCGCAGTCACACCAAGTCCCGCAAGGGCTGTCTTGAATGCAAGCGAAGGCATGTCAAGGTAGGTTCTAGATTTAACTAATTCCATTGCTTATTTAATCTTTGTTCCACGTGTGATTGCTGTGTCCTTCTGGATTTACTCTTCGTTCCCCATTTACGGAGGCTCCGTCGCGCAGCTTGAATCCGCAATTGAGACAATCCACTGACACCGTCCAGTGCGACGAAGGGAACCCCAGATGCAGTCTATGCAAGAAACGCAAGCTGCAATGCACCTATCCTCCACCCTCTAGCGACACCGATGGCCAGTCCTCCACTCCACACGAACTGATGGACCTTACGGCTGGATCCACCGAGCTCCCCTTACCCACACGACAGCTCGAAATAAAGCTATTTCACCAATATATTACCGAAACCTATGTCACCTTGCCCGAGCGCCAATTGAACGCGGAATACTTTCAGAAAACCCTACCCAATATTGCGGTAAACCATCCGTATCTACTGGACGCCATCTTCGCCCTCTCCGCCCTCCATATTGCCTCCTTAGAGCCGGATGAGATTGATAATCGGCCATGGCTGGAGGTCGCTCTTAAGTACCAGACACAAGCGTGCTCCGCATTTAGTCGGGTGCTCACGGAGATCACCCCGCAAAACTGTGGGCCAGCGTTCATCTGCTCGGTCTTCATCATGGTCTGCGCGACAGCCTACCCGTCTGCTTCCCGGGGCGATCATCCGTTTGAGCCTCTATACCAAGTGCTGGAGATTCGTCGGCTGATTGCCGGTTGCGCGTTTCTATATTACCAGCTCACAACGAACGAGCACATGGAGGAAATAAGCGGGTGGATACCGAAGGAAGACGAGACTATAGAGCTTCCGGATAGGTGAGTCTTGTTCCCTATTCTTTGCTCAGAAGCAAATACTAATATTGGTACAAGTCCTTGGACTTCAAAGATGGTTTCACTACGCAGGTTGGTGTCAGAACACTGGATTTAAGAAATTCTCACTAACATTGTCAGCACTCTGTTGGGATCACTTAACCAACTACGCAGCAAGATTGAGAATAATCCCGGCCCGCACCAGACGGAATATATAGACACGTGGGGATTACTCGACGATTCCATTAAGCGATGGCCAACGGGTGGTAAACGAGGCGGCATCATATCGTGGCCGATCCACATCAGCGAAGCATTCATTATTCTGCTCAAAGACGGAGATTGGATGGCGCGCATCCTCTTTTTGCATTATGGTGTCGGCATGCATCTCCTCTCACACAAATGGTTTGTTAAAGACTGGGGGCGTCGTCTAGTTACTGCCGTGGTGCAGCCTCTTGAAGATATTCCACCCGAATGGACCACCACAATTGCCTGGGTAAAGGATGCTGTTGAAACTGCTGGGTAGTTGGAGGAATACCAAAGAAGTAAACACAAGACAAAGAAAGCAAGGGCATAAAAATTGAGCCAGTTGACTCACCAATATTCCACGCAAGCCTTATGGCGTGTTGCAGCTGAACCGCCTTAAGCTCTGCCGATCAGCCCGCCAGGCACAGTGGGACGATAAGCTTTGATTTCAGCTTTATCACACCATCGCTCAAAGCCGACTTCATTACCAATGGTCATTCATTGGGACTAATAGTCGGGCGATCCCTTCGACGGATATCTCAGCTCTTCCAGTTCTTATCGAAATGGAACCCCGGCAAGCTCTCCGCACCACCTTATCTTTCCCCTTCCGGAACATTCGCTCATTTGGAGTTTATCGCAAATTCTGCAATAATCTGTTTACCTTCTCTGTTCACTATCTTACATCTTTATTTTCGTGGACTTTTAATCTGTTTCTAAATCTTATTTGTTGGTTTTTGTATGCGACCGCGGCTCAGTCGATTGGGATTGGATGCATTGATACCCCAATATTCCAGAAACGACAGGTTCACCCGATGATATGACAATACGAGGGGTTTTATGGTCTCCCGGTCAAGATGTGGAGAAGCAGGTAAGAGATACGGCATAAATCAATCAGTTCCTTTTCCCCTCATCTCGTTTTATTTTGAATGGATTCTCTCTCTAATTACTGATATCCGAGGTTGGACTAACTTTAATCTTCTGACCAGCCGCTGCGCCCTTTGAAAGACACCTCACTCCCGGTCACAGCGACAGGTCCTTCGCATTCACTTTCCTCGAATGAACAAAAGGTTACTTCAATCATGTTTAGCGCGATAAGACCAGGACTGGCATTATTGTCACTTCTTTTCCTCTTTGCGCACTTTCCGAGTGTATACACTTCGCCCGTTGAGATAGCATCAAGTCTACGACGAGATAACAATGGACATGTCCATAAGATTGAAGATGGCAAGCTGGGTGCGGTAGCGAGCGAAAGCGCGATCTGTAGTCGCCATGGTACCGAGATGCTGAAAATGGGCGGAAACGCTGCTGATGCTGTAAGTGGTCCTCTGCCAGCCTTGCTCCGCCCCCTACTGGGAGCCTTGGGGCGCATCCAGAAGCACTGGAATTGAGCCTTATCCTGGATGATACTGAATCGCCTTGGCCAGATGGTTGCTACAGTATTTTGTGTCGGAACCATAGGTAAGTTTTCCGAAATATCACAACGAGCCCAGGCTGATTGATTCACCAGCCATGTACCACAGTGGCATTGGAGGAGGTGGATTCATGCTGGTCAAGGCACCGAATGGGACGTTCGAATTCATCGATTTCCGCGAGACAGCACCTGCCGCCGCCTTCGAGGACATGTACACGAACAATACCAAAGCATCCACCCGCGGTGGCTTAGCAAGGTACGATGACTCCTACTGTTATTCTTCATCCATTAACAAAGGTTCAGTGGTGTTCCTGGTGAGATCCGTGGTCTGGAGCATCTCCACAAAAGCTATGGCTCTCTGCCCTGGTCGACCGTTATGCAGCCTGCGATCCGAATGGCACGCGAGGGCTTTCCTGTCACCGAAGACCTGGTTAATTATATGAAAAAGGCGGTCGATGGCGAGGAGGACTTCCTATCCAAGAATCCGACATGGGCTCTTGATTTTGCCCCGAACGGGACCCGACTCGGCCTTGGTGATACTATGACTCGCAAGCGCTATGCCGATACTCTCGAGACCATCGCCAACCAAGGCGCAGATGCCTTCTACTCCGGGCCTATTGCCGAGACTATGATAGATGCTTTGCGGGCAGAAAATGGCACCATGGCACTGGAAGACCTGCGTAACTATACGACACTCAGCCGTGAAGTCGCCCATATTGACTATCGTGACTATAAAATCGCGTGCACTACGGCTCCATCAAGTGGTATTGTTGCGCTGAGTGCACTGAAGATTATGGAAGCTTATGGCCAGTTTTTCGCGCCTGGTTACGTCAACTTGAGTACACATCGCATGGATGAGGCAATTCGGTTTGGCTATGGTGAGGTAAGTTGCGGCGTATCCCTTGGGGCTTTCTCATGGCTAATTTATAATCCAGAGGACTAAATTGGGCGATCCACTGTTTCTCAATGGACTGGACAAGTATCAAGCGAATATGCTGAACCAGTCCACTATCGATAGTATTCGAGCCAAGATCTCGGACGTGCGGACTCAAAATGTGTCTGCTTATGATCCCCAAGGAATCGAGAGTCTAAACACGTAGGGCTTCCTCCTGGTCCGTCTAACTTGCAGTTGGCTGACGGATCTAGTCCGGGAACCTCTCACATGGCAGCCGTCGATCACTCAGGAATGGCAATTTCTCTCATTACGACGATTAATCTTTACTTTGGAAGTCATTTGATGGTCCCTGAAACGGGTATCATCATGAACAACGAGATGGATGGTAAGGATTCCACCTTCTAACGTTTCTTTTTCTGTTCCATATTAACTGATTACCCAGACTTCTCTACTCCTGGCTCATCCAATTCCTTTGGTTATATTCCTTCGGAGGCAAATTATATCAAACCCGGAAAGCGCCCGTTGTCCTCTGCATCCCCAGCCATCGTGACCCACCCCAACGGGACTGTATTCTTTCTCGCTGGGTCCGCAGGCGGTAGTCGGATTATTACAGCTACAATCCAGAATATCATCCATGCCGTGGACGAAGGGCTTTCCGCGGCTGAGGCACTGGCCCGACCTCGATTACACGATCAACTGGTCCCCAACCAAGTTTCGTTCGAGTATGCCTATGACAACGCGACCGTCGCGTTCATGAAAGCCCGCGGCCACAATGTGACCTGGCTTGCTCCGGGGCAGAGTACTGCCCAAGCCATCCGAGTGCTGCCAAATGGAACTTTTGATGCTGCTGGTGAGCCGAGACAGCTTAACTCGGGTGGATTTGCCGTGTGATTAAGGATGCTTCTTGATGAAGTTGTGATAGGCCTTTTTATAGTGGGTGCAGGGATGTAGATAGTGCATATTGCGGAATATCTATGCTTAGCCTTGATAGCATGTTACATACATCTACTTCAACTTGCAAGTCAAGTATGATAACGCAATTATTATCACCAATATGCGTAATGATATTTCCATCATGATCTGCCTCTGAATATTCCGAGTAGAAGCTGAAGTGGTGGTCCGTGCTCCACATTGCTCCGCGTCTTTCGCGTTGGATTGACGCACCTTTTTCATTCACTTCCCTAACCTCCTTCACTAGCCGTCAATATTCTTGGATAAGTGAATATTTTGGTTTGAGTCATTGTCAGTGTTGTTCATTATTTTCTGACCCCCTAGCAAATATATATAGGATTGGGTTGGTGCTTTGCACTTCAAAACCCTTTCTCGCAGAGTATGAGGGAGCTTTAGCTTCACATGGAAAATCGAGGATACTGGCCTTTGAACAGGACAGTGGTGAGTATCTCTCTCATTTGATATTTTAATTCTTCGATCGATAAACTCAAAAGCAAATCAACGAAGCAAAAAAGAAAGAAATTCCCGACGCTTTCTGACCTCTCCACTGCTCTCTAGCTCCTTTGACAGGTCTAATCCTCGATCCTACCAACCCACCCAACTATGCATAACACACTCGACGAGTACATTGCAACAAAATCGACACGCAATTAGCGCAGAAACACACAGAAACCGAGCCCCTACATTCCTCAGCAAGAATTAAACGAGAGAAAAAAATCTTGAAAAGAGTCAAAATGAAAGCCAGCAACATCGCCGTCGTTATCTCCCCTCCCCGTTTCGATCTGGATCTCTACCCCTTCGACGAAGAAGCCTACGACCGTGTTGTGGATGAGATTCTCTCCGACGAAGCTTCTTTTGGAGAGTATAACGGTGACTTGATGATGGATGGGAGCTATGAGGACAGTCCCTCGTGGTACCGTGGGGGTTCGGGAGCTGAGCAGACGGAGTCGCCTTATTTTTCGCTGGAGAAAAAGGATAAAACCGCTGCTCGCACGGAGAAGTCCATTGCAAGGATCGATGCTGAGGATAGTGAGGAGAGTGGTGATACCGAAAATGAGGCCCAGGATGAAGATCAGGTTGACAACGTCCAGAATCACATGGTAAACAGCGAGACTACAAAGAAAGACACTATTGCGGTTGACGACCAACTTGATGACGATAACCTCCCCGTCGATGATGAGGTTACTGAAGAGGATGCTGTATTTGCATCACTCGGTCCCGATCAGCGAGAAGAGCTACGAGGATTCATTCTCTCGCATCCTTTTATGCGCAAGGGAAAATATCCGGTGAAGCGGTCCGATAGACGACGGTTCACAGACGCCATGCGCGACGAGGCAGGAGCTGTTGGAATGAACGAGGCTGCCACGAATAGACTCCTGCGATTTGTCAAGAAGACGTACTTCGATATCTATGAAATCAGCTGTCCAGGCTTAGATGGGTCTGAATTTGGCGATGAGATCGACGAAGAGAAAGAGAAACAACAGAAGGAGGCAAAGAAGGAGCGGAAAAGAAAGCGAAACAGTGGCGAGAAATCCAAGGACAAGAGCAAGAAGAGCAAGAGGGTTTCGAATGAGTCTATCCAGCAGGATTTGGACTTCCCACAAAACAATGGCAATGAAAGTCGTCAAGATGAAGCTATGGATGTTGAAGACCACATGGATGATGTGACTGGACTGCCCCAGAAGTCCCACGGTTTGGATGATGAACCAGTGCTCGAACCGCTTGATTCTACTGTCAGGGCTGCTTCGCATGAGAGTGAAAAGGTCAAACAAAATGCTCAACCCATTGTTGAAATCGTCCAAACCATCCAACATCCTATCGTTGAACTTGATTCTTATAGCAATCCGGGCGAAGCCAACTTCGAAAATGCCAATTTGGGCGAACGCGAACATCCCATTTCTTTCCACGATGGCAGTGATGGTGAAACAAAAGAGAATATCGCGTCCCAACAAATGCTGCCACAACATACCTTTAATGCTGCCTCTAAATCCATGTCGAAAACGGAACAATCTCAAGGCAACGATACGCCACACCACCCCGTTTCAGGAGGACGGAATAGAGAAAGGAATCACCACAAACGGCAGAAACGAAAAGAGCGAAAGGCGAAACGACATCGCGAGAGCCTTGGGGTATTGGAAAATACACACCCGTCTCAAGACAATGCACCTCAGGGCCACGCCCAGAAGAGCGGCCAGGCTGGCGCAAAACAACCCACAGAAACAACGACAAAGGAAAGCAACGGATTCGTCGTGGAGAAGAGCATTCTCGACGATCCCTTCTGGGACTCGGATTTTTAGGAGCCAATGATTCGCAAGGTGTGACCGCCAGTGATGAGGTGCAGTCCAAGTACTTTTTGCGCACACCGAAGAAAAATATTACAAAAAAGTCGAGTTTTTGCAGCGAGAAGAACAGGAAACCTAGCAGCCCAGTGTTGAAGCATTCGATTCCGGAAGAAGCAAGAATTATTTTGAAAGATCTCGATTTACCGTCCGACTTTCTCTTGTCCGATTCATCTCTGAGTGACGTACCTAGAGATATCAGCTCCGGCGATGACAGCCCTCTACCCTCCTATTCCACGCAAACATCGCCTCTGAAAGACCCCGTCGTTATTCATCCAACAGTTCCTCGAACCCCGACCAAGAGTATGTCCCCTATCAAGTCCGAGTTTCCTCAACCGGGGAAAGCACCTCGACTCAAACTCCCGAAAATATCGCATTATTTTCCAAAGCCTCTGGTCGACCCTGAGTCCTGTCTACCCTTCCCCCCTATAGATGCTCCAGCTTTCGGGCTTGTTCAGGAGCAGCTAGCACACGACCCTTTTCGCCTGCTCATCGCTACCATATTCCTCAACCGGACGCGGGGAGGTGTCGCTCTTCCGGTTCTTTTCCAAGTTTTTGGGCGATTTCCCACTGTCGAAACGATGGCCGCAGCGGAGCCGTCGGAATTGGTCGCCATGATCCATTGCCTGGGCTTTCAAAACCAACGGGCTAAGAAATGCATCGATATTGCCCGGATTTGGCTTTCCAATCCTCCTATCAGAAGCAAACGATATCGCAAGCTTCACTACCCGCAAAAAATGGATGGACGGGATATTGGCCGTAACGAATACATCGACAATAGGGACCCGCGGGTAGCCTGGGAAATTGCACACCTACCTGGAGTTGGAGCATATTCATTGGATAGTTGGCGGATTTTCTGTCGCGATGAGCTACGAGGACTGGCCCGGGACTGGAAGGGGTGTGGTGCTGAGACTGTTGGGTTTGTTCCTGAATGGAAATCGGTCCTTCCCCAGGATAAAGAACTGCGGGCGTATCTGACATGGATGTGGCTCAAGGAGGGCTGGCTATGGGATCGACACACGGGAGAGCGGACGCGGGCAAGTGACAAGACGATGCGAGCTGCGAGGCGAGGAGGGGTAGCCCATGAGGAGGATGGGAACTGGGTGTTGGAGACATCTCCTGTTAAAGTTGCCAATGGGTTGTGATGGACGGGATAATTGCATTGTTCATTGGAGTTGATGTTTTGGGAGCACTGGATTTGAAGTTATTGATACCCTATTTTCGGTAGAATCAACAGGATTGCATAGTAGGTGACCTATGTATGTCCATGTTTATCCATCATGAGTGAATTCATCTCGCATTTTCTTCTGGATTGTTCTATCGTGTCGATCTCTGCCTGAGGCATTGAACCGAAGCAGCCTTATGACTGCAATCCATAGTTACCACTGTAGATTGTTCCCGGGCATCCAGACCATTTTTCTACATCATCCATATCCTGATAGACCCTCTTTTTCTCTCGACCTGGCCACCTAAACAGGAGCGAAAAAAACCTCACTCTCGTCGGGCGTCCATGCAGGGCCACCACGTCACTCCTCCACTGCCTCAGAAGTTTTCGCCCACTGCGGGGAATCGGAGACGCTCACCGCAAACCATCCCGACTTCATCTTCTTTCTTTCCTCCCAAACCCACTGGGCTAACTGGCAACTCGCTCTGTATGCACCGTGCCTGACCCGACTTTACTCGAATCGTCCTCGTCGACCTGATCGTCCATTTTCCCCCTCCCCCTCTCTGCTCACGGCATGTCGCATCCTGCCTGGTGCGGCTCTCGACCAGTGAGAACAACACCAGCTGCATTCCTCCACGCCTCCTAAGCGCCAGACGAGAAAAGAAACAGAAAGAGTCATTCGTCGCCGTCCTCCTCCTGCAGTGACATCTCACTGCATTACCACCCATCGAGAAGGCCTGTGAGCTTCTGATTGCTTTATTATTCTTTTTCCTCTTTTGCAAATCAGGTAACTAAGAAAACGGCATATACCTTAAGACCAAAAAAAGAAAAGCAAAAATAGGCAAGGCTGAAATCTTTCAGTCTTGTCTCCTTTTCTGCCCATCATTTCGAGCCCACTGCACGTCATGCTACCGTTGAGACTAAATGACCGAGATCGCGACAGGAATAAAAGTACCAAAAGAAAGTCGTCCTCCAGCATCGCCGCCTCCTCCTCTTCCTCCCTCAAATCCAAACATCGTTCGTCCCACGGTCGGTCTTCCCGCCGCCACTCAACCAAGGATCGAGATCGTGACATCCCCACGGGTCGTTCCTCCACAACCACCTCCGCTTCCACTCCTCCTTCTTCGCGCGGCTCTCACAAACGCAGGTCCTCCATGCCGGGCGTCGACAGCGCCAGCCGCGATGGAGCGGCCTCTTTTCTCGAGTCGAGGGTCAGCTTGCCCTACCCGTCCTTCTCCAAGGCTCATAGCAAGGAGGCCATCTCCAAACCGAACATTCCTACGCCCGATCCCACCGACCTGACCGAGAAAGGCGATGATGCGAATGAACACAGTCACCCCCGCACAGAAAATCACCGTGCCCCTCCCAGCCCCCCGTTGACGAGTGTCGACCAGCAGTCCTCCCGCAAAGGAAGCACGGTCGGAGACCGCGACGAGAAGAAAACAGAGACGGGGGACAAGCCTAAAGAGAAAACAAAGATCCGGATCAGAACCGACTCGACTAGGTCGTCGTCGAGTCTGCGCTCCAAGAAGGATGACGGGGTCAAGTCCACATCCACCAGCAGGCCCGCCCGGCCAGAGACTCCCCCGAAATCCAAATTGTCCAGCCAGGAGAAGGAAACTCCATCTAGGACAACCAGTCACAAGACATCCAAAACCAAGATTGCTGAAGATATCAAGGTGCCCAGGCGGTCGAATAGCCATGCTGCCATGTCGCCGCCCCGATCCTCAGTGACAGCTCGTGATATAGGATCCGAATCAGCAAACGGCTCCGATGCCACCATTGCACCCCCTCAGCAGTCCACCAGCTCCCGCAAATCTAAGAGTCCTGAAAAGCCACCGTCACGGAACCAGAACCGATCGTCCATGTCCTCCCATCACCACTCTTCTCGCAGTCGCACTCCGGTCGAAGCAGCATATGAGTATGGACGCCCTCCCACAGCCAACTCCGCCTTCGGTGCCCCTCCCCCGCCTCCTCCCCCGCCCGAAGTCCCTGTGTCGATACCGAGAGTCGACTATTTGCTTCAGAATGGTGGACTCGATTATCGGTTGACCAAGACACTGCTGATGGGTACTGGAGGCTCGGAAGCCACGGCAACTCGGGTTTTTGAGCCTTACAACCGGCTCCTAGATGACTACCAAAAGGTTATGAGCAAGAGCGGCTCATTGGCGGTGGCCACTGGATATCGGTCGGTTGCCCGTCGCCTGCTTGATCGATTGGAAGCGGTTTTCGCCCGTGACATCTCGTCGGAGTCATGCCATTGTCTGATGTGTGACCATGAGGAGACGGAAGAGCGCCAACCTGGAGTGAGCTGGGGTGAAGTTCTCGAATTGGTCTCCGGTCGCAAAGAACTGCCCGCTTGGCCACCATTTATCATGGCACCAACTGCCAATGAGCCCGCTGGCGAAGAACACATTCCCATGCAGAAGATGGATATTGACGTTCCGGAAGAGTACCGCGAACACTTCCTTCGACAGTCACGCAAGACTAAAGTGGCAGTCGATAAGTGGCTTTCGGAGCAGGCAGGCCAGTCTACTAGCGCACCAGTCGAGGTGGATGATGAGACTTTGACCTTTGCCATGTTGACGCATCTTGGGTCTGAGCAACGGCCTCGCTTCTGTGCGCTGCTAGGCATGAAGTCCGCTATCCCTACACCCCGGCCAGAAGGACCACAGCCACACCCGAAACCTGAGGCACTTGTGTCATCATCATTGGCTATCCAGCGACTATACCGACTTTCGTCTCTTCCCCGTGATCCAGAGACGGCTATGTACATGCTGAACAACCACACTATGCACCACGTGCTAGCAACCCTGGCAGCTATCAGCGACGATGAATGGGATATTCTCATTTCGGGTCGTTTCGACGGATTCCTTCGCAGCGGAGCAGAAGACTCGACTCCTTCGCGATGGGGTAGCCGATCGGGCACGCCTTTCACCCCCGGCGGGATCTCACGGGGTCCAACACCTAGCATGGATCGGCCGTCCAGTCAGCCATTTGGTCCAAGTTCGTCACCAGCGTCCTTTGGAGGGCCCATTGCTTTGGATGAAGAGACAGAAGTTGCCGCTCTGGCTGAAATCGAGCGCGACATCTACCTCGGAATGGAAGCGCTAGAGGACGCCTTTGAAGCGCTACACTGCAAGGCCGAAGTTGTCCGACGTGCTCTGCGCGAACGTGGTGCAGGCTTATCGGTTGCCACTCAAACCCGTCGTGGATCATACGTCGAGGCTCGACTGGGCACACCATCCTCCGCTCAATGGGACAGTGGAGACGATGACTTCCTTGATGACATTCAGTCTCTTGCTCCGGATGATTCGGCGAGTAACATCAGCTCGAACCGCCGCCGTCGACCAAAGAGACGCACCGAAAGACGAACCCCAGCTCCGGTTGAGGAAGAAGACGAAGAAGAAGACGATAGATACGATAGCCGTCGGGATGGCCGAGGATCGCGGAGGAGGTAATAAGAAAGGGCAAGGATAGGTTTTGTTTTCCCGTACAGTGATTGATACCCATCTCGGCGGCGAGGTTCATACATGTGCCAAACATATTTCCCTTTTTGCACCTTTTTTCCCCAGCGTTCACGAAATGTATTTGATGAGAGGAACGGAACGAACCACGAATGATATGAAATGAGATGAGACCGGCTATGAATTTTTAATTCGCTGTATGTACATGCTTGCAGAATGAACATCGTTTTCTTTTTTTAATGGTGTATTCTATTGAGATTATGTAGTATCGTTTCATTTTTTGTTATTTGTAATACTAGATGTAGGGATTATCGATAGTATAGAACTGCAGCATTGAATCTGTCTATCCTGTATTGTTGTGGTAGGGGTTGTATACATCGAGTTCGTAAATATATACTACTCACACTATGTAAGCTGCCTAAGACGAGAATATATATTGACTCAATAATACACATTTCCCAGGCCATCTCTACTTTTTGATGCTATAGAACATGCTTCGAAGCAAGATATTATAAATATTTGAATATATAATGATCATAGTGCCATAGCAGCACTACCCTCGCATGCTTGATAATATATATACTGTAGTAGATATACTACAGCATGATAACCATTGAGCAAAGAATAAGTCTGCTGAATTCCTATGGAGCTTCTTTTTATTATATACAGCACGTTATTGTTGGCTAGTTCTAGACAGCCAGGATTAGCGAGATGAGGTCTACAGAGGCCACTGCGATTTTGGATAGTACATATTTTCGTCGAACGTATACTCATAGTTCTAGCTTCACAGATCTCGTAATCTTGGAAAGAATAATCTATGAAATAGGCAGCGCCATAGATGCAAGCAAGAGCAGGTAGCTATCATAGTGAAGTATGTTGAGCGTAAACTGCAAATATCCTGCGCTTCTTCATCTCAGAGCTATGAAGACGGCTATTCTACAATCAAACCCCCCTCCTCCTGTATAGGTAAGAGACAGCTTACAGAACACTAGATAGGAATTTGCCTGGAACTTCGTAATAGAGAAATTGGATTCCAATGTCCTCCGTGTCTTGGGCGTGCGTATTCTATCCCGTATAGTCCAGCATAATGCAATTATGCGAAGACCAGCCAGAAATGGCTACGTGAATTAATTTGTCAATAGTCGAGAAGCACTCGACCTCCTTTCCAACGGCTGAAAAACGGGATTGGTAGTGTTTCAGGGCTGTCTATTTCCTTCCTATGTTGGAGTAGTGCTGACTTCCGGGGTGTTATCGATGTTCTAATGATGCCGGATTGCTAGGCTGTAGCCTTGCAGGACGCGGAGAGGATCTCATAGTTGTCCAGAGCAGATAGGGTAGCTGAGATTAGTATCTTCATGACCCAAAAGACCGGTTAAAGTATAATGTGGCGTTAATTTAGCTTGAGAAAGTAAAACAACATGGCCTGACTCTCATTTCGCGCAGCCTTGCTTCTTTTGCCTCTATATTTTCTAGCATAAACCTTGAAGATCTGGAAGGCTGGGTCGATGCAAAAGATCACAGGGCATAAGCTCACCGGGGAGTCAGGTAAGTAAAACTAAACAATTCAATCTTTGCAAGGCCCCGTGGTGGCCCTGGCAAGACGGCCGAGAATGCGTTCCATGGATGAGCGTTGACTGGTTCCACCCGTGGGATCTCGGAGTCACTCCCGTGGTTTTAATAAGACCCGCGCTTCCGAAAAAATAAAATCACCACCTTGCTTTACTACACCATACATACTATTTTAGAATAAAAATACAATGATAAATATGAGAAAAATGAGTAGAATAGAAGGCTTAACATGGTCAGTAGAGAGAAGAATGGATTAGAAGATAAAAAGTAGAGAAATTAGTAAGAAAAGAGAAAAAGTAAGAGAAAAGGAAAGAGATGGTATTTTTAAAATAAAGAGAATACCATATAAAATAATAAAACTAGTTTTTAAACCAGTTTTATTGAGGTTTTATAGGGTATTCTATAGCAAAAGTTCTAGAATACCCTTAAAAAATCGTTAGAATCTTAATTGACAATATTTTACCCCTTTAAAGAAAAAAGTAGTATAACTATTATTTAGCCATAATGAACCACTGACTCAAGTATTAAGATAATATCTTAAGGCTACGATTGGATAATAGATAGATTTCAAATCAAATTTAAGGTTATAAAGGAGTGGCTTTTTAAGAAGAAATTCTTAATATTTTTACTAAAACCTATGGAATACCTGGAAAAGAAAGGTTAATATATATTTCAAACAAAACGAATAACTCACCTCTATAGAAATACTAGCTTTTTATCCAGAAAAGGCATGTTTCCATGTTAAAATGTTGATATCTAAGATTGTTGTTATAGGAGTCGCGACCGCATTTTTCAAAAGCGCGTGTTATGGAATCTACAGGAGTGACTCTATTTCCTGCTGGAAAAAAAAATGTTGGATCTGAATTTGGTTTACCGGGATAACTTCTTCTTTGGGCATTTTGGTTTTTGCGGTTTTTCTCGACCATCTTACGTATTGTAGACGGCATGTTCTTTTCCCTGATTGGGGCAGTAGTACGCATAAATATCGAATCATCGTCATAATCCCATCAATCTCGTAGGGCTACGAGTCAGTATTATGCATAGTGTGTTGAATATCGTCTTGACTCTTGGAGATATGGAGGTCGGGAACCCCCCACCAAGAAAGTGGCATTGCTTGTCCAAGACTATTGGATGCTGATAATAATGCCCATGTGCAGATCTTGGGGACTTTTCCTAATTCTGTGCAGGTGACTCCGTGCTTGCGATTATGCCATGAGTAGAAATGGCGATAACTGTTAATGCCGCGGAAAACTCCGCCTGTGTGGTTTGTTACGTAGAGCCAGGTTGCCAACACGGTATTCCATAGTGTCCCATGGCATGTACAGGGCATGCACAACCGGATGGATGAATGGTGAATATTTGACCTAGAAGTTGATGAAAGTTGCAAGCTGTTATGTGTTGTGTTGTTGTATTCGATACTTGCAAAGACCCAGCCATACGTCATGATCCTTCAAATGATGGCTCATTGTACTCGTTCACCGTGTACACTGACATTGGGGGCGAAGGAACGATAAAGCTGAGGACCGTTTTCAGCTCTGCAGGATCATGGGATGAATGTTTACCAAATCTCTGGAGTAATATGGGACCGTTGTGGAACAGTCCCACAGGAGTCCATAGCGCAGTGGCTTACATAGTAGGCAGGTGCAATGGCGCAAATAGGACCTGTAGACTTTTGGCCCATGGTCGAGATCCCGTCGATAATAACCCGTACATCAAATCCAATATTGGATGTTATTGTGTATTTGTGTTGCCTGCAGAGGCTGGAGTAGTCTGCAATGGGATCTTTTGATAGCGAGTCAGAAAAAAGCTTATTTGCTAGAAACCCCCGAGATGCCAAGCGTTAGGTGGGCAAATTTCGTCTTGGCCAGGGGTTCCAAGAGAAGGCTCCAAAAAAAAAAGAGGAATCGCGAGGAACTCCCAAGAATCTTGGAGTGGAAGAAAGCAAAAGGCCAAGAACGCCAGTCCAGCTTTAGAAAGAGCCGTGTAATGATGTAGTATTCACCACTACCCAGTTTGTAAGCATGCATATCCCCTGCCAGAACGGTCGAAATTGGTGTGGCGTCGACGTCGATCCTGGTGCATGGATTCTGGGATTCTGGAAATAATACCGATGCTCATCAGCAACGGCTGAGATGACCCGATTGTAGTGGTGTTATCCAGGCTTTAGGGGCACTGCTAATAGTGTTTACCGCGCCGTACCCGCCCGCGAAGAACAATTAATAATGATCTTCTTGAATGCGATTGTCCAAACCCACAGTCCAGAAGGACAATGTAATTAAAGAAACATGGCCATATCTATGATATGTATGGCCACGTTGAGAGATCGACTCAATTTGTTGGACTTCCAACTGACAAGACTGGGATTCTTTGGTACCTGGTCAGGGTTGGATAGACAGGCCCCTGACGGCCAGACAGACCCACACCCGTGGACGGCTATTAATGTACGTAGAAAAAATACCAACCAAGGCACAGAGTATGACGGCGAACAAGTCTCTATCCCGTGGAAGAGCAGCCATCTTAACACTGGAAGTCAAGAAGACTCATCCCCCCCAAAAGTTGTATTTGGGTGCTTTGGTATGTAGTGATCAATGTCAACTTATTTACTACTCCGTTGAAGGGCAGATCCAGTTTTTGTTTCCTTATGGGCCATTGCCGTCCGTTATGAAGTTGACTTATCGCCATTCGCCACGTACATACGGTGCCTGGAAGGTTGGCTGTGGTCGACCTGCCCGAAATATTGGTAATTGCATTAAGACTACCGTAGGTGCTAGTAATCCTTGTACGGAAACACATTCACATGGGAAATCGTTCATGTGTACTGTTGCCATTACCCACATAGTCAACAGTGGGAAGTTATGAGGGGATTATGGATGGCTGACCTGCCAAATTTCTGCATTAGCAACTTGACAGGGCCGCTAACAGATCGTTGACGGAATTGTACTGTTACACTGCGAGTGTAGTTGATAAAACTAGTGGACGGAATAGAGCGGATTGGGGGTCCAGCTGTAAGCAACTTTTTTGCGGTCAGTGAGGCTTGAAGCCGATCGGCAGTGAGTCACGGTAAAATTTATGGAAAGGGCAGGATTTGGAGATCTGCACAAGGCTGTTCAGACAAGTCCGCATCCCTCGAAGATTAAGATTATCTCGAAGGATTCAACTCAGCAGAGAGCCTCTAGCAGCGCCAAAGCAGCAATAGTAGACAATAGACACGGTGGCATGGTGACACTGGCATGTCCCAGGTGTGTGGATCGTGGACGGTCAAGCCGAGGTTCAGCTCTACAGGATCCAGTTTAGAATAAGCATCTCCTGCTGTACGACATTTTAACTGGTGCTGGGTTCTGAACTTACACCATTGATAGTATGATGATCGATGACTAGGTGGCGTGGCTAAAGGACATACTATGTAGAGTCCCTGATTGACATTCACGGAGTGCATGCCCGAAGACCACCGAATTTAGCCACTGAATATTGACACCGGTGGACACTGGACATTGGTGTTGGTTGGTGTTCAAGATGACTAGGCTGAAGCCAGAGGAGGATTATCACGAGTAGTGGCGAGAATGCGATCACAAGACGTGGAGATGTTGACTGTACATTGCTGAGCTGTCGTAGATCATGGTTACTCTCTGGTGGATGCAAATGGAGACGCTTGGAGAAGGCGAAAAAAAAGAAAAAAAAAAGAAAAAAAAAAGAAAACATGATATGTTGATCAAGAGAAGTGGAGGAGCCTTGAACGAAGGGGGAAAAAGCAAAAGAAAAAGAAGAAGAAAAGAATGACCAGACTGGGGTTCGATCCCAGGACCTTATCGGATTCAGTTGAAGGACTGTTAACGATACGTGATAACCAACTACACCATCCGGCCGACTTGATGTCACTTGCTTCTTATAAGTGCTTCATAATCCAGTGTAGCACATAGACATCCCAGCCGCTTTTGTTTTGCGGTGTCTTTTGACATCTCCAACATCCCGTCCCCAACTCCCCATCCTAGCAGCCCTCAACAATGAATTCCATCGCCCAAGCCGTCTTCAGACTTTCTGCCCCTTGATTCATCTCTATTCAACACCATTTAATATCACTCTAACTGTGTCAGCGATCCTGCTCTCAAAAACGACGGCTTCGAGACGATGTGTCTCGGCTTTCAGTCGATCCCAAGTTAGTCGCTATCCACCAATGCGGGGTGCAGTTTAAATGTCTCACATAACATGTAAGTTCAACCACTTCATTGACATGACTTGGTGTCCAAGTGCTAGTGATTTCTAGCCTGTATCCACTATCCTCTCATTGCTTGCTCTTTGAATTTGCTTCAAGTTGATAAATCACTAACTAATTCCCTTAACGCTGTTGGTACTAGATGGACAGGCCTGACTAGCCGGATCGCCCTCGTACAGTCTGTCCTCATTCCACAAAGGGGTAAATTTCGTACGGCCACGCAACCCGAAACCCGCGTTGTTTCTTCGGAAATTCCTACGGCCCCTATCAGATATTGTCGGCAATACCCATGGCCGACCGATTTATAAATGCCGCCCACTTGGTTTGTGGCGCGAATAATCAAAGTACCTGGTAGCAGCATGCTCTGCGGTGCTAGCTTAGCCCTGCGTTCGTGACACTTGACAGCCAGGGTAACTTCTGTCGGCATGTCTCCGTTTGGATAGCAAAGCTCGCAACCATGGTCGAACAGCCAACATTGACCATGCTGTGTCGGTGCAGCCCGAAGTCTAGTTTTGTCCAATGACAATGGTGCCAGATTATCAACATTGTGTCACGGTCCATAAGTCTTTCATTATTACAAGACGTGATACCAATTTGGTACAGGCATACTCTAGTAGTCAACGGAAAACGGATCGACCAGGGCAGATCTTGACTCTTCTGGAATTGCCATTGCGGTCCCACATCGATATTTCTGATCAAAATTACTTTTTTGCTCCCACTAAAGAAATTCCTCGGTAACCGGAAAGAGGATAATTTTGTCTTTCCCGGCTCCTTGACAATCTTGCGGGGTCACCGTGGCCTTGTATTCCGTCTGTTTTTCAATTCCGCCTCCTCGATCATCATGGTGTGGCAAATTCTCCGCCCCCGATCATGATATCCGTGTTGTTTTGCAATGATAATACATTTATTAGTTCACATCCCACAACAATAATAGGCCAGGGATTCGAATCCATCCGCTCGGATTCTAGAAATAGTGTCCTTGGTCTCCATGTAGAGAGAGTTCCCAGGTCAATAATAATTGAATACCGTTGAAGCCATAACACAGATAACAACAAAGCAAACGACGCCTTGTGGGCTATGGCGTACTAAAAGAGACGAATCATCTCACAGGCCAATCAGCCAGGCAAGCCACTGCGGAGTATGTTTCTGAACTGGGTGTATAGGGGCAAAGATCGTTTTTTGTGCCTGGTATAGAATCGAAACTACTGTACGCACAGCTCGAGCTCGTGTTTATGCCTGTACTATCTATGTACACACCCATGGTTGTAGGCAAGCCTAAGATCAAGAACTCCGCGCGGCATGAGGAAGAGCCACCTGCAGAGTTTGGTTTCAGACTTCTATTCGATAATCCCTGGCCAAGGTTCCCGCTATCGATAGCATTATTATTACGATATTATACACTGAAAAGCTGAACCCCTGTCATGGGAGGGACACGACTTGTGGAGACGCTTTCACGGCCTGGGTCTTGTTAATAGAGTTAATATGATCGTTGGTCAACTCTGGATCGAGACAACTAAAGTCCCAGAACCAAGCAGAAGCTTTGCGCGGTTGGAAGTCTTCTCCACGTCGCCCACCATGTATTTCGGCATGTGGCTATTTGCTCCGGTGCTATCGCAGTTAATAATTTCTAATTGTGCGGCGCTGATTTTCTTCTCCTCTGCCCTTCCATCTTCTTGTTTTTGGGTTTTTTCTCAAGCTGGGTGATCTCTGAATCCTACTGCTGATTCGACCCCTGAGACAAGTCGACTTCCCCAATTCGAAGGAGTTCTGGATCGCAGGCCTGGCGACCTTTTCTATATCAGACCACCGGATGCTTCCGGTATCTTTGTCAGTGTGTTTCCTGAAGATACCATCCTGTCCTGCCTTCCAAAGACGCTCGTTACCCTTTCCCAGTTCAACAAGAGGATGATCGTGAGGTGCTCGAATTTATCATCGAAAATCACTTAACAATGAGTCTTATTCGGGTCTTGAATTTTATGCGCACCCGCGATGCCGACGAGGGCAACGCTCTGATGCCCCGTGTTATGATGGATATCGACCCTCTACCGGCTGATCAACACCGAGGATTGGTAGCTATAGCGGTCTTCGCGCTGATATCCCTCATCGCGACCTTGGCTCTCATTTCGTTCATTACATACCGATTGATATTCTGGCGTTCCAACTATGCGAGATACATCGGTTACAACCAATACATTATTCTTATCTATAATCTTGTGTTGGCCGACTTGCAGCAATCGCTCGCCTTCTTGATTTGTTTCAAATGGATCACAGAGGACAAGATCACAGCTGACTCAGCGGGATGCTTCCTCGAAGGATTATGGCTGCAGATAGGAGATCCTGCCAGTGGTCTGTTTGTGCTCGCCATCGCCATCCATACGTTCCTTCTGGTAGCTTTGGGACACAAGATGAGCCATAGGTCTTTCGTCATTGCGGTTGTTGGCCTGTGGGTCTTCATCGTCGTTCTGGTCATCATTCCGCTGGCTTCTCACGGGCGATACGTTTTTGTTCCTTCGGGAGCTTGGGTAAGTTGCAATTTTGCTCCTTTGTTAGGGAAAAATTCGCTAACATATTGGCTCTCAGTGCTGGATTAGCGAGGAGTATGAAGCCGTCCGGTTATGGACACACTATATCTGGATTTTCCTTGCGGAATTCGGCACTGTTTCTCTTTACGCCATTATGTGGTTTCAATTGCGTCGAAGAATCGCCCAATCAGCCATTCTTGGAAGCAGCCACACGGAGAGTCTCCGTCGCCTTCGCCGTGTCATCGGATACATGGTTATCTACCCTATTGCTTACATTATTCTCTCGCTTCCCCTTGCCGCTGGACGTATGGCTACAGCTCAAGGTAAAAGCCCAAGTATGGTTTACTTCTGTGTTGCCGGTGCCGTCATCACTAGCTCTGGCTGGGTCGATGTGCTTCTTTATACCCTCACACGTCGCAACTTGATCATCGAATCCGAGCCAAGCAATGACCGCAGCTACAACAAATTTGCAAGCAGCAAGGGCCGCAAGACGGACAATCACCTTACCACCATCACCGCCGACCCGAAGCTCACTCGGACCGATATCAGCGCTCTGCGCACCCATAGAGGTCGCGACGACGAGGACGATATTATCGACCAAACTATGCGCGATGGCTCCACGGACAACATCGTGCAGAATGGTGTCGAGATGACGCCTATCGGAAAGGTGTATCAGCACACTACGATTGAAATTACATCCGAACCAGCATATCCGGACGCGGGTGAAGGAAGCGACCGATCCAGCAAAGGTTCCATGAGCCATCCCAAAAGTCCCGACCCATCTTCTAGGATGTGGGGGAGATAGGTGGCAATGGCTTCTGCCCCATATATTTTTATACGTGTTCATTCCCTCGAAAGGCAGAGCTTGGATGCCAGATTAATGCCGACGTGTTATGTTCTCTTTCATACCCACCCCTATTTTTCCTTATTATATTTCCTAATACCCCTGTCACTTCCTGAGACCTGATGTTCATTTTGGTCATGACGCCTTGTGATTCCATACTTCGACGAAATTTCCTTTCTTCCTTTTCCTTTTCTATTATCCCAAGGTGATGGTTTGCCCATCGGCCATCTACACTTCACTCCTGTATATATACTTTGTATCTATTACCTTTCTGGATGGACAGACAACCGAAATGTCTTGCGATGGTCTTGATGAATGGGTTTTTTGGACGGCACTCGGCCGACTCAATGGCTGGGTGAACCCATAACAATTGAACAAGTCTTATTATCATAAGACGAATTTATACTACAAGATCTCATTTCTATAAACAAGGAAGAACATGTACTGACGACATAGGTATGCATGCGTCTACCTGGCTACCTATGGCCAGCCACTGTGCATTGGCTAGGGCGTCGAGCGAATCAATGCAATGTCTGACTACGCCCACGAAACTTGAGAACTAGAAGATTTGCACATTGTCTGCTGAGATTTACCAAGAAAAGGATTTTCAACATTGCTGCCAGCATTAACAATTCAAAACTGATTATTGAACCTAAACGGAAGCAATGACCAGATAGCTCCGCCTCCGAATACACTTGAGTCCAGACACAGAAACAACAACCTCTTTTAACAGCCTGAACGGTCAGTATGCATAGAGAAGCCCTTCCTGACTCCCCAAAATATTGCCCCGCAGAATCTTCTTATTGGTGTTTTGAAGCCAAAATCGCAACCCCCAGGCGGAGAGTATCGTGACAAGACCAAAGGCAGAGTTACTCGCCATCCCGATAAGGTATCTTGGTCCATCGCTGCTGGGATAGAGGTATGCCGTGTATATGTATGATGCGTTGGCTATGACATTGACAAAGGACAACGATGCGGCCTTTTTCTCGGGAGTTTGACCTAACGTGGCGGTCACCCATCCCAGAATCATCGAATTTACCGAATACGCCCCGCTGGTAAACAAGAAACAACTGAGGTATCGCGCCGCGGTGTTGAGAGTAACGCATGAGATGATGAATCCCACAACGGCAACTCCCATACACCCCGTGATGTGCCAGGTACGCTCGTTTAAGCGGCCGGATGTGGTACCGGCGATGATGGCTACCACTCCTGAGACCAGGTAGGGAGGACAGGTCAGGACAAGGGTGATGGTGTCGCTGAACCCCAAGCTCTCGATGACAGTAGGGAAGAAGTTGTTAAACCCGCAAGCGCTAAGATGCATATTCTGCATTAAGGCAAGGAGGTAGAGCCGGGGGTCACGGAAGGCCTGTTTCAAGCCTGCCATTACACCCTGTGATTGCTCGCTATCAACCGTGTCCGCTAGAATGCGGCTGTGAGCGAGTTGTCGTTCCTCTGGTGTGAGCCATCTAGTCGCCAGGGGATGATCTGGTAAAAGGAACATCCCGAGGATTGCCGTCCCAAAAGTGACCACGCCTTCGATAATGAAGAGCCATTGCCAGCCTTTGAGACCGTGGGTGCCATCGAGGGTAGCGAACGTGGCGGCTGCAATGAGACCCGAGAATGCGGTGCTGACAATATTCCCGGTGTACAATATGGACAGCCGCAACGCAATCTCCTTGCGAGTATAGAAGAGTGAGAAGAGGAAGAGTGCTCCGGGGTAGAAGGGGGCTTCGGCGATCCCCAGCATGAAGCGGACTGCCACGAGGCCTCCGTAACTTTTTGTCAGGGCTGTACATGACGAGACGACGGCCCAGCTGGCCATGCAGACACTCATATAGAGAGAGGGTCTGACCTTCTTGGAGGACATGAGCATGTTGGAGGGTATCTGCATGAGGAGGTACCTATCATAGTCAGTATAGATTGACCGATGGCTAGGAGTGAGAAAGGCTAACCCAACAAAGAGGATTGAGATGCAGGTGTTGTATTGCGAACCAACAAGGCCAAGGTGCTCCTCCATATCGTTCAACCGGGCCTGGGCGATGGCATTTCGGTCAAGCTTTTATTGTTAACAGCCTGTCTCGCCTGGGGGTATTGACACATACATAGTTCAAAAAGTACATGGCCCAGACGATAGGCATTATGTGAAAGTCCAACTTGCGGACTAAACGAATCTCTCGAGGGTCTGTCTTGGACGTAGCCCCGGAGTAGTCTCCCAAGACCTTGTTGTTCTTGACAGAGTCGACATTCTCAATATATTCGGTCTCTTTCTTGGTTGCATCCATGACTGCGATTCTGAACAAAACAACCGCACTTGTCGATTCACCTCCATGGGCATAACGCACTATATATACACAATTCAACGGCTCATACAAGGCCTGCGAAATGCCGACAAATCCTGTACCCCGCGTTTCATCCCCAGATATCCAACATCTGGGGTAATTGAATAGGACCCACGTCCGGCAATGAAGCTAAACATGCGATATGCCTGTCAAAACGCAAAGGCCGCTATCCAGGAAGCCAATCAAATGCGACAAAGGATGTTAATGAATCTGGGCGCAAGATATATCAGGCTCAAAATTCATCCTATGCCGTATGGACTCGGACATTTTTACCACCGGTTGATTCCTTGGTTCATCTTCCGGTGTTGAAAAGTCCGGTTGGATGAAATAAGCAAGCCACGTGGCTGCCAGAAGAAATAGCATTAAGAATGATGGTTCCTTGTTTCGCATATGCTGATTCATTCAGGATGTGGCGCACTGATAATAGATTCTTTGGTACGGAGTACGCCTGCTCAAAATTGAAGTATATATGTACCATCGGAGTGCGGTGAGACACCACCGATATTGCATGCCAATCACTGAACCTGTCATCTCGGCGCCGGAAGGCTTGCCATTCTTTATGCATTAAGCTATCAAGCATCGAAATAGGGTGCCCGGATCGTTCATCTAAATGCGTAAGCCATTAATCTTACACGCCCTTGATCGACCTGCCAACTGAGCTTAAATCGAGCATCTTTGGTGGGTCACGGATCAAGCTAGCTGACAAGGCAAGGCAGCAACGCCGTGAGTGCAATTGTATTTCCGAATAGCCTGGTTCATAACACTTCATAGTGTCGCCGGCCGGAGTTCGGATGAACAAGCTTTCCATGCTTCCTTGACACCTTCGCAAGGTGCCACCCAAACAGGCTAGCGTGTGTTTCGGAGGCACCGGACCTCGGCACATCCGACTGTGAAAGTGAAGACCAGGCGTTCTTAGTCACTGGCGGATACGCGGTCCCTGGATTCATAAGAAAAAGGAGAACAATTCGAGTCCACAAGGGTCCAGCTGCTCAGTTCTCGAACGTTTTGATTCGCAAATCCTTGGGTTGTTCTAAACTTAAATACATGACGCCGTTGATGAACAGGATATACTGCCGGGCGGTATGCCGAATTGGGTTACGCGTCATCTGACTCTGCCTAGGATGATTATTCGATAGCAGGACCCTCCATCTTCCTGAATTTTGCTCTTATTACTCTCATCCATGCCCGGAGAAGGGGTGGCATTGATGTACTCAATGGCCCAATACTTCGAGGTCAATTGACCGGCTTTTATGGTTGCCTGCATGAAGCAAATCTTGCAACCGCCACTCCACATAGATCTGACTGATACATCACGAAAATCGGACATTTTGACCCACTAGTCTCTGTTGACAGCCTCGAGTTGACAAAAGTTACAGTGGTGTTTTTTTACTATCATGGTATATGAGGGAAAACCAAGTACGGGGTGTAAGCTTTGCAGAAAGCGCAAGATCAGGGTAGGTACTACTGTCGTGTTTTCCTAGAACCCTAAAATCTAGATAACTAACAACCTTCTTTACTTCAATAGTGTGACGAAGCGAAACCTGGATGCAAAAGATGCATGATCTACGGACAAGAATGCCCTGGATATGCGGATACATTTGTATGGCGATCGGAGAAACCTAACAAACGAGATCCCAGGAAAGCGTGCAAGAAGAAGAATAGGAAGGACACCGGTGATGTGCTTTGTATCAGGTCCAAACCTGAATATTCGTCAGACGAACACTCCCACGGAGACTCAAATGGCTCGCCAAGCTCATCTCAAGGCATTTCGACCACTCCGCTCCCAACTCGACCTATACCATATTCGCTGAGTTCTCTAGAGCAGCAGGCGCTCGGGTTCTTCTGTCATCAACATATCTTACCTGCCGAAGAAGGAATACCGTCGGGGCACTTATCGCATCTTCCGGAACTATACGTCCAACGCTGGCATTCTGATTGTTTTCAAAATGCAATGCTCAGCGTGTCGTACTTGACGCTGTTTAACTCGACCGGTTTCAAGCCGCTTTATATCGGAGCTCGGAAATATTATGGTAAGGCTATGGTGGCCCTGAGAGATGCTCTACGGTGCCCTGTGGCAGTTTTGGAGGATGCGACCCTTGCTTCTGCGTTGGTGTTGAGTATGTTTGTGGTATGTAAACGCCAATGGATTGTTGCTCATTGCTATACTGACAGCGCTCGAAGGATTTTTCCGGGGAACGAGAGCAACTTTACAACTCCCATACGCCAGGAATACACGCTTTGGTTCACATTCGAGGAAGGGAACAGTTCAGCACACCTCGCGGAAAAGCTTTATTTGGCTGGTCCTTCACGCAGCTGGTTCGTCATACTGTCAATTTTGAGAGGGCCTTATGCTTATACAATCTAGCAAATCCAAGCAGTTGCGACCGGACAGGCCAAATATGCCCATTTCGAGCCTCTTCTCAACAATATCATGCCTTGCGATGGTGATATGCTCACAGGCGTCGAACTACTTTCCAACAGAATACTGTCCCACCGTCGAAGATTCATAGAGCTCTTGAATATGGATTCCGAAGCATTGGCAGATCTCATCGCTCATTCAATTGATATGCGAGAGAGGATATGCAGTCTTGTGTCGGATGCGCGGGATATTTTGAGACAGATTAATGAGTGGGAGGACGAGGCACCCGAGCATTGGAAACTAACCAGGTCCAATTGTCTGCCACGAAGTCGGTGGGCAGCGGGGTTTCTAGCTCTGGTTCGTGCCATTCAAACGGTATTCTACCTCAGCATGCTAGATTTGTGCAATCTTGTCGACCGGACCGACTTGATCGACTGCCCTGACATGAATATTCCGGCCGTGGTCGACATGCTCGAGAATCAAATCAAATGTCTACTCGACGATATCTGTGATAACATCACACCAGCACTCAGAAACATACCAGAACAGACTTCACCGAGGTCACTCGATATAGGCAGTTCCGCAGGGGGGTATCTCATACTTTGGCCTATGTGGTTTGTGTGCAACTGTCTATATTCTTCACCCGAACAGGTATCTCAGAGCCGAACTACCTTACAACAGATCGGCGAGAAGGTGGGAAACAAGCTCGCATTTTCCCTATTGAACCAACAAGTTTCTTTCACACAATTGCATACTGCAACTCTCATTTCTTGAACAATGCTCATTGTGCCTGTCATTTGCCAGGCATTTCCAATTTAAATGCGAACGGAGGACGACTTCATGGTGGATGATATTTGCTTTATTTGATCAGACCATCATCTATGGAGATAAAATTTGCGCGGTAACAGATGATGGGGATACCATGAAAGCTGGGAATCTGACTGTGGCGGGCTCAGACACAACCGCAGCCACGTCCTATCTTATATGGGCATTACTGTCGTAATCGAAACTGCAACACCAGCTAGAAGTAGAGGTTTATACCCTGAGTGTCGACCTTGACAAAGCTACTCTCAAGAGCCTCCTCGCTCAACGCAGTGATAATGGAGACATTGAGACTATGGAACTGACCGAGGGGCCTTACCTGAGAGTGTTCCAGAAAGGGGTGCATTGTTTTTTTGGGCTCTACATACCTTAGGGAATAACTGTGACTACCCAGAGCTACACGATACACTGAGGCGAAGCTCTTTTCTCCAATACCGAAACGTTCGATGCATCACGCTGGCTACCCGGTGGCAAAATTTATTCTAACCAAAGCCAAAATGGTCTTTTCGTCGTTTGGTGTCGGGTCACGGATCCATCTGAGAATTCACTGGCTTGGATGGAACTTCGAATGCCAATTGTGAAGTTCTTCAGTGATTGCCAGGATCGATTGGCCCTTGCAGAGAGCATGAAGCCGGAGAATTTCCTCTTGATCGCTCCAAAAGGGCATAGACGTGACAATATAGCATGCTGGTTGGGTCGAAGTAAGAAGAGAAATCAAACCGGCTCTATTTGATGTCAGGTTTATTCATTGGATGGCTACTCATAGCTTAAAGATAGTTTAAAACGAGCTTATTCTAGTCAAATTATGAAAGTCTTCGGAATGTCCGACGTAAATGCCTTGGTGCCTTAGTCACTGGGGTAGTTCGGGCCCTAAGCCCTCATTGTGGATGTCTCCACCATCTCCAAGTCCCCAAACCCCGACATCGTCGTATTTACGGCGTCCATCTCCAATTGGGATCTTCCCACCCTCCTATCAGGCTCTCTGTCGCAATATCTCCCGCAGACATCCTCACACCCTGCTGTTTGTTTCTCTGTCGATTGTCATATCGAAACCAGGTCCCCAGACACAAGATTACTGCCACACCCGTCAAGAGAAAAACGCAGTTGACAATCAGAGCCGGCATATACTTGGGTGCAGTACGGTCATCAAACGCCAAACTCGACGGAATGCCAGCACTATTAGCCGATCCAGCCATCAACCCTGTGATGGCAGCCCGCTGGCCCTCAACCACGATGTTATTCAGATGCCAGCTGTGAAAGAGAGCAGTGGGCGCAAAGGCCCCGCAACACAACAGGAAACAACCAAAGTACGCGACTCGCCTGTGCTTCTCCGCATCGATGCAGATCAAAATAATATACCCGACGAAGGTGATCATCAGCGCACCAGATAGGTGCAAGGATCGCTCGCGGAAATAGTCAGACGACCAACACAGAACCCATAATACGACGGTTCCCACCGCGTACGGGGCGACTGTGTACAGGTTCGTTTTGACGGTCGAGTAGCCCAGCTGTTGGACCATCTGCGGGAGGAAATTGCTAACGGAGGTCTGGGCGACGCCGTAACAGAAGCAGCTGATTGCCCAGACGATAATTCGCCAATCGATCAGTGCTTTGAGAGCGTCTTTGACGTTCAGCTTGTCGGTTGTCCTCACAGACCCATCTTGTAGCAGGCGGAGCTGGGCGACGTGTGACTCTTTCTCGTCGAACCAGTGGCACTGAGTGCCGCTGCGAGGGAGAAGCCACATGCCGGCAATGGCAATTATGACTGTGCAGCCTCCTTCTAAAAGGAACAGGTATTGCCAGCCTCGGAGATGGTGTTTAATCTGGAATACCCCGAAGGAAATGAGACCAGAAAAGGCTCCTATTTGAAGGTCTCATGAGTACGAATCGGGATACAAGAAACACTCAACCAGATATTTACCTGCAATAGTCACTGTCCCATAAAAGATGGAAAGACGAAAGGCAATCTCGTTTCTCTTATAAAATTGCGTGAGGTAGAAGACCACGCCAGCTACGCCGTACAGGGTGAGCAAACAAGTTATTCCAATGAAGAAGATCAACATACCCATGAAACCGGCCTCGAAAATCCCCATAAACACCCGACACACAAGAAGACCCGCAAAATTATGCACGGAGCATTGGATGAGTGTGATCGATCCCCTGCGTCACGTCAGTCAAGCACAACAAAATTCAAGCGCGACATAGTGCTACTACCATCCCAGCATCATCGAAGGCAACATAATCTTCCCCGAGTACTTCTTCAGAAGCAGATTCGAAGGGAGATCGAAAAGGCAAAAAGTGACATTGAAAAGCGCAAGGATGATACTGTATTGATTACCCCTCAAGTTGAGGTCATCGTCGAGGCCATCGGTTTTCGCATTTCCGAGGTTGCTTCGATCAAGCGAGTTGAAGAAGTACATCAATGAGAGGACGGGGAGAAGCCTATCCATACACGGTGTTAGTGATGATTCCGGGCAATAGATGGACTCCTGGTATATCCTCACCTGAAGTCCAATTTTCTAACGATGGACTTTTCGATGGAGGCATCGATTGCTAAGGATTCCACTGTACCAATGCCGGATTCCTCCGTTATTGATATAGGGTTATCCTTTGCATCGTCTTTGTCTGGCCTGTGGTTCTCCATGAGTGGATTTTATTAGTACTGTTATATAGTAGTATGATTACGGGATTGTCAAAGACTGTAGCAAATATTTCTGGTATTTTGAGTGAGAACTATCTAACTATATATCACGACAGAAAGTCAAAGATCAGTACAAAACGCCAAAGACTGCCTGATAGTTGGACCTGCAGCATATTATCTCTGGGCATTCTGTAATACCAATATCATAGCTACCCAGACGACACGAAACATATCACAGATACTTATCATCGTAAGTGGTGGTGGTTTAGCCGGAAGTCCACCGAAAGAGGTGATATCCTGAAGCGCCTACATGATACTCAAATTTGATACCGACAACCAGACGTCGAATCAAACAGTTAGACTATCCTGGACCAAAGCCACGGGGGTGCAAGGGTTTGGACGTAAGTGGTAAATTGGAGGCGGTTGCTTCCGAACAAACGTAACTGATAAGACACACAACCAGGTTGACCCCGCGTTCCCCTCACAACATCCCAGATTATCCCCGTACGCAAGGACTTTATCTCGCGATCTGGAGTAGATAGAAGCCTGCTGACCCATGAAGGCCTGGTCTAGAGGAGGACGCGAGGAAGGTCAAGGCGAAGACAGCGTTGCATGCGGTGCCTGGGTTGGAGGCGGTACGATAAGCGGAAGACGTTATTCGGAGACGAATGTCGCGATATAGTTAGTTACTCCTGTCGGACCTATGGAAGAGTATATTGTCTGATTTGTGGAGTAAAGATAAAGTTGGAGAACATCGGTCGGTCGGATATGTTTAAAGAGTGGCCTGTGATGCTGGAGAGTAGCAAAGACCGAAAAACTCAAAACAAGATGGCCTCGAGCAACCCACTTGCAGAGAAGAGTTCCCCAATTGTCATAATTGGGGCTGGTGTTTTCGGACTCAGCAGTGCTATTCATCTGGCAAAGAGAGGATTCACAAACGTCACCGTCTTTGACAGACAGCCGTACCATGAAACGCGATATGATTTTGATCGCGGCTGTGATGCTGCGTCTGCAGGTAGGTGGACATTGCTATGTCGGATTTTTCATATAACATCCAGGCTCACATAGTTGCAGATTGCAACAAAATCATCCGTGCTGCATACGGCCACGAAGTATGGTATCAGAACCTGACGTTGGAAGCAATTAAAACCTGGAACGAATGGAATGCCTCACTTGCGAATGGACAGAGGTTGCCACCTGGTATGACGAAGAATGAGAAAATCTATGTAAATTGTGGGAATTATCACATCGGGGACGAAGGGCTGAACCCTTTTGAAAAAATGTCTGTCGAAAACATCTCCAAGGCTGGATTGGGCCGTACACAATACCTTTTTACAGATCCAAATGAGGTTGCAAGGGCCCAAGCAGACGGGTTGGGCCATGCTGTTGACCCGTTCCACCAGTCAAAAGATGGAAAATATGACGGCTATCTGGATGCTATTGGCGGTCTGGTATATGCCGATAAAGCATGCCGATATGCACTCCATTTGGCACAAGAACTTGGAGTCAAGGTTATTCTTGATAAAAAAAGAGGTGCCTTCGAAAGCTTCCATGAGAAGAATGGCAAGGTAAACGGGATCATCACCGCTGATGGAAAGCTCCACGAAGCCGCCTTGACCATTGTGGCCTGTGGGGGCTGGACACCGGGTGTTCTCCCCGAGATCGATGGGCTATGTGAAACCACCGCCGGTTCGATTGCTATGCTTCAAATCCCGACCGACTCTGATTTGTTCAAGCGATTCTCACCGGACCAATTTCCGGTCTGGAACTACAAAGTAAGGGCGGGTCCAGCAGGAAACCTGTACGGCTTCCCAATCACGCCTGACGGCGTCATGAAGCTCGGATATCGAGGCACGAAGTACACAAACCCACAACAACAATCTAATGGTAGGGTTCGGAGTGTGCCCGTCACCAAGTGGACATCCCCATCGATTAGTGGGCTTCCCGAAAAATCAACGGAAGTGATTGGACATTTCTTGGATACTTATCTGCCTGAGCTGCGCGAGAATGGCATCAAAATAACCAACACAAGACTGTGCTGGTATACAGACTCGTTTGACAACCAGTTCGTCGTTGATGCTGTTCCGGATAAACCAGGCGTCATGGTAGCGACAGGTGGCAGTGGACATGGGTTCAAGTTCCTGCCTGTCCTTGGAAGGTTCGTTGCAGATCGTGTTGAGAGTATTCCGTCGGATATGCTGCAGCGCTGGCAATGGAGACAGCTGAGAGAAGGAGAGAAACCGTTCAACGTGTTAATGAAGGGATTTGAAGATCAAAACGCACTCCAAAAGACGAAGATGAAGCAGGAGCGGGATTTGAAGGATGATGGGGGGTGTAAGTCCAATTTGTGAGAAATCACAAAAATTAGCTCGGATCTATTGGCAATAATTCTCCTGTCATGAACAGTTGTCCAGGGAGATCCCTGTAGTCTGCACTCGCTTAATTCATCATCAAGTCAAATCTGAGATTGCAGAATCTTAGTCGCCAAGTCGTAACCCGAATGGTCCACTGTAAATCAAGCATTGTTCCTCAGCTGATATCCACCTGTAAGGGGGCATGTTGGAGCAACTAATGCATGCAACTGGTGAGCAACCCCCGACTGCCGGAGATGCAACTCCGGGCTGCTCTCGGGATTCGCTCACCACCGGGATTTGGTATACTTCCAATCGCCACGCAACCAAACGCCATCCATTCCCCCCCGCGACAAACGCCTTTTGATTAAACAAAAAAACCCCGACTTCTGAATGAGCCACAATGGACAGCGTATTCGAGTCAATGGCGGCAGCAATGGAGCCTAAGCGTCCAGGAAGGCGCAAATTCAGCAAGCCGCCAGTCAAGGTTGCTTGTCTTTCATGGTGGGTTTTTATCAAAGTCTGAAGGAAATAGGGATATTTCTGGCTAAACGGCGATTTGCTGCACCGCTGCAGTCGCTCACTGCGAATCCGTTGTGATGGACAGCCTCAGTGTTCGAACTGCATCACCAAAGGAGTGGCCTGCACCTATCTTCCGAGTAAACGAGGCGGACCACGGAATTGTCAAAACCGCAAACGCAGGAAAGAACTGCCCACGACATCGGACAGCACAGATACCGAATTTCAAAGCCAGGAATCTGTCGACTCTGGCACGTTAGTTACAGATGTCACTTCTGATGAAAATGGTTGATTTGCTTGCCTTGGATGGTTGACGTTGAGGCCTATGCTAATGTGGCGATAGAATGGTTCAACCAACTGGTCAACTTGAGTGGCCCCGGGGCAGGGCTGCGTAATGTCGAAACGCCCATTGCAGAGATAGAATCTATATTTGATTCTATATTTGCCTCGGATCCGGGTGCTCCTGTCGATACCAATCCTTCGGTATCTGATTTGGTTCAGATTTATGGGAGCAACGAGGACATGTAGGTCAACCCTGTTAAACCCTTTAAGCGCTCAGCATGCCTCAGACTGATCTTAAATAGACTGGATGCTTACTATGTATTCATCCACCCTTATTACCCAATTCTGCCCCCTCCCGAAAGGCTCCCGGTGTATAATCGACCACTCTCGTCCAAATCGACATTTCAGGCCTCCAGCCCTCTCAGTCTCGCCATTTCCGCAATTCTGGTTCTTATCCCTTATCCAGAAGAAAGAGAACCCTCTAGAGCGGAATATGTGAAACTTCGTCGAGACTTTGCACATTCCTTCGCAGTGTCAGCTCTCGAAGCCGTCGAAGTGGACTCGGAGCTGCTCGACTCTACCGATGATCCTGCAAACGCTTTATCAGATGGAACACAGAGGTTCGATCGCGAGCAGTTCCATCCAAAGGTTCCTGTGGCTGTGGAGAGTGTCCTAGCACTGGTTCTCTTGAGTGTGTACGAGTATTCCCAGCGAGGAAACATGAACAAAATGCGCAATCGTGCGGGCCAAGCGTTGACAACGGCGATTGGCATGTCCTTACAAGAGATGGTAGAGGAGGACGAATTTGCAGAAGCTAGAAAAAGGGCGTGGTGGATGACGGTTGGTTCTTGAATTCGCGTTGCTCCTGCCAATGCTGACGGTGGAAAGTACATGACTGTGTGTCAAGGGTCGATTGTCAGCAACACAGTAAGCACTGAAATCAATAATTTGTATAGCAGAAACTGACGGTCTAGCCTCCTGTATTCGATGTGTACGACCCTCGATTTGTGACTCCGTATCCTGAAGTGGGTTGATTTGTTGTGCGTTTGTTGAGAGTGAATGGCTGACAGGTCGCAGGGGTGGAAGATTCTGATCGAGGCACAACAAATCATCCTCGAAGCGACGACTTTCGTGCATGACCTTAACCAGGCCCATAACAGCAACTCCTGCTGCGAGTGGGTTCCCCGACGCATGATGGAGCTTGAGAGCCAAATCACATCTGCCTTACTCGCCTGTCGAGATTCAGCATCTGTGACACAAACGGCGCCCGTTGCTCTGGTTGACGCACCAGAGGTCGTTGTCTCCAAGTCCATCAAAATAATTGCTGAGATCAAACTGCACAGGTAATATGACGAGCCTCCTATTCAAATAGACACACGACTAATATTTCGCAGTGCCAAAATCAAAACGCATCGATTCTGTGCCTTCCAAGATATTCCGATTTTCTTCAAACGACACTGCGACTTGGAGTCAACGAGCAACTGCTGTGCGATGGACTTGCCGAAATCTGTCGGAATCCCCACTCCTGACCACTCTTCGCCTTCTTCTACAACCTCCAGTGTTCAGTTCCCTTTCTCATCCCACATCTCCTCCAAGACCTGTCTTCATGCTGCCCTCAGCATCGTTACTCTCCTGGACAATCTGCCATATCCAAATCCCTCAAACGAGATTCCCTGGACCGCACCACCATACCTATCGGCAGCATCCCGAATCGAGATTCCACGGACAATGCCAACATTTGCATGCTGTGCGGTACAATCGAGCTATGCGATGTTGATGCTGTGCTTCAAGGCACGATCCTTGAACCGGGGTAGTAATGATGAATTACAGTCGCCAGAGTCATCTACACTTACTGGATTCTTGAATGAATTGCAACAGAATTTAAGATTGGTGGTGAAATGCTTGACAAATTATTCGATTGCCTTTGAGGCATTACAGGGAATGCGAGGTACTACATTACCTGCTGTTTATTGTCGACTGATGCTGACTTTAATAGATGAAATACACCAGGCCATGGAACGAATCTTTTAGCGTTCCTCTCACTCTTCATGATACCCCAAAGCCTTCTATTCCTATATATATGATGATAGAAGGGGTTTTAGTACGTTTTATTATAATTTACAGATCACGGATCTGGGTTCTCCTCTCCCTTGGATATGATACCAAATGTGATAAATAAACGCTATACACTCGAAATACCAGTCTACTAACTCACGGAGGAATGTCAATTCCCTACCAGCCTGGTTAAATTGCTAGAATTTCTGGTTTATGCTAGCGTTCCTTGACCACGCAAGGTAACTGCAATTGCGTCTGATCTAGTTGCCAGCTCTTTACTATTCTATGCAGCTGAGGTCTACGTCATATACTCCAAGTTTTCACTTGATGAACAGCTCCAGGACAGGGTCAGGAACCCTATTGTCCGTCAGGTATATGGAATTGAAGTTGTAAGAATTGCAGGTGCACAATAGAAACTAGAATGCCCTTTTCATGAAAGAAGTGCAGGAAGATGATGATCGGGAGAAGGAAAGGTGAAGGGTAGATAGAATGAGAAGTAGAACCAAATATTCATCATTAAATTGAATGGTTAATACCACCGCAGACTGAATCTCATCGACGTTGCAGCCCCACCTCCTGATACATACCCACAACCTGCTGCTTCGCCATCTTTGCCATCGGCCACACTCTCCCCAGCACATTCAATCCCCCAACTCCCAGCTGAATTCTGGCCTTGAGTGATTCTTCCAGGTCAACTACCGGTGCCATCAGACAAGCAGCCGTATGGACAATTACACACATAGCCAGGGCGCAGGTGAAAAAAGGGGTGCGTTGTCTGACAGGAGTAGGTAGAGTGGCAAGATTTGACAACATATTGGCCGCTCGAAGAAGCTTCTGCGAGTGCAAGTCGAGGTCAGCAGAGACAAACGTTTCACCACACAATGCTCGGAGTCGAGTGCAGGATGTTTCTGCATGGAAGCAGGCAAAACGCATGTTGGAGCGGGGGTGATGAAGGTGGATCATGCCGCTATCATGGTTAGTTCACTGCTGTAAGCTGGAGATGATGCTACTCACAGATAGATAATCATCTGTATCTGGAAGGTCATTTCCTCGGATGCTGTTCCGTATACATCATGCTGGGAAGAAGGTAAGTGCATTAATGATGCAGCGAGGCTTGCGTCTGCGGTTTCAACCTTGTTTTGTACATCGATTTCTAACGAGTGGTTAATCTCTAGGACCATGCCCAACACTCGAACAGTATCGACCCGGTACGCGAACGAAGAGAAGATTTGCTGATTTTCTCCATAGGACCAGTTATGACGGAGATCTTCGAGATTTTGGTTGCAACATGCCAGCTAAATCGTTAGAAAGAAGTGAAATCCTGGGGGAGAAGCATACCGATTCTGATCTGTTATACGATTCCTCGTCACAGGGGAGGGACACATCCGCTTTCTGGCTGTACAGACGGAATGTGCTCTGATCTCGCATAGCTGCCAACAGACCTTCGACAACATACAGCTCCCAGTACGTCCGGCGCCAGCTTTCCTCGAATATAGAGCTTCCGAAAGAATTCTGCTCAGCGAAGGATGCACGGTTCATACCAAGATCGAGGGACAACTGGATGGTAGCCTGCATCGTCTCATGCGCACGATCCTCTTTACAATAGGCATGAGTCATAATAGCAAGTAAAAGCATCCCTTGCACTTTAAAGCCATCTCTTGGTGTTGTCTCTGACATTGCTACGTGGGCAGATTCCCGGAATACCTCTTTGAAAGATGGATCGGAATGGTAGTGAGCGCCGATATAGCGCATTATAGACAACATATACGCAGGTATTCGGCGACAGAGGGAAGTGTTAAGAGCTTTTCTGGGGATCAGAATTGGGTGTGATCGATGGAAGTTTTGATAATAGAGCTGGATCATTGGGTCGAACGCAACATCGGGTGTCGTTAAATGCTCTGGTTCTGTCCAGGTAGGCGTATAATCAGGGAGTCTGGGGAGCTCGAGATCCAGTGTTTGAGGCGTGTTTAATGCTTGGAATATCGATTGATTTGGCTGCTTTTATCAGCTTTACATTCAGAAAACATTTCCAAGGGTTATATACTTCTAGATCTGTCGGCATAACTGTTGCATCGAGCCAGTCCAAAGCATCCGTGCTAATATCCGGGAATAATGGAATATCGTCATCCAAGAGTTGCGGTGAATGGTTCTTATTTTTCGATCGCAGTCCTCGTTTGGAACGAATATATTGACATTCTATTCTGGATGACTGGCAGCGACTGCAGGCCGGCATTGCGGCGTCGCATTTCAAGTGGCGACGGCGACATGGCAAACATGCCAGCGACGAAGGATGGCGGGAACGAGGTTTTGTTTCTGTGTTAACTCCCTGCATTCTGATCTTTATTTCTTGCTAACATTGAGAGATTCATTTCAGCTATATATTTAGATATCGGCCTCTAGACCTTGGGACGACATGCTTATGCATGCCCGAGATCCCCGACTCGGCGACCAATATCGGGTATTCCAAATCATTGTACCACAGACAGATATCATCTGAGCCTGTCAATCTGAGTAGTCACATTGAAAGTAAACATTGTAGCAAATTACATATTGAGCCAATGCAAGCAGGTCAGCACGCTAATGCACAAACATATCAGGCACATCGACGAGGAAATTCAAAAACACCCGGCTGCCATGTATCTTCCGCGGCATTCTTCCTCCCCGAACATTAACCTGCAGCGCTTGATGTATCAATCGGGGCTCTTGGAGCTGTCGATCTCTTTCTGTCCTCCACCTGACAAACTCTTCCTCGGTACTAGCTGACCCTGCATGCTTATTGCGCTCATTTTGTTCCTCGACTGTGACATACGGCATTGGCTCTCGGCATGCTACCTGCTCATGGAAAGGGGGATAATCGTGTCCCGTGTATAGCTTAAAACTAGGAGGCAGAGACAGGAGCTTCTTCATGGACTTGTAGAGCGTGCGCGCATCTCCCCCGGGAAAATCACACCTCGCACTGCCCACGTCGGGGTTGAAGATGGAGTCGCCGGTGAATACATTCTCGCCGATGATATACCCAACATGATCCGGTGTGTGGCCAGGCAGATGGAGGACCTTAGCAGAGATCCGTCCGACATTGAACACCTCGTCATTGGCGAAAAGGTGGTCGAATGCGTTGTCGAGATCACCAGCGGGGATGTCATATTTCGGACCGAATAGTTCCTGGACTGCGAGGATCTGCTGGCCGATGCAGATTTGGGGTTGAGGTTTTCCGGAGGCGACGAGAGTCTGCTGGAGATAAAAGGACGCAGTGAGATGGTCTGCGTGGGCGTGTGTTTCGAGGATGTGAGTGATGGTGTATCCCTGCTGGGCGATGAGACCCAGCAAACCATCGGCAGAGTGGGTATTCACGGTGAAGGTAGAAAGCTCAAAGTCGAGGACAGGATCAATGATGACCGCATCTTTAGTATCCGGACAGGCAACGATGTATTGCCATGTGCCGGTGGTCTTTTCGTAGACGGTATGGATGATAGGCTGCATGGTGGATGCTGTGTTTTCGACAGTCTACCTACTACATTAAAGATGACTCTACAGGAGTGTTTTAATAGATGATCAACATCGGCGAGGTAATATTATGAACGGCGACTAGGAAGAGCGATGACATGATGACTTCATTCGCTGCATCGGGGATGGTTCCGGATGGTCCCCGAGTGGCAACCAAAAGACCGACATCAACATCCAACGATCAAGAGATTATTCATCCATTCCACAGAAACTATGCCTCTCTTTCTTTGTAACAGAACTATATGCAATAAGTAACATGAAGTAACACACAGAAATACAATATAAGACTCACCCCCTGCTCTGGCCCAACAGCCGTACACTTGAAGCCCTCGCAGCAATTTCCCCTGGGTCCTTGAAAGTCGTAACAAAGCCTTCCTTCTGGAAGGCAGGCAGCGCCGGTTTCACCACTAGGATTGGGATTGGCCATGGCGGTGGAGAGGATAGCGGCGACGACGATGATGAGCTTCATGATGTTGATAGTTCTGGATATGCTAGTGACTTTGTAGTATGTTTGAGGATTTCTGGGGAAGAGTACTCTGGGGAAAGATGTGTGTATTTATATTTAATAAGGGCTCAACTTAATGCAAGCTGACATTCAGAGTAGCACAGGGAGGCCTGAAGAATACGAGATGATCGTCTTCATCTTTCCAATCGACATTATGATATAAAAAAATCCTCCATTCAGATTCAGTCCATCCAGTCTTGGTCTGCATATGCATATGCAGACAGAGTCATCAAGATCACCATCACCATCAAACCAGCACATTCTTATAAAACAGATTCGACCTGCGGTCTCCTCCCTTACCTGACGCAAAGCCCAGAAACAAACGAATCTCTTTCGTGGCAGTTTCATAAATCGCCAAGCCCTCCGGTTCTCGGAAGGAAAGAGTCGAGCCGGCTTTTGTCAGTGTTGGGCCTTCGACGATGGCACCGGTGTTGATGTCGATAGTGGTGAGTTCGGAGTTGATCTTGTTCTTGGTGACGTCGTAGGAGTTGCCGGTTTGGAGGTAGAGGTACTGGCCGTAGGCTGCGTAGCCTTGGAAGGTCGACGAGAGGGTCTTGAGAGAGGGGTGCTTGATGTCTGTCAATGGGTGGGAGAAGTTGCCCTTCGACGCATCTTCTAGATCAAAGGCAGTGATGCGTTTTCCATCTTTGTTGTATCGGACAATGAGACGGTTGTTGACTGGGTCAATCGAGCAGGTATGTTCCGTTGCGCCATCGACGGGCGTGAATTTGGTCAACGAAGCCGCAGAATGAGACAAGGTCGTGCCGGATTTGAACTCGAAACGAGCGAGTTTCTGTCCGTATCCGTTCTTGTTGGAATCGACTTCTGTCCAGAGATACGTGGATGCTCCAACGCCTTCGGCAGCGAAGGAGACGCCGTGTCCGAAGCCGGTGAGGTACATATGGCCCTCTACCTTGCCGTTAAAGTCGAGTTGTGTGACACAGAGATCTCCAGAGGTCTCAGAAGATCCGTCTCGTCGTTGCGCTACGAATAGGCGCCGATTAGTGTTGTCAAAAGCGAACCCCTGCTGGACGGTTGCATCGTGGAGGGATTTGCTGCGGAACAGATCGTGCGATGGAGCAGAGAGATCGAATCGCTGAGACGGAGGAACTGCCGCAGATGCAGTAGACGAGAGTCCAAGCAGCGCGAGGCCGAGACTGCCAATGAGCAGATTCTTTAATTGAAATCCAAGCATGGTGATGTTTCTGGATAGGGGTGGATGTACTTACCTCGTAGCAGGACGAAGCTGTTTATATACTGCTCCAACACGAGAGGAAATATACAAACTGTCGATCTCCGCAAAATCCGCTTATTTCTCGTATCCGGTTAATAATAGCAGCCCTATGGCTTCAATTTGCGAGACGATCATGGCGAATACGAGATCTTAAAATGATTGATTCGGCAGAGATCGAGATGTCTGTCTGTAAATGGTAAAAGTGAAGACATAGTTAATTTCTCCAAGCCCCTTTTTGTAGGAGAGATGACAGCCTATATTTGTCGACAGAAATATGATATATTTTAATTCACTTATTATGCATTTATTCAGGCATATATCCAACTATTCACTCACATTGCAATAGACCGCAATAAAACGTCATAAACAGTCAAGCAAACAAAACAAACAAACAAACAAGACAAAAAGCCATATTCCCTCGTCGAGATATCATCTACATTCACCCATTTCCAAAGCTGTCATCCACCTCATCTCCTCTTTCGTTATCGTATCCTTTCTTGTAGCATCGCTGGCCCATGAAAATGTCGCCAGAACTGCCTGATGAGCTTCTGCTCATGATTGGGGAACAGCTTCATTGTCAACCTTCGCTGGCTGCTCTCTGTCGAGTATCAAAGCACTTTAACCGTCTATTCAAACGAATTCTCTATAGAGAGATTGATGTGCGTCGTTGCTCTCTGGATGATGTGACAAGAATATACGAGAGCCCTCTGGTTCGCTACATGCGACATCTAGGTCCGTATTCCTTCCGTAGGGGTGATACCATAGAGGAGAATGTCGCACTGCTGGAGGCGATAATATCAGCCATGCCCAAAATGAAATCTTTGCGGTCCTTCAGGTAATTGAGTCTCCTGTTGATTAACGCATCTAAAGCGAGGGGACTGCTAACTTGTCCAGCACTGGTGGACAATTCCTTTGTCTACTTTGTCATGACACCATGAACAACCCAATATCTTTCGTCCAGTTCCTACAACTTTTGGCTGAACTGGAAACCATACGGGATCTTGATCTCAACGCCCCATATCTGAGAGCGAAGGATGTTATTCCGCAATTCCACAATCTTGAAAGACTATCGGTGGACCTGGACCGCAAGCTTCTTGGTTATGAAAAGATCGATGACTATCTGTCTGAAATGTTGCTTTCATCTCCAGAGCTCACTCACCTCAAACTCTACTCCACCGGTGACGACCAATACCATATACCAAACGGCTTGATGTGCCTCATCAAGACCTATGAACAGAAGCGTCAACAGCGGTCTTTGCCCGTTCTAAAACTGACAAATTTGGAACTGGGAGAAGGATATGTTCCCTACCGTGGCTTGCATATATCATATGGCTATGGACCTGATTACTTGTCAAAGCTCACGGATTTGACGAATTTACGCTCCCTTCGCCTATACAATGAATTGTATTACCGGGAGGATGAGAATGAAGCAACCTGGAGTGGAATTAATCCGCAGGTATTTGCCAATGTCACCCAGCTGCATCATTTAGCCGTTTCCGAGTATACGGGGGACATTGGAGAATTGGTTATGCTTCCAAATTTGAAGAATACTCTATCAGAGATCCAAATATCTCAGTATTATACCCAAAAGTGGAACGGCGAGGACAATGATCCCATCTCCTACTTTCGGAAGGCTGGACCGCCACTGAAAAAGCTCATCCTGGGCTGCCCAGCGGGAAGCAGCCCCGGTGAAGCTATCAATGTCATCGAAAAAGTCATCCTAAAAACGCCCCAGATAGAACAATTCGCAACCTCCGTCACGATGCAATCTTATGCGCTGATTAAGGATCTTGTGTTGCCCAGTTTGCAGAACCTGACTGCATTTTTTATCACATCGAATCTCGGGGCTTTGAGTACAAGTGGACGGCGCCATCATCAACGGAAAATGTTACAGCAGAAAGAGAATGCCCGTCGTGCAATGGAGATATTCCATATAAATCGATCTCTGGTTTCTGAAAATGAGAACTTCCAAGCACTGCGCTATGTGGGAATTTACAAGCAAATCTTCACCTGCCGTCCGCTTAACCCGCATTTCGAAAGCAAAGATTCTGAGGATGTGTTTGCGGTCGAAACCCGTGACACAAATGGGAAATCTGAACTCGCATATCACAAAGTAACTGAACTATCGCAATGCGAGAAGCAAGATTTCAGTGACATCATTTCCATGATCGATTTGCCATAACTTATGTTTGCATCTTTACTTTCGGCGTTCATGTGAAGATTTTTATTGCAAAGGTTTGACTGCCTGGAGCAGATTCATGTACATAAGAAAAGCTCTTTTCTTTCCCTGTATATATAGATTGAATCATTTTCTAGGAGTCTCGGTTATTAAAGCTCTCTTCACGGACACAAAGGATCAATCTGGCATAATCTCCTCTACAAACTCGAATGTATATCGTGGATTTTGGGCTAAACTAAGCAGGAATCCACGAGCATCAGGAAAGTCCGTGGGTAAATAATCCAGACAAGAATATCTGGTCGGTCAAGCTTCGATATAGCGTTCGTCCTATCTAGAGTAATGGCGTCACAACGTTCAATCTTTGGATGTTATGCCGAAGGGATTGTCCCTTTCAAATATGATTAAATTGACATCAAGTTACAGTATATTGAATATCATAACATCTAGTGCTTACAAAATGGCATGATGGTCAACATTATCGCTATCTCAACCCCGCCAAACCCCACTTCCGTTATTAATCACCAACGTCAACATCATTCATCCCACATCTCTTCTTTCAGCTTCTCATCACCAAGTATCATCAATTATCATCTGCCACCCACTCGGTAATATCAAGATGGGAATCACACACATCGTCCAATTCCAATTCAAATCCGACATTAGCGCCGATGTCATCGAAGACGTACGTATCAAGGAATCCACCTCAACCAGGATCGCAAACTGACACTGCGAATGAAGACCTGCAAGCGCATGCTCGCTCTGAAAGATACCTGCCTCCATCCCGTTTCCCAACAACCATACATCAAGTCCTCTTTTGGTGGTAAGGATAACTCCATCGAAGGGATTCAGGTATGACACCATGCATCATCACGTTGGACACCATCATGCTGATAAACGCCTGGCAGAATGGAATCACGCATGCTTTTGTAGTCGAGTTTGAGAATGCCGAGGATCGGGACTTCTATGTGCGATCTGATTCCGTGCACCATGCTTTCGTGAAGAGTTTGGATGGCTTGATCGATAAGGCGCAGGTTATTGACTTTACGCATGGCAAGTACTGAGTTCTGGGGTATTCGGGTGGATATAGATGTATTCTTTTCAATCTTTTGGACTGTTACTTATCAGTAGAGGTCAAGACACTATATAATGCTGGTAGTTTCGAACCATTTAGCTCTCCCAATTCAGTCCAAGTGTGCAGCAACATCACAAAACGTACAGCGTCTTTCGCCTCGATACCTAGAATCCTATTATGAAGGTTGTCTCGTTGTATTCTTGAACTTCCCATGTAGGTTACATCCATGCAATTCCACTAGCACTCCTTGCATATTCGATTTCCTTCGAGAATCACTCTGTTGGGTTTACGATTTCCACATCGCCTGGATTGAGGATATCGAGCCTAATCCAGTATTTAACCGATAATGTCAGTTATCCATTGGCTACCTCAGTCTCAAGGCCTACTTACCTGTAATGATGGATGGATTCCTACTCTCAGTCTCTCTGCTGCACTCGACAGTATAGAACTTCACACGCCCACGGTTCTGGAGTCGAATATATCCATAAGTCTTCTCATCGAAGGAAGCAAGAGATAGAAAGTTCCTGAACACTACCAGAACGACGCACATTGCCAGAATACTGACCGAGAATGTTTTCCGATGATCCAGGCCTTTCACTTCTAGACCTGGTTTTCCCGTGTTGCTTCCTCAATGTCCTTTGACTCGCTTTCTTCTTTGGCTCATTCGAAGCCACATCCTGAACTGGAAGATGCCTCGGGAGAATAGTGATCTTTGTGGGCTTTCCCCATGCCCCTGCCTCTATAGCGAGCGAAATCATCTTCGGCAGGGTTGACCCCAGATTGGGCGACAGAGTAGTCCTTCTCCATAGAGGGGGTGAAATACGACGGGCTAGAGTCGGAGGGTTTTCCGGTGAGAAGGCCCAGGTCAGAGACTTGGTTTTTCAACTTCTGAAGATCTGCCTCCGTGAGATACTCACTCTCCATAGGCCCCAGAAAGTAAAGCATCTGCCTCGGCTGTTCAAACCAGTCCTTGAAGACATTGGTCTTTTGCGCTTTTGTCAACACACGTTGATGGTCCATCGCGATGGAAACTGAGAGACAATTTTTGGGCTATGATAGATGGAAAGATGATTTTTAGAGGGGGAAGAGGGCAGGGAATAAGAGGACATACAAAGTCTTTTATTTCTGATGCTTTTTGTTATTCCATTTTGAAGGTGATGGAGAGGATATGACGATGGTGATGCCTACATCAACGAAACTTAGCCTGATTGGGACAGCAACCGCAAGCTGTCAGACTAAGTGAATCCAGCCTATTTGGAGATGCATAATTACCTTGTGCCTGCGAATAAAGAGAATCCATCCAAAAGCACCTAGTCTCGCTAGAGAGACGTGCTGGATTGATTGGGGTACTTTGGATGTCCCTGCCAGTGATATCGATGGAACTGTCGGGATTAGATCGATGGTCAGGCACCTACTCGGAGGGGGAAATCTTAATTTATTAGACATATATTGATTATCAAACTAATTTCCTATATATATTGGATATCCTACCGTCTATATTAATAAATATATAAACCCATCCCCTCATACCATCTAATTAAATGACAATCCCAATCCTTCTCCCAGTCCCTCACTACTGTCCGAATCACTCTCTGGCTGAGAGTCCTGAGCCATCCTCTTCAAATAGTCTCTGATCTCTATGTATGCTTCATCGTCGGGTGTCTCGAACTTGATCATATTGGAATGATCTGCATCAATCGAAATAGTATAAGTATTGATCGGTGGCTTCTGCGTACGCGGCGAGACTTGTAATACCTATCGACGACATTAGCAAACTCTGGACATCTAAGGAAAGGCAAGGCAAACTCACTCTCCCTGGCGACCCAGTTGTCGGAGACTCTGTCGTAGCCAGTTTTGGCGTCTTGAGCATCTCGTATGCATACACCGTTTGAAAGTCTTCGCTGATAAGGGAGTATTCTCGTAGTTTTGTCAGTAGCCAATGTGCCTCCTTGTAGCTGTCGGTTTGTTTTTCGGGCTCGGTGGCGTGGTGGTTGAGATAGCTTTCCAGCCCGACCATTCGAGAATCTAGTTCGGGGGTGCCCATGAAGAATATTCCATGGGTAGATGTTCGAATTGTGCGATGATATGCAGGTTCGGATTGACAAGAGTCGGAGTATAGTAAAGCCTATTCAGTCAGTTAGTCCACCGCAAGTATACAAAAATCGAATATCAGACGTACACTTTTCACAATCGTCCCTCCAAGACTATGTGCAATAAAGATAATCGGACGATGATGTGCCTGTCTTGATTAGCATCTTTCCAACCCCAACGACAGTATGCCTACATCTGATAACTCCCTTTCCTCCCATAAATCCAGAATCAATCTCTCGGAGATACTCTGCATCGATGGCCCCCCAGGCTGGTCACTCTTTTCATGGTTCGACGCATTATGACCCCACGCATAAACCCTCGCGTTGGGAAGATCACTCGGCAAGAAATCGCGAAGCCAGTTCACCCCACCAACTGTCGTCCATGATTTATCGCGATGGCCACCTAGCCCATGCACGGCGACAATGCTGCCTTGGATATCAGTTCCCGCATGTACGGTCCGGGTGGGGAAGCTGTATGTACTCAAGTGTGGGATCGGCGCCCGCGGAGAGAAGTTTCAGGCCTGTTTTTGGTGGTGTCAAAGCGATTTCTTCCTTGGGGGGCTTCTGTGATATAGGATTAGACATTTTATGTTGATCGCAGATGGGTATTATGAGTTAGGGAGTGAAGTGACTTACGCTCCTGGGACTTCCGCAGTTGAATAACGACATCCACGAGCACGACATGCTGCAACATCAGCGTGACTTGTGGGTAGCAAGACTCATCCACGATATTTAATATCGGTGATGAACAGCAGATCCGAGATCATCCACGAATGCCGTCCAGCGAAGTCAGCCTTGTTGGATGATGGTTTGTTGACGCGGTCGGAATAACGTTCGGTGTGGCTGGGTAATTGGGATGTTGGTTTTATTTAAAATCGGCCACATCATATTTGCCTAGCCTAATTATAGCATCAGGAGAAATAGAGAAGACATATCCAATCAATAGGATATATTGGTTATGACGTAGCCTACCGTCGATAGGGGATCTGATCTGTACTATGCAATTCCCAAAAAAGGCATCAATTTTGTATGTATGTACTTCTAGACACCGCAGGTTACTCCCATGACCACATGGCAAGTAACTTCCCAGACAGAATCGTAATAATAAAATAACCGAAATAGCCGTGGAGATAAATCTCGCAGTTTTGCCTTTTGGTGGAATGTTCCAACCATTCTTAAAGATTGATCAAGTGTCAATCCATCAATCTGTATCTTCTCCCAATCTTTTCCGTTTTCCATAAACACAAATCGGTTGGGTGTATTATCAAACACAAAGTTATGCCTTGTGTAATCATTTTTGGTTGAATGGAATAGATCCCGGCTTATTGAATCGCTCGGGATGATCTAGTCTAGAATACCCTTCATCAAGTATGAAAAGGTATTGTTAGGATCTGTTGTCGAGTTGACCGAGTTCTCACTAATCGGCGACTCATGGATGTCGTGTTGGTCGACGGGCGTCAACCACTGTGAAACACGCAATTCAAGGGTATGCGCCTGTCGGGGGAATCTGCACGGCTTTGTTCCCTTGCACAAATCTTTTTGGCAGATATGTCCGAGATAGCACTTGATCGCGCGGCAAGTCGCGCCTCGCGAACATGGATGCTGACGGAGAATGTACCGCATGACATTGAGGGCAGAGCCATCAATGTGACTATGATCGTATTCACACGCCATATCGCCACACTCGCCTCCTAGATGATACTTGTTACACAGTTTATGACGCTTAGCTCGTCGGTTGTACAGCTCCCATGCGTCCTGCGGCGGCTGAGGGCAGTAGGTGTCAACACGGTCGCCATCCTTATTGACGGCGATAAATTCCTCCGATTTGGCATTTATAGCAGGGAGGTTTTTGGCATAGTACGTCTGGTCCCGAAGGGGAACTTGGTGTGTTTCCTCTACATTTTTAGAGAATTGTTGGTTCGGCATTATGTGTAGCTTGCTGCATTCATTGCCGTATTTGCAAATGCCCTGTCAGAGAAATCAGCCCCGATTGTCTATAAACTCTTCTATACATGCTACCTTTTGGAAATGCTTGCAAACCGGCTTAGATGGTGATGGCGGGTTGCTCGGAGTGCCACCAAATGGAGTAGACATGAAAACAGACGGCAGTTCTCTAACGGGTAGACCTAGTGATTGATACTCCGGGTGAAACGATCCGGATCTCAAAAGGGTAATTCGATCCGCACTGCCTTGATATGGCGTCAATAGAGACAGATACCCTGCATCATGACAACCGGCAAAGAAGATATGCTTGCATTGGTTGTTGTCTGCGAACAGGCGGAACATTTCTGCATCCACAGTAAGCACTTATCATCACGAGCTACCATCACCCAAAGTGTATACCTCTGATTTTATAATCCGCTCCTTCTTTCTTATCGCCCGCATCGACATAATCGAATAGCTCCTGCGCTCGTGTAAAGCTGGAGGCAAACGGTGATAGCGATCGGGCTTCGTTCCCCACAAGCCCAGCACGGGCCATCGTCTTCGAAAGGCCTAGGATATTCGAATAGATCCGAACCATGATACGGCATTGGTCTCCTAGGTATCCCAGTCGTTCGTGGAGTAATTCCTTGATTGTGTCGCTCAATAGTCGAGCAGCGGCTATTCCACCCTCGGGACCCTTCTTGATAAGATGTTCTTTGAACTATATCGGTCAGCTTGGTGATGAGAAAACAGCGATACACTGACAATATAGCCATCACCATCCACTAGTACCAAAGCGAACGGGTTACGTTCCTAGAAACCATCAGACAGTTGTTCAAATTATCCTGTCGATACAATATCATACTTGACCACGTGCTAGCCTTTTATACTTCTCTCGAGCCTCTTTCTCCTCCTCATAATCACTCTTGAGCTCGTTATAGCTCTGTAATAGTCCCTGGAACTTCTCGAGAAGATCCTGGAGGTTTTCATGGTGCTGCTGGTTTTCACGCACAACAGCGCCCAGATGACTGCTGAGTCCCCGAACCTCAGTCTCCCCAAGCATTTTGTGTATGCCTTATTCCACAGGATTCAATAGTAGAATGGATAAAATGCAGGAAAGGCTATGCCTTTCCAATATTAGCATGGGGATTCCCGATACCGACGGACATGCAGGCTGTGGGATCGAAGAGATCAAGAGGGGTTGGAAAGAATGCGGGCGAAGCCAAAAGCTCAACAAAACAAAGGCATATGGGTGGAGGCCAATTACATTGCCTGTCTGGGAAGGCGGTCTATCTGTAGCCAATCATATGTATCAAAGCCTAGCCACGCTGTCACTTGACGCCTACCTAGTCTATTTTGGGAACACCGTGGTGCACCGTACGGAAATCAATGGACGTGAGGGGAAGCTGCAGTAAGATGGAATAATGGCCTGATGAATATGAAATAACTGGAGATTATGCAGTCTTTCTCAATTGTGTAAAATGCTATGAAAATTTGTTTACTAGAATGTCCTGAAATGAAATATTCCAAACTTTTAGCATCACGCGACGCAAAGATAGTTTAATGGCCGAGGTAGATCATGATATCATTAGAAGGCCCATAATGATCATGATATGGCCACCCATCATAGTTTCTTACTGCACCTTCTTTCCTGTAGCTACTCGCTGCTTAAGCCCACCAGTCTCGTGGACAACCAGCTCATCTCTCTCCCACATCAGCTCCACGGCCGCTCCAACTGGCCCAGTGAGCACCGTCAACAAGCCAACTTTGACGAACAGGTCCAGGCAGGATACCTTGCCCAGGATCGCCTTATGTGCCTTGCTGTAGAGCGTCATAGCCCAGACCAACACACCGGCTGATCCAACCAGATAATCCCAACCCAAGAAGATACGCACTCCGTCCGCGATGTTATCAACTGTAACGGACGACCAGGGCAGAACAACCTGGAACACGTGCAGTGGGTGTAAAATATTGACATAACGCTCCTCAAACATGAACGGAGCGACCACGGTCGCGAAGGACACGGTCAATGTGACAATATGAGGGATAGCGGTGTTAGCAAAAGCGAAAGCATACACGCGTCGTAGAGCACGTAGGGTGTCCCAACCACCCTCGACATTTCGGTCGTTACTGACAAAGGGCGAAAAAACAATGCTAACGGTCGTCACCAGGATGGAAATGTAGGCTGGCCATGGTTGCCAGACGGAGGCGAAGATTTGCTTCTGGTCGACAGTGATAAGTTCAGGGGCGGGGAGAATAGCCAGGACGGAGGGGACAATGTATCCGACGGTAAAAATGAGAGGGATCATATGGAGCACCGCCCGTGGGATACGGATATTTTCTGCGTTGGGCTTGCTGGCGGTGATGGAGCTGGCCAGTTGCAAGCCACAGTAGAGGGGGGTCGCGAAGGCATAAGTCAGGACCTGTGCCACGAGACCGAAGGCCATGGGACTGATCGATCTGTTAGCGGCTGGAAGGGGTAGCTTGGAAGCAAGACACTTACAACGCAGCAATAGTCCACGCATTGCCTCTTCTCCACGACTCCAGCGTGACCAGCACCCAGGCAGATCCAAACGTTCCCGAGAACGCTACGGCATGGAGCGTCAACTCGGGCTTGATCCCGCTTATGGCCGGCCAGAAGAAAGTAGTCAAGATCGTGAGAATTTCATCGAGTGGCTCGAATCCTGTGTAGACGGTGCGTAGAGCATCGTTGCTTTCTGGCAACGTGTTGGACGCGATCGATTCCTTTATCAGGCCACGGAGACCATTTGTACCAGAAAAGTGAAATATGGAGTACAGCGCAAAGACGCTGAAGAGGGGCAGGATGTATTTCATAGCCATTTTGGTCGTGGTCTTGTCGGGTCGAAAGCAGAAGACGTGGGAAGTGGTTCAATTTATAAGTCAACAAACCCCAGGTCTTGTTGGGTGTTGAATAATACCTACTATCATCTGCACGTAAAGAATGCCGATTGACTAATAGAAGCGACCAGAGGTAGCCATAAGCGGTATCCCTTGCGAAACATGAACGATTCCATGCCGATCACGATGTCTTCATGTGTGTGGATTGTTCTTCTCATTATCTCAGTGCCGTCATCCGCAGCCCGAAGCCTTAAACCGAGGCAATCCAAGGACAGCTCTTCCCCGCAAAACAGCCGGTCGGAAAATAATTCGGTTTCTTCACATGTTCGATGAGGGTTCCTAGATGAGATCCAGGCGAAGATTAGCAAAGGATATGGAGGTGAGTTGTTGGATACTGAGCAAGAATGTCAACAATCAAGCCCTTCCTGTTGTAATCTGGGATTATCCATCTCGACACAGTGGATTTGCTGAATAACTTTCTGGGAGAGAAACAGAAGAGCATCAAGTTTTGAGTATGATGCTAAGTATAAAAAACTCGGCTCTGTAGATGATAACTGATGCTGATATCCCACAAGTGTTGGGAGAAAAGAAGGAGGTTGCCTCCTGGTTGACGCGATCAGCCACTCTTAACGCCCACAGCCAGATTCCATCAATTCACCTGGCTTTTCACAGCACTCTTTTGAACAGAAAAACCATTTTTGGTATTTCTAGCCTTTCTATTGCCGATTTAAGCCTACGATAAATGGCAGAGATCCCAGACAGTATGTGACTGCATTTCTTCCGAATTGAGTAAAGTAAACAAGTAAACGAGTATTTTCATCGTCATGACTCTTTTCTCATTAGTATATGCTCTTCAGGGCTGCTTATATTTAGGCATTCAAACCACATCCAACTTTCCATTTATTCCCATTCATCCAACAAATATTTTTACTCATTCTAATACACTCATAACCACATCAGAATATCGATATACCAGCTTCACGATGCTTCAAGAACTTCCAGATGAGCTTCTTCTGGTGTTCGGGGAGTTTGTCTGCCAATCTTCCTTGGCTGTTCTTTGTCGAGTGTCAAAGGACTTCAATGAGCTTTTCACCCCTCTTCTGTACCGGAACATCCAAATGGATAATGTGCCTGTGGATCTCTTCAAGAAGATATTCCAGGGTCTTCATGTTCGCCATATCAGACATCTGGGTCTAACGAGTTCACCCTCATATAGATACGAAAACGAGAGAAAACCAACATTGGATGGGATGCTATCATCCATACAGAATTTGAAATCACTGAAATCTTTTGAGTAATCTTATATCTCCTATATGAAACTGGCTGAGAGGCCCAGAAAGAAAAGGTATGCTAACTTGTCTATTGTCTAGTGCTGGTGAGTTCTTCAGTCTTCGTAGGAAGGAGGAAGACCATATCACAAATTATACCCGTCTACTGCAACAGCTGGCTGGCTTGGGCACAATTCGTGATCTCAGTCTTGACATCTCATCATCGCATATCAGTCATGGTGCGGTTATTCCTCGCTTCAGCAATCTTCAACGGCTTTCGTTGACTCTGGGCCGAGAATTTCCTGGGTACTCGAACACGGATGAAGCTATCGCGGAAGTGTTGCTTTCATCCCCGGATCTCACTCACTTATGTTTGAGGACCGATGAATCATATGGAGAGGATGTTCCAAGTGCTCTCATGTGCCTCATCAAGATTTACGAGAAGAAGCGCAAACAGCGATCCTTGTCTCCTTTGAAGCTGACACATTTGCAGCTGGAAAATGGTTATCTCCCGTGCCCTGGCCTGCACAAGCGACATGGCTACAGTGTAGACTACCTGTCGCATCTCACAGATCTGACAACTCTCCGCTCCCTAGGGCTAGTTGACGATGATGTCACAGACATGTTTAATGAGCTCGACCATGGCGTTGATCCGCAGGTCTTCGCCAATGCCATTCAACTGCACCGCTTAACAATCGGATCTTACACAGAGGAAATTGAGCAATTGGTCGAGCTTCCCCATTTGAAAGATACACTGTCAGAGATTGAAATATCTCAATACTATGACGAAGAGGGCTGTGAGGATCAAATTACCGCTGTTTTTCGAACGACTAGGCCATCAGTGAAGAAGCTCGTTCTGGGTGGTGGAGTAAGTAAATGTCCTGGCGAGGCAGTCAATATCATCAAAGAAACTGTCCTCAAAATGCCTCAGCTTGAGATGTTTGCAACACCAATAACACGGAGATCCTATGACATGGTTATACAGCAGGTGCTTCTGAAAATGCAGAACCTGACCTCCTTGTTTCTCTTGGGAGAAGTAGCATCAATTATTAATCGCAGACGATTGAGTGAAAAGAATGAGGAGAGTAGGTGTGCCAAAGAGGCCAAAAGAATCTTCAATATCAACCGAATTCTAGTATTCAGGAAGGAGTTTCGTCCGCTGCGCGTTGTGGGCGTCGGCACACACATCTTCGTCTGTCATCTTCTTAGCCCACACTTCGATGAGAAAAGCCAGGAGGATGTGTTTTCAGTCAAGAAAGCTGAGACGCTTACGTTGGCATGGTACAAAGTGGTCAAGTTATCTCAAACTGAAACCCTAGCCTTCAAAAGCATCATTGAGTTGTCACGTCGCTGTCGGTAATCGTCCTATCATCGTTGGGTCTAATTTGAAGATAAAATAGACCGCGTCCTAGTCTTGAGCAGCGCAAAGACGAATTTTGCTAGAACTGGTAAAATTATTGCTTTAATTATTTAGAAATATGATTATTTATGTTATTAAAATCAGTTGATGATAGATATATAGTATGTTGTCTCAACGAAATCACGCCTTCTCATTGTAGATCTGATAAATCTTTCGCACAAAATCGCCTGTCCGGCTCGTGCCCATCGTCCCCGATCCCATTTTGTTCATCACATATGTAATGGTCATCTTGCGATTCAGATCCATGATCACAATCGAGCCTCCCCAACCTCCCCAATAACAAACCTTGTCATCGGGGATAAAAGGCACTGTCTGCGGCACTGGCAGCCCGAAACCAATTCCAAACCGAAGGTGCGATCCCAACACTAGATCTTTTCCGTTGGTTTGTTCCCTGAAGATCAACTCGATAGTTTCAGGGGAGAGAAAGCATTTGCCATTAACCTCTCCGCCCAGACTAATCATCGAGAGAATTTTGTTGACTGCTCTTGCGTTACTGAACCCACTCGATGCCCCCATCTCCGCTTGACGGAACGCAGGCGTCATAGAAGCGACCGCAGGTACAGGGGTCCCTTGTTTCCCTCCCGCCCGCGCTGGGATACTATTCGCATCGATGTTAATTGACGTTGGCATTGACTCGGGTGGGATGATTTCTGCGATGCGTGGCCAATCCTTTTCAGGTACGCCGAGCAGGAAATCTGCGTTGAGCGGGGTTGTAAATTCATCTCGGATGAACTGAGCCAAAGTCTTCCCACTGATCCTCCTGACGAGTTCGCCGACCAAATGCCCCTGTGTGACGAGGTGGTATCCCGACACAGTTCTGGACGTCCACCAAGGTGCCTGTTTCGCGAGCTTCTCCGTAGCAAGAGGAATATCATACAACTCCTCGAGTGTGATGGGCGTTTCCCACGCGGGCAAACCAGCAGTATGGGAGAGAACGTGCCTCACTTCGATATCTTCCTTGCCATTTTGTGCAAACTCGGGCCAGTATTTGGAGACTTTTTCGTAAGGGTTGAGCAAACCACGGTCGATGAGGACGAGGGCAGCTAGGTTAGTGACAGTTTTGGAGATGGACCAAACGGGGGCAATAGTATCTTCCTTCCATGGTTGAGTGCGTGCTGTATCCGCGTAACCGCCCCATATATCAATAACTGTCCTGCCGTCGATGCTGACGCAGAGCGAGGCGCCGAGTTCGTCGGTTTGGAGGTGGGATTGGAGGAGGTCGCGGAGGGAGGAGTATTGGGGGTCACAATGGCCGTTGACTTCCATTTTATATATAATAATAATGAGAGGTTAATTATACAAAGGATGAATGAAAGAATGACTGAAAAGAAAAGTGAGAAGAGAAGGGAGAAACGTTGCTCAGGGATGATCATGAGGGGTTTGCAGTCTATATTTGTGCTGCTGTGGGGTAACCACATGCACATTCAATGTCGCGCATAATTTATCCAACATCACAAATATTGCATGTTATATTTTCTTCTCTTCTTTTCCTCTCTTCAACTCTTCAATCTATCTTCTGTTAATTTTCATCGCCACCAGGGCAATGAATAAATAGAATCCTACTGCAACCACGGAACAACAGTCTATGACGCCATCACTCCCTCAGCCATGTCTTCTGTCAACTATATACCGTCGAATTCCCCTTTGATGGCTTTTTCATCAAATAATTATCAAATCCATCATGAGCTCCGAGAATTGGGAGTCTATCGACGCCCCCAGCGCCAGCTTCAGCGATCTGTCCATCAGCCGATCATCCGACGATGTCCGTGGCGTGCACCATTCGACTCCAATCAGTCGGCGACCAACAGCCGTCGAGGTGTCACGCATTGAAACCTATCGCTTGCAGCATCGAACAACAGTGGGATCGGGTATAGGACCAGCGCCAAAGGAAACGTGGTTACCGTTTGGAGGAGAAAAGGATTATCCCCCTTTGCTTCCCGACCCGGATATCTATGTTGTGGAATTTACTGGAGAGGATGATCCATATCATCCCCATAACTGGCCTACTTCGAAGAAGTAATTGTCTCCTTAGCACCTGAAGTACGTGTTCAAAGCTAATATGCAATAGGGTCCTTCTTTCCACCATCCTGGCCTATGTCACCTTCGTTTCTTCGTTCGCGAGTGCCATCTTTTCCTCCACCGTCGGAGCCATAAGCACCCAATTCGGCATTAGTACTGAAGTCTCGACACTCGGAGTCACCCTTTACGTGCTTGGATTTTCAGCAGGTCCAACAATCTGGGCCCCTGCCTCGGAGTTGTCCGGTCGGCGATGGCCTCTGACAGTGGGAATATTCGGATACAGTATCTTCACAATCGGCACTGCCACGGCCAAAGATGTTCAGACGATTATGCTGACCCGATTCTTTGCGGGTTTATTTGCTGCAGCTCCGTTGGCGATCGTACCAGCTATCTTTGCAGATATCTATGACAATTCTCACCGAGGTATCGCGATAGCAATGTTTGCGATGGCGGTGTTTGTAGGACCATTCGCCTCGCCTTTCACCGGAGGGTTTATCACAATGAGTTACCTAGGATGGCGATGGACGATGTATATTTCTGCCATTATGGGATTCTTGGGATTTGCTTTACTCATTTTGTTTTTCAAGGAGACATATGCCCCTGTCGTGCTGATGGAGAAAGCGGCTACTCTTCGTCGCCAAACACACAACTGGGGCATTCATGCAAAGCAGGATGAAGTTGAGTTGGACATTAAGGACCTATTGACGAACAACTTCAGTCGACCCTTCCGCATGCTTTTCACTGAACCCATTGTCTTTTTGGTGACGCTGTACATGTCATTCATCTATGGACTTATGTACGCGTTGTTGGCTGCTTATCCGGTGGTGTTTCAAGGCATTCACGGGATGAATCTCGGAGTAGGCAGCTTGCCATTTATTGGATTGATTATTGGCGAGCTTTTGGGAGGTACATTTGCGCTCCTGGGGCAAGGATCTTATAGAAAGAAACTAGTTGCGAACAACAACATTCCAGTTGCTGAATGGCGACTAGGACCGGCAATAGTTGGAGGGATCGCCTTTACTCTCGGTCTTTTCTGGTTTGTTTCCCTGACCATTGTCTAGAGAAGGTATTGCTAATTTTGTACCTTATAGGTATGGCTGGACGGGATTTACAAAATCCATCCACTGGATGGCACCGACAGCCTCAGGGATCCTTGTTGGATTTGGTATCTATACTATCTTCCTACAGTGCTTCAACTACTTGATCGATTCATATCTTATGTTGTAAGTCTTATCTTTCGATGATAATAGCGTAAGCTAACTAATCAGCGCTGCCTCGGTGTTCGCCGCAAATACTATCTTACGTTCGGCCGTTGGCGCCTGTTTCCCCTTGTTCTCGAAACAGATGTTTCAGAATCTTGGAGTCCAGTGGGCAGGGACTCTGCTGGGCTGTCTGGCAGCCATAATGATCCCTATCCCATTGGGATTTATTGTATTTGGTCCGAGACTGAGACGGAAGAGTAAATTTGCCCCGACGCTTGAAAATCCAGTCAGAGAGAAGCCACCGTCTGAGGGTGCTTGATATGGTTATACAGATAAAAATAATATATATATATGTAATCAAATGTCCAAATGTTCTTATCGAAATAGTCACATGTCAGCATGACCTCCATATATATATATTAGATATTGTTCTTACTATCTATATACATTGATCGGCTGAAATGCTTAACTTATCACCGTCTGGCTGATCAATACAGCTGTATAGAATATTGGCTTTTAATATCGTGCCCAGGGTCCGTACCTAGCTTCTGCGGGGGCGGGGGTCCGGGGAATGGAAACCATGTGCTAGTTTATCTGATCTCGGTATAACATCGATAAGAACGACGGAGGTCTCCTATACAGAAAGATACCAGCTTCATCTACACAACATCCTCTGCCTTCGTCTATCACTGCTATCGCCTATATCGGCCATTTCCGCCCGAAGTCGCCGGATACAGTCAAACCCAGTCAACTTTGCCGATAAGTCCATCTACGCCTGCTGTGATTGGCCCACCGGCCCAGATCGGCAAAATGTGACAGCCAACCACGGAACGGTCCAAGGCGCCAAGGACGCTGCCAAGGAATCCGACGGAAATGGCAGCGGGCGGAGATAAGCAAGGGAGGCAATGAATTTTTCTTCTTATCAGTTGGTCGTGTGAGGTCGAGTCAGCTTTAACCTCCACACTTTCTGCTTTTCTAAAAAATGCAACATCTGTAACCTCGAGCTAAGGGCTACCTTGGTCTAGGTGATACGCCTACTTATTTTTTATTCTATTTAAGTACATCAAGTACTTATACAACTACATACGTGATGTATGTGCAGTGGGCGGGAAAAACCAACCTGTGGGTGGCTCGAAGCCCCGTTGGGCGGTGGTTTCGTTTGGAGAACTCAGGCCATGTGAGTAGTACCTTGCATTAGATCGATATCTTCCAAACTGACGACGAGAAGCCCAAAGAACGCAAGGGTAGCTTCTTTTTCACCGAGATCCGTGCGGGGCTGGCCACCTTCTTCGCCATGGCCTACATTATCAGTGTGAATGCCACCATCACCTCGGACACCGGTGGTACCTGTGTTTGTCCGGCCGAGAGCATGGCTGATAACTGCGACACCAACACCGAATATCTGCTATGTGTGCAAGAAGTTAAGCGAGATATTATTACTGCCACTGCCGCCATTGCTGCCTTGTCGACATTTTGTATGGGATTGTTTGCGAATTTGCCGGTTGCGCTCGCTCCTGGAATGGGGTTGAATGCTTACTTCGCCTACACCGTTGTTGGACACCATGGAAGCGGTCTTATCCCGTATCGGATTGCATTGACGGCTGTATTTGTGGAAGGATGGGTGTTTCTGGCATTGACGCTACTGGGAATTAGACAATGGCTGGCGCGAGCTTTACCGGCATCCATCAAGCTGGCTACTGGTACAGGCATTGGGTTGTATTTGAGCTTGATTGGGCTCACTTACAGTGCAGGAATTGGCCTCGTGACTGGAGGTTCAGACAGTCCGATGGAATTGGCAGGATGCACAGATGCTTTTCGGTCTGGAGATGCCGGAGTCTGTGCTAGTGCTGGGAAGATGCGTAATCCGACCATGTGGATTGGTATCTTTTGCGGTGGAATGATGACGGTGCTGTTGATGCTGTATCGGGTCAAGGGCGCAGTGATCATGGGAATTCTTCTCGTGTCGATTATCTCGTGGCCGCGTCCAACTCCAGTGACGTACTTCCCACACACCGAGCTGGGGGATAGTTCGTTCGACTTTTTTAAACAGGTTGTCACATTCCATCCCATCAGGAAAATCTTGGTGGCGCAGGAGTGGGATATCTCTGGCCATGGGAGCCAGTTTGGGTTGGCTTTTATTACCTTTTTGGTGAGTCTTTTGCATCCATTCTATATCACCGACATTAATCGAGTGTACAGTATGTGGATATTCTCGACACCACCGGAACTCTTTACTCCATGGCTCGATTCGCTGGGGCCATCGATGATCGAACCCAGGATTTTGAAGGCAGTGCCATGGCATATGTTCGTAACCCATTGGTACCCACGTACATCGGAAGTTCAAAACTGACAAACGCAGATGGTTGACGCGATTTGCATCTCGATCGGTTCGCTTTTCGGCACATCCCCTGTAACCGCCTTTGTAGAAAGTGGTACCGGTATCTCGGAAGGCGGAAAAACCGGCATGACCTCTTGTGTAACCGGTATCGCGTTTTTCATCGCCCTCTTCTTCGCTCCCATCTTCGCTTCGATTCCTCCGTGGGCCACGGGTTGCACGCTGGTTATTGTGGGCGCGTTGATGGCCAAGGCTGCCGCAGAGATCAACTGGAAATACTATGGAGACGCCATTCCAGCTTTCCTGACAATCGCCATTATGCCTTTCACCTACAGTATCGCATACGGCCTGATCGCGGGTATTCTGAGCTACATCGCCATCAATGTTATTGTGTGGGTGATCGAGAAAGCGTCTGGGGGTCGCATCAAGCCGCCGAACAAGGACGAAAAGGAGCCATGGACGTACAAGCTTCCTGGAGGGGTCTTCCCACCATGGATGCAGCGTGCTGCACGGGGCAAAAAGGATTTCTGGCGAGAGGACGAGGAAAGAGCAGGTGTTGCACCGGAGGAGTCGATATCTTCTCACGAGGGACAGCAGGTTCATGTACGGGAAGGAGAGAAGTCGTAATGCATATATGTAACTAGATCAGTATTGCAAATAATTAAAAATTAGCTCTGAATTTACTCCGAACCCCCTGTTTGGGACAAAAGTACACACCGTCGTAGAACTCCAGTGGTACGTACACGATGATAGATGCACATCATGATAGGCTGGGAAATTATTCCGGAATGCTATGTATGAACTGACCAAACTATTTAGACTAGATGTCCGCATTCCTTGCTTCTCCAATTCTCTTGGCCCCTTACTCGATTAGTCAAGCGAACCATGAAGGATAATGGCATCTTTGGGACCGCGCGGCTCAAGTCTTGTCAGACCATCTTTTCAGGGAAACATTTCCGCTCAGAAAGCGCCCTAATCTAGGATCACTTACTGAATCCAGATGTCTACAACCCACTAGCATCAAACAAGAAGGTCGTAAGCCGAATCAAATCCGTGAGCCTCTTTGTTTTATAAGGCTGCGATCGCGGTGATCTGCGGGGACGTCGCCAGCCTTTCCGACCGCCCAATCAGCTGACCTGTTGTCGTGGCGGGGTGTGACATTCCCATCAAAGAAACCGGTTCGGGCTTTGATAATAAGAACCTGCAACCTGATATATCGACGATATTAATTGCCTATTCAAGATGGGAAATGTAGCCATCTGACAAGCCATGCTTATTCTCCTCTGCCATGTCTGGCTCCAAGTTCCCGCGCCTTCTGGCCCCTGCACCACCAGGTATTAATGATGCCATCGAGGGTGACGGGCGGAGGAGGAATGTCGGAGTCGCGTGTTTGGCGTGCAAAACGCGCAAATTGAAGGTATATCCATTTTCTTGATTTGACTTTTATGTATATCTGTCTGTCATCAGTTACTAACAAGATCAGTGCTCCAATGAGCATCCGTGCAGCAACTGCCGAAAAAACAACATCGAATGTACGATAAACAAAGACAGCGACAAACGCCGCCGGGACAACCTGAAACGCAAGATTGAAGTCCTCGAAGAAAAAGAAGATATCCTAATCCGTCTGGTCGACACGCTGCGCGACAGCGGACAAAATCGCACCGCTCATCTGCTCAACTTTATTCGCGGAAATAACTCCCTGGCCGAAATCAAGCGGTACATCGATACGCATCTGTCGCGCTCCGAGTTGGAGAAAACGCCTGCGCTCATCGAGGTTCGCAACGAAGTCGAGCGGCGCCTACAGCAGTCCGGCCCCCCGACTACGCGACGCATGCTCGATGCAAAGCGATTATCCGACACTTCAGTGTTCAAGGTCCCCGCGAAACCGTGGACCAGCGTTGTCGACAATGATGATTTTGTGTCGCATCTGGTGTCGCTGTGGTTTACGTGGTTCCATCCGTTCTGTAACTGGATTGACCGGGATACATTTATTCGCTATATGAAGATGGGAAATGTGAGGTCTCAGTTTTGTTCGCCGCTCCTGGTGAATGCGATTCTAGCTGATGCATGTGTATGTGTTCCTTTGCTCTATTTTTTCCACTGGTAGCTGAACTTCCAGGCCTACTCGGATTTTCCAGAAGCTTATGCCACACCTGGAGACCCAGCATCCAAAGGCGCACACTTTTACAGCGAGGCGAAGCGGTACTTGGACGAGGAAGAGGGTAAGATCACTCTCCCTACTGTCCAGGGATTAGGGGTGATGTGGATATAGTAAGGCTCCGACGGACATGATTCCCAATAGAGAGAGCTAACGAATTAGCACATGTTTGGCCGAAAAAGAAAGAAGCCGTTGGATCCACCACAATCAGCTTATACACGCCGTCCAGGAGCTATCTCATCAAAATCCACCGCACCTCGGCAATGCTGACGAAAACGCCATCCGCCTAGCCCGGGTAGTCAACCACACCATCTGGGGGTTGTACAATGTCAACACGTAGGAGTCCCAAGCCGAAATTAAGGAAACTGAAAAGGAAAAGCGCCGTTGGGAAGCAACTGACTCCATGGCCCCGCAGGATGTACTCAGCATGGTACGGCAAGATCCCTTCCATCAACCTACCGCAACGTCCGTTACCATCATCAGAAATCAATGTGCATGACAATGATCTGTGGTACCGCTATCCAGTCCGGTCGGATGGGGTGCAGGCCCATACGAGATGTCTATTCAGTGCCTTGTGCAGTCTGAACCAAATCACCTACAATATGACGCGCATTTTCTTCAATACCGAATACAAGCTCCCCTGGTCTGAGATAGAATTCAAGGCAGAAGAACTCCACAGTCGACTGCGCGACTGGATGATTCACCTACCTAGTTGTCTGAAAAACGAAACTAGCTTTGACCTTCCCCACGTTCTGTCTCTTCAGTATGTCCCTCTCTGCATATAAAGGTTCCGAACTAACCCAGTGATAAGTATGTACTACCACTCCATGATTTTGAGGATGTTCAGCATCATTAGACGAACCACAAATATCGATGCCCGCCAACGCGCCCACGAAACCTGTCTTTCCTCCGCCCGAACGATATCCAAACTCATGCACCTGCATCGCTCCGCCTGCGGAGCCGACCATATCCCCGTTCTCAACTTTCAGTGGGTCACTGACGCACTTCTTATACTATTGGATCGCCTCAGCGACGCCAAGGACCGCGACGCCTTCATCAACCTGAATGTCGCAGCTAAGGCACTGGGCCGGCGATGGCCACTAGGAAAGAAGATGTTGCGCCTGGTTCAGAACCGGGCGGAGGAGATGAGGATGGGGGTACCAAAGGAGATGGGGGTGTTGTTTTCTTGTTTATTCGAGTCGTAGTGGGGCATAATGAGGTTACTTATTCACTATAGACATGCTTAGTCGTCAAAAGGTTTGACTAGATTAGTATATAGAGTATTGTAGAGTACATTTAGCTATCTGGATTAATGGTGCTGTTAGTCTACGTCACAGTGAGCGTGTCAGTCAGATTAACAGTCATATCAAACAATATCAGCAATAGGAATCATTTTAATAATTTCAAATCATCAACTCGTAGAGAATATACTACGTCATGGATCATGATGTCTTGTATGTGGTGGGGATAAGTGGACCTCCGACTCAGTAGTGGTGGTCAGTGACTGACGATGTCCCACGAACGTCACCCATAAAAATCGACCGATAGATGGACAGATAATAATCATATATCATATTCAGATATAAATGACATTAAAAAAATTGAAACTCGAAAAAGAAGTAATAATTAAATAAACGACAGCGACAAAAAAAACGCCGACGCAAAAAAAGAAAATGTTCCTTTACACCAGCCCGGAATCGAACCGGGGTTCTTGCATAGCTCATCCTTTGTGGAAGGAGTAAACTATAAGAGCAAAGTCATAACCCCTAGACCACTGGTGTGACCTTACGTCCAATGTGGGGAACCTACAATATTTAACCGTGCAAAGGCGATGATCCACTTTATTGACGTTGGCAGGAATACTTTATTTTGTGGCTGGACTTTGTGTTTTGGGTTTGTGGTTTTTGATATGGTTTTATTCTTGTTTTATTTGATTTATTAGGTTTGTGCAAACTTGAATTTCGTGTGTTAAATATGAGGCATAATTATACTGTACTCTACTGATTGTTGCAGCAGGTCCTCGACACGCAAATCACTTCATTTTATTCCGTACAGTCTATGAAATAATCACTCGAAGATGCTATATCCAATATTCGCCATAATTCTGTAATTAAATATTGCATATAATGCGGTCATATGGTGATCTAATCGACAGGTGCCATGATTTGACGACATCTCATTTGTATGTATATATTTACAGAGTGAATGATCCATGCTCTTCAAAGACCCATATAATCCACCCCAACAGCCTCAACCTAGTACCCTTGGAACTCTGTCGGAATGAAACAGACCAACTGAATGATTCATATTCCATATCGTCGATCATGTTTCACACACTGCTCAACGTCTTCCCAACCATGGTTCCGCCCGCTCTTGGCTCGCCTGACGTCAACAGTAGAGTGGATTGTATTTATACACAACTCACTGGAAGCCCCGGAAGACATATTCTAGACCATCTATTATCGCACGTCAATTGTATTGCCACTTTATATCATCGATGGAGGATGTTGCATCTGGTCGGTTTGGATTCATGTTCCTGTCTTTTGGGCGAGGCATTATTCCCGTTTGGACTTAGCCTAGACTCAGTCGATGATGGGTTATGATTGATTGCTGTGATCTATTGGACATAACAGTCGTAGATTGATTCTGTATAGATGATGTATACGTTGGATTCTGGCTCACCTTGAAGGTATATCCAGGGAGCAAAGGTCGCTCAATTCGACATCAGAACAGAACATCCATCTCCTCCAAACACAACTCCAAAAGACTCAAACCCTCTCTCCTCCTCAATCTACAAGAAAACTCCATCAGCATGCGTTTCAACCTCGCCGCCCTCTCCCTCCTCCTGGCAGTCACTGTCAACGCCATTCCCACCGACAAGACCGGTGCAACAGACAAGACTGACATCGACACTACCGACAAAACCGACAAGTCTGGCAAGGTCGATGAGATTGGCATAGACAAGATTGACAAGACTGATAAGTCTGATAAGTCTGATAAGTCTGATAAGGACAAGCCAGACAAGAAGGACAAGTCAGACAAGAAGGACAAGTCAGACAAGTCTGACAAGGTTGACAAGGTTGACAAGGTTGACAAGGTTGACAAGGTTGACAAGGTTGACAAGTCTGAAAAGATCCATAAGGAGAAGGATGATAAGGAGAAGGACGATAAGGAGAAGGACGACAAGGTGAAGGACGACAAGAAGGACGATAAGGAGAAGGACGACAAGAAGAAGGATGACAAGAAGGACGATAAGGAGAAGGACGACAAGAAGAAGGATGACAAGGTGAAGGA